CGAACCGTCAGTAAATTAAAAATTTTAAGTTCAGACCAACTACATAGACGAAGCGGTATCTCCTTAACCAATTTTTAATTTTTACAAAAGGTGAAAACGGTACAAACTATTAATTTCGAAATTTCTTTTGTTAACAATAGATACAAAAGAACTGCACGTGTGTTGGACATCAATGTTTGAATGCCTTCTTTTATAAGATATAGGTCTGAACTTCCTTGCCATCTAAATTACAAATTAGCATAAATCTATATTATTTTGGAATTATATATATATATATATTGGTTTTAATTGCATGAACAGAAAGGATTGCAAAGAAAACTATTTTAATTGCAACAAAACATCATGGCAGGATGTCTTCATAAGATATTCAGAACACAATCCATGCTTATATACCAGAGATTTTAATTAGATTATACGATACGTTAAGTGTATAGTTTTTTTCTTTCTACTACACGTCAAAATTCTATTTTTATTAATAAAGAGTAAGATAATTAAGACACATTCATAGCAGATTTTACGGAACTACTGTTTCGTAGATGTATAATCTGTTTTCTCTTTAGAATTTTTTATTGTCTACAAGATGATTTAACAATTGCAAGAACCCACAGCTACCTACCACGTAAAACATATTGACACAACAGTAAAAAAAAAGAAAAATGCATAACGTGGATACTGGTGTAGTGCATCTAAAATTTATGCCCCCCAAAAAACAAAACCATATGAATTATAGTAAATAATATTTTTGTTAATTTACATTTTCCAATTTGGCGGTAGGTTACTTTGAATATAATACTGATCGGACTATAACAGATTGAAGACACACAAACAAAACATAATGCATGTGGTTATGTCAGGGGAAAAATCGTCCTTCACAGATATGATCCAAACATTGGAGAATAAACGAAACTGAAAAACCTTTTAAAACGCTGGCGTATTATTTTTCTAAAAACTTTTACGATTAAATCAGTAATTTCAAACAATAGTAACTGTTTGGAAGAGTCGAGATTTCACCTTTAGCAAAAAATAAAATAAAATAAGAGTCGAGAAATCAAAATAGTTGGCAGTTAAGTTATAAGCAAGGATGATGTGATGGTCTTGGATTAATTAGTTTAATTAAACAGTAATTGGGCATTTACTCATGAAAAAGTAAACGTTATTTAGAGATTGGTTTTCCTCCTTATAAATTTATAATATAATTCGCATAATGTCCATATCTTTTTTGGGGAAATTGTTGAATATGACTCAAAATTTGAGTTTAAATGCAAAACTAGATCCCTTATTGTATGTTTGACAAAAATAACTCACAAAGATTGTGAAATTACAACATTAACCCTTTTGACCAAACAAAAAAAACGCCGCCGCAATTACTGTTTTATCCCCGAGAAGTCTACTCGAGCTCGAGTAGACTTCTCGAGTAAACTTCTTGGAGAAGTCTACTCTATAATAGTTTGTTTACAATTAATTTTAAAAATCATGAAAAATATTTTGATAAAAAGATTAGATCCATAACATAAATATATATATTTTTACACCTATTAAAAATAAAAATTAACACAAAATAATCAATTTAAATCATCATAAATAAATTAGGTTAGAAATGAATACTAAGTAGAATTCTCGAGTAGACTTCTCGGTTTCTCGAGTAGACTTCTTGGAGAAGTCTACTTACACGAATTTTTTTCTACATATATAAGGAGAGTTTAACCTAATTGTATTAACAATAAAGTCTCTCTCTATCTAAAAAACGCCTTTCTCTCTAGCCATGAATTTCTTCTCCTTCCTCTCTTGCTATCAATATCCTCTCCATCCTCTCTATCTTGCATTCAACCTCCTCTCACTTGCAGGTTATGGTAGTGGTAAGCAAATCTGAGATTTTGTGTTCCTCCTTTTGTTTGCTTTGTGTTCATATTGCAAATCTGAGCTTATTATTATAGATTTGAGCTTATTGTTGTAGATCTAAGTTTATTTTTGTAGATCTGAGTTTATTGTTGTATAAATTTTATAGATTTTGTTAATTTTTTTGTTATTATTGCAGAGCTAATTTTTTTTGATTTTTGTACAGATCTGAATGTTATAAATATAGTAGATTATTATTATAGATCCGAGCTTATTATTTTAGATTTGAGCTTATTGTTGTAGATCTAAGTTTATATTTGTAGATCTGAGTTTATTGTTGTATAAATTTTATAGATTTTGTTCTAGATCTAAATTTTTTGTTATTGGTGCAGAGCTAAATTTTGTTGATTTTTTTGCAGATCTGAATGTAGACTTCTCGAGTAGACTTCTCGATATTGAGCAGACTTCTAGAGTAGATTTCTCGATCTCGAGCAGACTTCTCAAGCAGACTTCAGTTGCATACATAATTTTCAGAGATTTTAGTTTACTAGTAATTTCTTATGCCAGTTTTAAGATTTATAATTAGTGATCCTTAAATGTTTGTTTGTTTAGAGGGTTATTTTCTATGTAATATTGAATTGCATTGAATGTTTTGTATCAAATTCCTAAATTATCTATGTTTATCTATTCTACAAAATAGACTTCTCCTGTCTCGAGTAGACTTTTTAAAGACATTAATTTTACATAACTTATAAGTGATTCAGAGGGACATTTCTCCCATTTATATCATATAACTTGTCAACCGAGTAGACTTCTCTTGTCTCGAGTAGACTTCTCCTGTCTCGAGTAGACTTCTAAAAGACTTTAATTGTACCGGGTAGACTTCTCTTGTCTCGAGTAGACTTCTCCTGTCTCGAGTAGACTTCTAAAAGACATTAAATTTACATAACTTAAAAGTGATTCAGAGGGACATTTCTCTCATTTATATCATGTAACTTGTCAACTGAGTAGACTTCTCTTGTCTCGAGTAGACTTCTGAAGTAGACTTCTCATTGTCTCGAGTAGACTTCTTAAAGACATTAATTTTACATAACTTAAAGGTGACAACATTCTCCCTCCTTTTCTATTCGCCCTCCTTTGCCAACATTCACCAAGAAGCTCATGTGTGCAACCATCTCTTAAGAACAACATTCGCCCTTCTTTGCTATTATCCACCTCGAACTGCCACATTGATTCACTCTTAACCCATTCTCCATAAACAGCGGGTATGTGAGTCATTCTCTGTGAAAAAGAACAAAATCCAAACCACATTAGACATCAAAATTGCATAAGTAGACTTCTCTGAAAGTCGGATGAAGTCTATATAGTAGACTTCTTAGTCTACTCTAGAAGTCTACTATAAGCTAAGTATCATATAAAACATGAAAACTCATTCGACTATACCTATAATATATAAACATGCAAAACTTATACATAAGCAAGAAAACTTAATAACAAAAGCTTAGGATCACAAAAATCTTAAAAATTCGTTAAATATTGTATAAAAATGATTTTTTTAAAAAATAAGAAAAGTAGACTTCTCGGATAAAAGTAGACTTCTCGCAGGTTAGTTTTGCAATTGCCAAAATATTAGTAGACTTCTCTATGAAAAGTAGACTTTTCAGAGAAGTCTACTTTCGTAAGTAGACTTCTCGCAGGTCATTTTTGCAATTGCAAAATATTTGACTTTTTGGTCAATTGCAAAAATGACCTGCGAGAAGTCTACTTACGAAAGTAGACTTCTCAGAGAAGTCTATTTTGCATAGAGAAGTCTACTCTACAAAGTCAAAGGTTGGTCAATTGCAAAAATGACCTGCTTCTAAAGAAGTCTACTCGAGAAGTCTACTCTATTTTTTTGTTATCAAAGGAAATGGAGTAGACTTCATTCAGACCAAAAGAAGTCTACTTTTTCATGCGGTCAATTGCAAAACTAACCTGGGCGTTGACTAGTAGACTTCATTCGGACCGAGAGAAGTCTACTTTCAGAGGATTTTCGTAAATACGTGAGGAAGATGAGGATTAATTGGTCATTTGGATTTCCGAAAATAAAAGAAATTAATTAAAAATAATGACAATTTCGTAAATAACTGAAACTATGAAGGATTATTTGGACACAAAATAGCAAATGTTGGGAAAATGATTTTTGTGGTTTAGATTTGCAATTTAAATCAAATTTTAAGTCATTTTTACAAGAATCCCATTTTTTTTTGTTTTAGTTTGTATTTTCTTTTTCTTATGCGAGTGTGGTTGTCACGTATCTCTCATATATTTATTTTCTCCAAAAGTATTTTTTGGTGTCTAATATATTTATTCTCAAAATATATTACATACGAAAGTCTTTCCATATATATTTCTTGTGGAAAATTTAAAGACGATAAGCTATTTTGTTCTTTACTGCAGTTAGCTAGATATTGATTGTAGAGGACAACATTGGCCCTTTCTATTTTTGTTCCTTCTTTTGTCCGAGCCAAAAACACTCCTCTTTATGTCTCCTCCTTTTACAATTATAATTTCAATCAATCAACACTTAATTGACCACAGCCGCAAGAAAAACAAAAAGTAATCTGTAGTAGCAAAAATATTTATGCATAATTTTTAATTTTTATAGTTGTGTATATAACTTTATTGATATAATTTAAAAGACTTTTTAATATTATTTTGACGATGACTGAAGATAATCAGTAAGCGTGTGATGACGAAATTGTTTGATATACTTATTCCAGTGACCATGGAATTAACCAAATCAACAAAAACAAAAGCAAATAATTAGTCAAATAAAAACATTTGTTTCTTTCTTTACTTTGCATACAGTTTATCTAACTGAATAAGGTCTAATAATTTTCACATCTTATCACTTTCTTTAATTCAGTTTTTTCCTCTTCTAAATTACAAATGTCTAACTTCTGATACGAAGACAATATATATATCACAATACCTCAACTTCGATTTGAATTATATATAGTTTGACAACCCATCATGTGTGTATATCTCTTATCTTGCATAAATCAAATAATATATTTTCTTAGAAAAGAAGGAAATGGCGGGACCTCCATATTTTTCTAGAGGTTTGGTTTGTTCGTATTGTATTAATCGAATAAATTAGTCGAATAACCAATACGAGAGCACCAAAACAAGAGCTTTTTAACTTATGCTTTTGCCTCCTCTTGATCCATCTGGACTCTACCACTATAAATAAACTCGCTAACTCTTCCTTTATCTTCCACCACAAAACATCACATATCTCATAAGAAAAAATACACAAAAACATCTATCAAAGGTTTTATAAAAACAATTATCTTGCAAGAACAAGATGCCTACAATGTTAACAGATGTCTTTAGAGGCCATCCCATTCACCTCCCACACTCTCACCAACCTGACTTCACATCCCTCCGTGAGCTCCCGGATTCTTACACGTGGACCCCCAAAGACGATCTCCTCTTCGCCGCAGCTCCTTCCCCTCCGGCCACCGGTGAAAACATCCCTCTCATCGACCTGAACCATCCCGACGCGGCAAACCAAATCGGCGGTGCATGTAGAACTTGGGGTGCGTTCCAGATCGCGAACCACGGCGTGCCTTTGGAACTTCTCCAAGGCATTGAGTTTCTCACCGGTAGTCTTTTTCGGCTACCTGTCCAACGCAAGCTTAAGGCTGCTCGGTCAGAGACAGGTTTCTCCGGCTACGGCGTCGCTCGTATCTCATCTTTCTTCAATAAGCAAATGTGGTCCGAAGGTTTCACCATCACCGGTTCCCCTCTCAACGACTTTCGTAAACTCTGGCCCCAACATCACCAAAACTTCTGGTATATATACGCTCAATCTTTTATCTTTATACTTATATCGTCGTGTATTAGATATATACATATTGGTTGGGTAGTAATAACAGAAGCAACCGAAATTTTGCCATGTCGTTAGAGTTTAGTGAACTTAAAATTTAAGAGTTAAGTGCACAAATGAAAGTGGACCCACCTCAAGATTTGAAGATATATTTCTTTTAATCGTATCGGAGAAAACAAAAAGCCCAACTTGTTTTCCGTTTTTTTTCTTCTATAGTATATTTATTCATGGTTGTACGAATATTTGGTGCAAATTGTGTATTAAATCTCATCTGTACTAATTAATGGATAAAATACGTTTGTGGTTAACAGCGACCTCGTTGAAGAGTACGAGGAACAAATGCAAAAGTTGGCATCGAAGTTGATGTGGTTAGCACTAAATTCACTTGGCGTCAGCGAAGAAGACATTGAATGGGCCAGTGTCAATTCAGATTTAAACTGGGCCCAATCTGCCTTCCAGCTAAATCACTACCCGGTTTGTCCTGAACCGGACCGGGCTATGGGTCTAGCCGCCCATACGGACTCCACCCTCCTAACCATTCTCTACCAGAACAATACCGCCGGTCTACAAGTCTTCCGTGATGATCTTGGCTGGGTCACCGTGCCACCGGTTCCGGGGTCGCTCGTTGTCAACGTGGGTGACCTCTTTCAGATTCTATCCAACGGACTGTTTAAAAGCGTGCTTCATCGCGCTCGGGTAAACCAAACCAGATCCCGGTTATCCGTAGCTTTCCTTTGGGGTCCACAATCTGATACCAAGATATCACCAGTACCAAAACTGGTTAGTCCTGTTGGATCGCCTCTATACCGATCGGTCACATGGACAGAGTATCTTCAAACAAAAGCAACTCACTTCAATAAAGCTCTTTCAATGATTAAGAATCACAGAGAGGAATAGTCATATCTGTGATCGGCTAGTTTAGTTTGATTAATAAAAAATGTTGTAAATTAGTTAATGTCCTTAACTGTATTTGAATCGCATTCACAAAAAATAAACAAATAACTGGCACTTCTCTCGAATCGACCCATGACATGTTGCCACTAATGAGAATCACATTTTAAAAATTAAATTTTGCAATTATGCGTTGAGGGTCCAAGAAATTCTATGATTGAAACATTAAAAAATCAATTTTATAGACAAACTACACGGTGTTATTTTCAGAATCCTACACAAATCATTTTGTTTGATTGCTATTTGTCACATTGTCCGAAAATAAAATGACAGAGCACATCTAAGGTGAGGCTATGTCTACTCTAAAAAGAAAATGAAAATGACCAAAACATATACATTATACTATCTTATCTTAATTATACAAGCAATATCTTCTGTCTCGATGTGTGCAGCATAATATGGCCCATGTTTATGGATTTTTCGTGTTGAATTGAAATTGATTAGAAATAAATCAAACTATTTCGTATAATGGAGACTTGAAGTTGAGAGTCCTTTTATTTGCTAAAAAGAAAATAAATGTGGACTCATTTTTTAATTTCCACAACCAACACTGAAAGAAAAGGAAAAAAATTGAAAGTATCATTGGGTTTTTAAGGCCCCATGATAGTATAAACAAGGTCTACTTTCCATTTTAATTCTTTGCAAAATGATTTATACAAAGTACAAACACACAATAGTTTCACTGGTCAAGGAACCAAATAAGTCCAAAAAGACCCCCCAAAAAAAGACATGGACTTAACAAAGCAGACATCTCACTATAAAAAGACGACGAAAGGGATGTAATTTGGTTGAAAATAATCAGGTTTGTTGTGTATGATTGTGATTAGGGTTCATACGCTTGTGATGCCACAATAGGCCTTGGTCATGGAACGGTGGGCCTTAAGATGAACCTCCAATGTTTCATAGAAATCAAGAAGTCCGTCATGGTGAAAAGGATTGTACGCTAAAGGATGGTCCTTGTCCACCATCTCCACTGGTGTCGATATCATCCCGTCTTGGAACGAGAAGAAACCAAACGAATACCTCGTTTCCACGCTCTCCATCTCCACCTTGTGGTAACACGCCTTGATTCTGTCGTTGCTCCACGCCTCATGATTTATTTTTGCGCACATGATTTGTCAGCGCATATTATATATATATATATATATGAACTAGTTGAATTGATTTGATAAAATTCTAGCTTACCATGATGGCGTCGCCTGCTATTACAGCAAACCGGGTTGGTGAAGGGTTAAAAGGATACCAAACATCCTCTTTCTCGGATTTCAACATGAGCCCTGTGATGTGGTTCTGATGGAGAATGGAGATGAAGCTCTTGTCCGTGTGAGAAATGAACTTCCTGTTGGGCTCTCCATTAGGGAGTTTTCTGTATTTGAGCAACCGAAGAAGGTACCGTGATCCTCTTATGTGTTTATCTGCGTACCTCTCTAGGTTATAGCTCTCGAAGAGCATCTTTATCACCAGTTGCTCCAGTTCCGCTTGCATTTTCGCATATGCGTGAACGGTTTCACTATAACATCGTCAACATGACATAGTTTTAGTGGCAGTTACAACATGATATAAATTATTTGATTGATATATAGTACCAGAAACGGTCGTTGTCATGGTCATTAGGCCACATGATACGGGAGAATCGGCGGCACTGTTGGATGTCGTTGACTTGGTCAATACCGAGACCTTCATGAACCGGTTGATCATCGGAGATCATGGAGATGTAGCCGTGTCCGGCCTTGTGGTTCTCGTTTTTTAGCTTGATTTCGGGAGGGAGATCGAGTAGTTCCTTGGCGGCCTCCAAAACTGACTGGTGGAGTTCTGTTGGAAAGCTGTTGTACTCAGCCACGAACCATCCATGGTGTTCCATGGCTTCACGGACGCTGTCCCTCGTCGAGTTCCACAGCTCTGTTCCCGGTTTCAGGTTCTTGTCGGAGAGGTTGATGATCGGAAGCTCTCGAGTTTCATTCCCACCCATTTAGCTATCATAGTTAGTTTAATCAGAAAAGAATTAGAAAAATCATACACTAATGTTATAAATGGTGTTCACAATATATGATCAAATTACAGAAATTTTACTCACTAATTCTAAGTGATATATTTCGTAATCAAAATTATTCGACGAGTTTGGGAAATATTATAGTTTATTTTTGTACGATAAATGTAGAATTTGATGATGTGTTTATACTTGAATTGAAATATGCTTCAGAGACAGCTTGTGTAGAATCATAGATGCTTTTCGTTGGCATTTTGTTTGAATCAGTTTTAAAATCCTCAATGTCGAGATAATTAAACACACACGTACTATTTTCGAGTCTTGTCATTTTCAACTTATTGGGCTATATGGCCCTACCCAAGTTAAATCAACCAAAGCCCAATATTTTACCCTCGTATCGATTGGGGGTCTAATCTAATTGGTCGAGACTGGTTTTGACATTTCCCAAGTTTCTACAACTGTGCAACCTTTGACTTTCTAAGCCGCCGACGTTGACCATCTTCTCTCTCTCTCACTTATTGTTTCTCTTGGTTGAATTTTGGAATCGATAAGAATAACGTCGATGGTCCTCCTCTTCGCTTTCCTTTTCTCCAAATGTTTACATTTCTTTTCTCACCTGAAAAGTCTGCACAGATGTGGTGGCGATGGCGGCGGCGGCAGTGGTCAGCCCCTCTCCTCCTTCTCCTCATCGTTGCCACTCTCCTCCCTTCCTCTTCCGCCATTGATTTCCTCTACAATTCCTTCAGCTCTGCAGTCAACAGAACTGACCTCATCCTCATCGAAGATTCCCGCGTAGACTCCACCGTAATCCGCCTCATCAACGAGTCCAATCAATTATCTTTAGGCCGAGTTTTCTACCCACAAAAGCTTCCAATTATACCCGATCCAACCCGAAACCCGACCCGACTCTCCTCTTTCTCCACTTCCTTCGTCTTCTCCGTTCTCCCTGACATACCCACCAGTCCTGGCTTCGGCCTCTGCTTCGTCCTCTCCAATTCCACCTCTCCTCCAGGCGCTATCGCCAGCCAAAACTTCGGTCTCTTCCCCCTGATACCCAGTCGACTCGCCGCTCCTCTCCTCGCCGTCGAATTCGACACCGGTGAGAACAACGAAGCCAACGACATCGACGGAAACCACATAGGGATCGACCTTAACAGCATCCTATCCACCAAATCCGAACCCGCCGGCTTCTACGATTCTGTTAATGGAAGCTTCGTCAGCTTAAATATGCGTAACGGACAGAACGTCCATGCTTGGATCGATTTCGATGGCCCCAATTTCGAGATCAACGTCTCGATTGCCCCCGCCGGTTTGCCTCGACCTCGCCGGCCTACGCTCACCTTCCGTGATCCGGTTATCGCGAATTATGTCTCCGCCGATATGTACGTCGGCTTCTCCGCCTCTAAAACGCGTTGGGTTGAAGCTCGGAGAATTCTAGCTTGGAGCTTGAGTGATACCGGATCTCTTCGAGAGATAAACACAACGAATTTGCCTGTTTTCTTCCTGAAATCTTCGTCGTCTCCTCTTTCAACTGGAACAATCGCCGGGATCGTTGTTGGTTGCGTTGTCTTCGTGGGTCTACTTGGATTTGCGGGTTACTTGTTGTGGAGGAAACTAATGAAAGAGGAAGAAGAAGATGAGGTCGAGGAGTGGGAGTTGGAGTTTTGGCCGCACCGCTTCAGCTACGAAGACCTTGCCGCCGCTACGGAGGTTTTCTCCAACGATCGGCTTCTTGGATCCGGTGGATTCGGTAAAGTTTACAGAGGAATTCTGCCGAACAACAATGAGTTAGCTGTCAAATGCGTGAACCACGATTCGAAGCAAGGGCTGAGAGAGTTCATGGCGGAAATCGAGAGCATGGGTCGGCTCCAGCATAAGAATCTGGTTCAAATGCGAGGATGGTGTCGCCGGAAAAACGAGCTCATGCTCGTCTACGACTACATGCCAAACGGAAGCCTCAACCAATGGATATTTGATAATCCTAAAGAGCCAATGCCGTGGCGGCGGAGGCGACATGTGATCAACGACGTGGCGGAGGGGCTTAACTATCTTCACCATGGGTGGGACCAAGTGGTAATCCACCGAGACATCAAATCAAGCAACATCCTTTTGGATTCCGAGATGCGTGGGAGGCTAGGGGACTTCGGCCTCGCCAAGCTGTACGAGCACGGTGGAGCACCCAACACGACGCGTGTGGTGGGTACGCTCGGGTATCTAGCGCCGGAGCTGGCGTCTGCGTCGTCTCCGACAGAGGCCAGCGACGTGTACAGCTTTGGCGTGGTGGTGCTGGAGGTGGTTTGCGGGAGGAGGCCGATAGAGTACGGGGAGGAGGAAGACATGGTGCTTGTGGATTGGGTTAGGGATCTGTACGGCGAAGGAAGGGTGGTTGATGCGGCTGACGAGAGAGTGAGGGGAGAGTGTGAGACGAGTGATGAAGTCGAATTGTTGCTGAAATTAGGGCTGGCTTGTTGTCACCCTGATCCAGCGAAGCGACCGACTATGAGAGAGATTGTATCACTCTTAATTAGCTCGCCACCGGAGGATTTGTTGAGTGGACTCACGCCGGTTGCCACTGACTCTGCCTCCGCACTCTCCTGAGTAGCTTTTTTTGGGTTTTGTGTTGTGACTTGTGACTTGTGAGAAAAGGTAAAGTTATTGAGTAATTGGATCTACAAAATTAATCAAACTCCAAAGTTTGCATGTTGGTCCATCATCCATGAGAATATAGGCCCGTTAATATTTGAGAAAGCCTATTTAGATTGCAAATGCTATTCCGGGATTTCCCGTTATTTGCGTTGGTGGGGTATATTTGATTTTTCGTTTAGGTTTTAAGTTTTTCAGGATGTCAAAAATCTCATTTAGATTTGAATTAAAAATATCTTATATAAAGTCAAAACATCTTACTAAATTTAACATAATTAATTAAATAGAATATAATTTTTAGTACATTTAAATGTATTTGTTTAATTAAAATAAAAAATTACGTTTTATTTGGGTTGGTGTCACAAATTGAGATTCGATCAGGCTTGGTTCGATTTTTCACTCATGAACCGGTATGAATTTTCTTAGAATTCCAGTTATATCTAAAATTCGGTTATGTCCGGTTTTTGGCTTACCCTTATAAAAAATTAGATGTCCCCAACGACCAATTTAATGTTCCACCTATAATTGATTTCAGTAGCCAATCGTACTGCTCCACCGAAGCTATTTTCTCGGATTGGAACGTTCTTATAGGTTGATATCGGTCGCTTTATTATTTGAGGAAATAAATAAACAGGGAAAAATGAACATTGACGAAAACAGGACGGTTTCGATAAAGTTGAAAAGATGCGACGAATATGGAAAGTTCCAAGAATATGGTTGTCTCGTTAGTTTTGAGGAAGCTAACGAGAAGAGTCGAAGACCAACTTTCAATTTATCTTCGTTGATTCATGGTCCAATAAGAATCTTCGATTATAATAAAATAAATAAATAGTTAACAGTCGAACTTAAATAGATAAAATTCAATATAATACTATCGGTTTAGGACTTAGGAGCAAGGGGCTGCAGGCTGCTAATGCTAATGCAACTTGACGAGAATCGTCAACGTTTAAACTCACTATTAATTAGTATTCAACTATTTACATTCGATTGTTTTCTTCACATTGATATTAACATGAGTTGTCATCTTGTTTTTTCACATTTAACTCTCTACGTTTTTTTACCGAAGACTTAATTTCCACATGCCAATCAATCTCCATGCAAATACAGCAACACCATATCTTAGCTACTTCTGTTAATTTTCAAGTAACTGGTTCTTTTTAAAACGTGCTCAATGTAGCATGTAATAAATTATAGGGTTAACGGTAAATTATGTGATGATGTTTTTCTCATAGTAGATTAGCGATACAAAATCGAATTTTTACCATTGACAGGATACAAATATGAATTAACGAATGACAGGATACAACTTACAAGTATGAATTAACGAATCCGATTTCACTTTTTTACTCGTAATAAAACAGTGTTTGGACCCTGTCTTTTTGTTTTGTAAAGATTTTCGTACCCAAATTTAAGTTTATGGTTGTATTTATTTGGACAAAGACAAAAAAAACTGTCTTCCAATATCACCACCGATGCATAAAAATATGGTTGAAAAGAACATGAATGTGTTCAAACCTTTAGGTATTCAGTTCACACTGTATTATGATTGTTGGCTGTTGAGAAAAGTTTAGACCTTAAGGTGGGATCAATTAATTACTTAATTGCTGTAAGAAAATAACATTATTTACTTAATTAATATCTAAAGCAGGGCTTCTTCTAGATTTCCCAGACAGAGTCACAGCTGACGTAAGCTTTTCTTTTTTTGTTATTGTAAATTCAAAGTACACAAGGAAAAAGCGTTGAACGTCAGTTTGTTCGTCACGTTCCGTCTCTGATTTTTCCACTTTTGTGAATGAAAAGACATGAACGTGCGTATTCACGAATAGTGAAATCTCCTCTGCCAAATAATGTGTATATATAGGAGAGCACAAAAGGCTATTTTATTTCATCTTACATCTTACTTCTTCAATTTCTCTTTAAATCTTTTTCTTTCATAGGTTTGAAGAACTTATTCTTTAATTCTTGATCTGACGTAATCAAAAACAAAAAGAGGAGAAGAGAAAAAAAGAAAAAGGCTTTGTTTTCTGGGATTTACTAATCCGGGAAAAAATGGAGGGAACTAGTTTTCAGAAAGCGAGTAACAGTTTGAGAAGAAACTCGTCGGTGTGGAAGAGAGATTCAGGAATGGAGATTTTCTCGAGGTCGTCTAGAGAAGAAGACGACGAAGAAGCTTTGAGATGGGCTGCTCTAGAGAAGCTCCCCACTTTTGATCGTCTCAGGAAAGGAATCCTCACGGCCTCACATGGCGGAGCCATCAACGAGATCGATATTCAGAAGCTTGGATTCCAAGATACGAAGAAACTGCTCGAGAGGCTCATCAAAGTCGGCGACGACGAGCATGAGAAGCTCCTCTGGAAACTCAAGAACCGTATCGATAGGTACAAAAAACTTTGATAAACTAGTTTCCAATCGAAACAGAAGAGCTCTGTTTTGTTTGTTCTGTTTTGTTTGTTCATCTGGGAACTAAATTTAATTGCTAAATGGCAGAGTTGGAATCGATCTTCCGACAATAGAAGTTCGGTTTGATCATCTGAAAGTCGAAGCAGAGGTTCATGTCGGAGGCAGAGCTTTACCCACGTTCGTTAATTTCATGTTTAATTTCGCAGATGTGAGAATGCTTCTTTTACTTCTATTTCATTTATATTTCAACAAAAAAAAAATATCTAAGAGTCTATCTTTCCATAATATTAACAGAAGCTCCTGAATTCTCTGCACCTTCTTCCCAACCGGAAGAAGAAGTTCACTATACTCAACGACGTCAGCGGAATCGTTAAGCCCGGCAGGTGACTTTCAGATTCCGTTTAATTATTCCAAGAAATTAAAAACCTGTTAGTTATTATTACTATATTGAGAAAATGTTAAAATAATTGACAAAAAAAAACTTTGAATTCTTCAGGATGGCTCTGCTATTGGGTCCTCCAAGTTCTGGAAAAACGACCCTCTTGCTTGCCTTGGCGGGAAAGCTTGATCATGAACTAAAGGTACAATCTTTATCTCTCTGTTTCAGCTTCATGTTAACGTGTGGCTTTTTCTCTTTTAACTATGATTGTTTGTGTAAAACCGGAATCAAATGTAAATATCATTCATTGCTCTCTGTAGGAAACTGGGAGAGTGACATACAATGGTCATGGGATGAATGAGTTTGTGCCACAAAGAACAGCTGCGTATATCGGTCAAAACGATGTTCACATCGGTGAAATGACTGTTCGAGAGACTTTTGCTTACGCAGCTCGCTTCCAAGGCGTTGGTTCGCGTTATGGTGAGTTTTAACATTTTCAAGGTTTCTATTTTTCTTTCTCAAAACATTAAAATTTGGTATGTGGATTTTTCTGAAAATTGAAGTTTTTGTTGGTGCCTTAGATATGTTGACGGAATTGGCAAGAAGAGAGAAGGAAGCAAACATCAAACCTGACCCTGATATTGATGTCTTCATGAAGGTTAGCTATATTACTTGCCTAAAAACTTCAACTTTGTGGAAATTTTAAAATAACATTCTCATGGGTTATAACTTCATTATTCCAAATATAGGCGACGTCAACAGCAGGTGAAGAAACAAATGTGATGACAGATTATATTCTCAAGGTATGGTTTCATACGAACTTTTTATAAGAGATGTCAAAATTAAGTCTTATGCTTGAAAAATATAATCTCTTTTGTAAATTTTACAGATCTTAGGGCTTGAGGTATGCGCAGACACTATGGTCGGTGATGATATGCTGAGAGGTATCTCCGGAGGACAAAAGAAGCGTGTTACTACTGGTAAGACTTTGTGCAAAGAATATAACCTTTTTCTTTGAATTCATTCTTCTTTGGATTTACGTTGATGGTGTGTTTGTTTATATGTAGGTGAAATGCTTGTTGGACCGTCTAGGGCTCTGTTCATGGACGAGATATCGACTGGTTTAGATAGCTCAACGACGTACCAGATTGTGAACTCACTCAGAAACTACGTTCACATCTTCAACGGGACAGCTCTGATCTCTCTCCTTCAGCCTGCGCCTGAGACGTTCAATCTCTTCGATGATATCATTCTCATTGCAGAAGGCGAGATCATCTACGAGGGCCCTCGTGATCATGTCGTGGAGTTCTTTGAGACCATGGGATTCAAATGCCCTCCAAGAAAAGGCGTCGCTGATTTCCTTCAAGAAGTAAGGCTACCTTGTTTCATAAATACATAAGCATATCCGCGGTTTTGTTTCATGTCTCATACTAAAATGAGCGAACTACTCTTGCAGGTGACTTCAAGGAAAGACCAAATGCAGTATTGGGCACGACCTGATGAGCCTTATAGGTTCATAAGAGTGAGGGAGTTTGCAGAGGCGTTTCAGTCATTCCATGTTGGGCGGAGAATAGGAGATGAGCTCGCTTTGCCCTTTGACAAGAAGAAGAGCCATCCGGCTGCTCTAACTACAGACAAGTATGGAGTTGGGATTAAGGAACTTGTGAAGACCAGCTTCTCCAGAGAATACTTACTCATGAAAAGAAACTCCTTTGTTTACTATTTCAAGTTCGGACAAGTAAGTGTACACAAAACTCTTCTCTCATATGTAATGAAAAATCTCTTTGGACAGATTGATAAATTTTTTGTTGCTTTGCTTCTATGTGTGTTTACAGCTGCTGGTTATGGCATTTATGGTAATGACGCTGTTCTTTCGGACGGAGATGCAAAAGAAGACAGAGGTGGATGGGAGTCTCTACACGGGAGCCTTGTTCTTCATCCTGATGATGCTCATGTTCAATGGAATGTCAGAGCTTTCAATGACCATTGCAAAACTTCCTGTGTTTTACAAACAAAGAGATCTCCTCTTCTACCCTGCTTGGGTTTACTCTCTGCCTCCTTGGCTCCTCAAGATCCCTATAAGCTTCATCGAAGCCGCTCTCAGTGCATTTATCACTTATTACGTCATCGGCTTTGACCCCAACATTGGAAGGTAACATATACACGCCATTGACACCAAACAACTATAGATGGAAATTTTGGAGGAACAGCTAAGAAATGCTTATGGTTTCTTTTCGGTTTGTTGCAGGCTGTTTAAGCAGTATATCCTGCTCGTGCTCATGAACCAGATGGCTTCAGGATTGTTTAAGATGATGGCGGCTTTGGGAAGAAACATGATCGTTGCAAACACATTTGGTGCATTTTCGATGCTTGTCTTCTTTGCCTTGGGTGGTGTTGTACTTTCACGAGGTATGTGTAACGTGTTTATGCTGATGCATATGCACTTTTACTTAGCATACTAATATCAAAAACTCATCATTTTTAAACTTCTCATTAACAGACGATATCAAGAAGTGGTGGATATGGGGTTACTGGATCTCCCCAATCATGTACGGACAAAACGCGATTATGGCCAATGAGTTCTTCGGACACAGCTGGAGTCAAGTAAGTACCAACCTCCCATGTCTACTACATATTTTACATAAATCATTTTTTTTCCCCAAGGTTTTGGTATTTCTTTTAGACAAGACGTCAAGACTAATAGTTAAATTGTATTACAGGCTGTCCCAAATTCAACAGACACACTTGGAGTCACTATCCTCAAGTCTCGTGGGTTCTTACCCCATGCGTACTGGTATTGGATCGGAACTGGAGCCTTACTCGGATTCGTTGTGTTGTTCAACTTGGGTTTCACGCTGGCTCTGACTTTTCTGAACTGTATGTAATCAAATCAGTTTTGCTTCATCACATCTTCTGATACAAAACAGTGTTTTTACTTTTTAACCTGTGAACTTTCTTTGTGTACACAGCCTTGGGAAAGCCTCAAGCTGTTTTGATGGAAGAGCCTGCGAGTGATGGGCAGAACACGAGAGACGAGACAGAACTCCAGTCTACTCAGACAGGAGAAGCCAACACCAATAAGAAAAGAGGAATGGTGCTTCCATTTGAGCCACATTCGATCACCTTCGACAATGTTATATACTCAGTTGACATGCCCCAGGTAATATCCTTGGTCGAGGATTTCGCTATCATCAATCCAAGAAACTTCATACTGATGTTTTGTCATGGATTCTTTCACACAGGAAATGATAGAGCAAGGCACACAAGAAGACAGACTTGTCCTGTTGAAAGGTGTCAATGGTGCATTCAGGCCAGGCGTGCTTACGGCTCTCATGGGTGTCTCCGGTGCTGGCAAAACCACTCTGATGGATGTTCTCGCCGGAAGGAAAACCGGTGGTTATATTGATGGCAACATCACCATTTCCGGATACCCTAAGAATCAACAAACATTTGCCCGTATCTCAGGGTATTGTGAGCAAACCGATATCCATTCCCCACATGTCACTGTTTACGAGTCCTTGGTTTACTCAGCCTGGCTCCGGTTACCTAAAGAAGTCGATTCAAACACAAGAAAGGTTAGTCTGAGATAATATCATCTTCCAAGAGTCAAATGAGGAAAAGCGAAATAATAATACTAACAATTTTGTTGTTGTTGTTTTGGTGCAGATGTTTATAGAGGAAGTGATGGAGCTGGTGGAGTTAACGCCGCTAAGGCAAGCACTAGTGGGACTACCTGGCGAGAGCGGTTTGTCAACGGAGCAAAGAAAGAGACTGACCATTGCGGTGGAGCTGGTTGCAAACCCTTCCATCATCTTCATGGATGAACCTACTTCAGGATTAGATGCACGAGCTGCTGCCATCGTTATGAGGACTGTGAGGAACACGGTCGACACAGGCAGAACCGTCGTCTGCACCATTCACCAGCCTAGCATCGACATATTCGAAGCCTTTGATGAGGTCTTTAAAAATTACTTTCAACACACACACAAAAAGAGATCTTTAATCATTTGCTAACATGTTTGGGTATGTGTATATATGCAGTTGTTCTTACTGAAGCGTGGAGGTGAGGAGATCTACGTTGGACCTCTTGGCCACGAATCAAGCCATTTGATCAACTACTTTGAGGTAATACATAAGACAGAGATAATCCACATCATACCAAAGCAAACATGGACTGAATATGTTAACTTGTACAACAGAGTATTCAAGGAATCAGCAAGATCACAGAGGGGTACAACCCAGCAACCTGGATGCTTGAAGTTTCAACCACTTCTCAAGAAGCTGCTTTAGGAGTCGATTTCGCACAACTCTACAAAAATTCAGAGCTTTATAAGTAAGTAGTATAGTCACAGTCAAGAAGGTAGACAATTTACAGAATGAATCTGATGATCTCACCAACATAACTTTCTCCTCTCTTTTGTAGGAGAAACAAGGAGCTAATCAAGGAGCTAAGCCAGCCAGCTCCGGGATCAAAAGATCTGTATTTCCCGACACAGTATTCGCAATCGTTCTGGACGCAATGTATGGCTTCTCTATGGAAACAACACTGGTCCTACTGGAGAAACCCGCCTTACACCGCCGTGAGATTCCTCTTCACAATCGGCATTGCTCTCATGTTCGGCACCATGTTCTGGGACCTTGGAGGCAAAACGTAATGCAACAAAAGATGACCTTGACTCGATATTTTTTCCTGATAAAATTATAAGCTCACTGTTGACAATAACCCAACCTTGCAGGAGAACGCGACAGGATCTATCCAATGCGATGGGCTCGATGTACACAGCTGTTCTCTTCCTCGGATTACAGAACGCCGCCTCAGTGCAACCAGTCGTCAACGTCGAGAGAACAGTCTTTTACCGTGAACAAGCCGCCGGAATGTACTCCGCCATGCCGTATGCTTTCGCTCAGGTACTAATCCGAAATAGGAGATTCACGATTTTCCGATCCAAAAACCCTGTAATACTCATGCAATTATTCTCCAGGTCTTCATCGAGATGCCATACGTCCTCGTGCAAGCGGTGGTGTACGGTCTCATTGTGTACGCCATGATAGGATTCGAGTGGACGGCGGCGAAGTTTTTCTGGTATCTCTTCTTTATGTACGGATCACTCTTAACTTTCACATTCTACGGCATGATGGCTGTGGCCATGACGCCTAACCACCACATCGCCTCCGTCGTCTCCTCCGCTTTCTACGGCATTTGGAATCTCTTCTCCGGCTTCCTCATCCCGCGTCCGGTAAGCCACCAAAATCTCGAAAGTACCCTTATGTAACTATTATTAACTAATTTCAAAATGGGCCTTAAACCTATTTTAATATTACGTTTTGACCCTAAACTTTGTTTTGGTTCAAAAACAGATTATGCCTGTATGGTGGGAATGGTACTACTGGCTGTGCCCAGTTTCATGGACACTATACGGACTAATCACATCACAGTTCGGTGATATTACGGAACCAATGGCAGATGGTACGAGCGTGAAACAATTCATTAGAGATCTTTACGGATTTAGAGAAGGTTTCTTGGGAGTGGTTGCAGCCATGAACGTCATCTTCCCATTGGTCTTTGCCATCATCTTTGCTGTTGGAATCAAGTCTTTCAATTTCCAAAAACGATAAACAGTTTCTCTTATTATTTGTAATTTATACATTTTGCGTTCTGTTTCCTGTAACACAAATAAGACCACATTTTTTTGTTTGTTTATAAGCTATTCTTTTTCTATTTGTAATGCCAGAAAAGGGTGATCACTATATTAGATTGAATCTCTATAGCTAATAATGTTTACAAATACAGAGTAATTCCTATTTCATAAGAAAAACGTTACAGACAAAACAAAAGCCTAATATAATCCAGGTTTCCTGTAATAACATTAACAATCCCTTGATGTATGTGTTCCTTCTTTATCATTCTAAGCTCCACATGAACATTCTCCATCTTTAAATTGGTGGAAAAGCTCAGCATCTCTAACAGAGATCTCTCTTCTCACTGTTTTGGTGATGAACTTCACTGTGTCATGGCAACTCTCGCACATATTGAGATTCTTTGTCACCCAAATCGGCATTCCTGGGACCGTGTTGATCAGACCAAAAGCAATGGCCTTTCTCTCGCTATGCCCGCAGAATATCTCATCTCTCGAAATCTCAGTCTCATCCCTAGAGCTAGATTCTGAACTTGTAGTAATCCCAACTTCACTCATTTTCTCATAGAACCCCTCTAAAACTGTGTTGATCTCTTTCGTTTGGGGATGGTACTTGTCATCGCTAAGAAAGGCATGAACTTTACCCTTTACTTCAACCCAACTGCATCCTGCATCAACGGTTAGCCCGTTGTCTTTCATCATTCTTCTCATTTTCGCAACTTCTCTCCATTTGCCACAATCAGCATACAGATTACATAACAGAATGTAATAGCCAACACTTTCCTTGTCCAGCTCAAATATACGCTGCGCTGATAGCTCGCCGAGTTTAATGTCGCGGTGAATCCTGCACGCGTTAAGCAAGGCTCCCCATACCGCCGGATCTGGTGATACTGGCATTCTCTGAATAAACTTGTGCGCTTCTTCTAACTCGCCTGCACGGCCAAGACAATCAACCACGCAAGCATAGTGCTTCAAGTTTGGGGTAACACCATAGTTATCCTCCATTCTGCTAAAGTACATCAAACCTTCTCTCACCATTTGGGATTTGCTACAGCCACATAGCAGTGAGATGAATGTAATCTCATCTGGTCTTACTCTTGACTTAACCATCCTGTCAAATAGCTCCACCACCACCGACCCTTGACCCCGTTCTGAATATCCGGTTAGAAGAATGTTCCATGATGAGACATCTTTTTTCTGTGAGTTGAACTGATTCCAAGCAATGTTCATTCTCCCGCACCGAACATACATGTCTAAGAGTGCATTTGGAAGAAAATCATCAAGCCCCACTCCTGTTCTCAGCACATGGGCGTGAATCTCTTTCCCACACATCAAAGCTCCGATTCTGGCACAGGCTGCTAACGCAGCTGTCAACGTTATTGCATTTGGCTGCAGCGTCATTTTCATCTGCCGGAAGAATATCAAGGCCTCAAAACACCGGTTGTTGAGCCGAAGCCCTGCAATGATCGATGTCCAAGATATTACGTTCTTGCGAGGGATGTTGTGGAAGATGTCCAAGGCCCTATCAATGCATTTGCACTTTGAGTACATGTTAATGAGATTGTTTGCAACAATCACATAGGATATGAGCCTTGCCTTAATCGCAAGCTTATGGAGCTCAACACCTGTGTCAATATCACCTAGAGTAGCGCAAGCAGATAGAACAGCAGCTACTGCAATCTCATCTGGCTTCACGCAATCTTGATCCATCATTCTGTAAGTGTCTATGGCCTTCTCGGGCAGAAAGTTATACTCGTAGCCTGAAATCATAGTGGTCCATGACACAATGTCCTTGCGCTCCATTCTGGTGAAAACTTTTTCAGCTTCACGCCATGACCCAGCGTTTAAGTACATCTGAGTCAAAGAGTTGCAGACAGATATATCAACAGCGAAACCCGTGCTAATCACATAAGCATGGATCTCCCTTTCCAACCTCCCATCTCCAAGAAGCTCACAAGCAGAGATAACACTGGTCATGGTCATCAAATCAGGATCAACCGAAAGCACACGCATAGCAAAGAACAGCTTCAGGCCTTCATGACACATCCCGTTCTCGAAATACCCAGAGATCATTGCGTTCCATGAGATTATATCTCTCCTAGGCATTCTATCAAAAAGCAGCCTCGCGCTCTTTACATCGCCACACTTCACATACATAGTAATCAAAGCGTTGACCACATCAATATCCAGTTCGTATCCGTACCGAACCACGTGAACGTGAACCTCTCTTCCTCGAGCAAGATCAGGTATACCTCCACAGGTTCTCAATACACAGGGGAACGTATAGACATCAGGTTTGACCCCACCAACCCACAACATCCTATGATACAAACACATCGCCTCGTCGAAATAGCCTTGCTTTGCGTAGCCACCGACCAACACGTTCCAAGAAAACAAGTTTCTCTCAGACATTTTGCCGAAAACATACCAGGCATCGACCAAATTACCGAACCTCACAAACATAGCGAGAAACGCGTTACCGAGATCAACACCAAGGCTGCTCATGGAGTTTAGAGCAATAGAATAAACCTTGGAGCCTTCGTCTTGTGCTCTCTTCCACTCGCACAGCCTGACCAAAGCCACATACGCATCTTCGTCTACCGAAATCCGCAACTCCTGCATAGAATTCAGAAGCTTCATAGCTTCCTCCAGCTTCCCGTTCGCGCAGAGGCCATGTAACTGAGAATTCGAAAAGTGGGTACTGCTAGAACTCGAGCTAAGAACTGATAATCCTTGAGATTTTCTCAAGAAAAGTTTCCGAATTCCGAAATTCCAGTAGAAATTAACGTTTCTATGCTTATGAGCTTTGCTCTGGAAAGATTTCGACTTGCCTGGATTGAGATAAAAGTGAGGACTTTGAGCAGAAGACGCCATTGTCTGAGAGACAGAGCAAAGAACATGGTCACACTTCGTAGAGGTTTTACATTGGGGTTTTATGGCGAGAAGATAAAATGGACAAAAATCGTCTTAATTAACGATGATCGTCCACTTTTGAAACTACGTCGTTTAAGCCTTAATTTACTCTCTGCTAATTCAGCAATTGTTCACCTCAAATTTCATTTTCCATTGATCACCAGAATTTTGTTAGATTTTTAGTACTCATCTGTGGAAATATTAGTAGAATTAAGACAGGGCCACTTTTAAAACGTTGCCTTAATCTTAAAAGTACGGAGATTATTCATAAGATTATTGAATTTATAAATTTAGTTTGCTATTGGTATCAAGAGAGAACAAAAAAAAGCATATGACTTTAGTCTTCTCACTATCAAAATCTTGTTCCCGACCAAAACCTTAAAAAACCCTCACGTAACGTAACCAATCTCAACATCCTGTTTATTCGTCATAGTCTAATTGTTGGTCGGAGCAGATTTCTCCGGTAGTAGGCTCGCCGATTCTCCAGGCGCCGCTTCTTCCTGAGACACAACAGGAATCTTGAGTGATGCAGCTCTCTCCATTTCCTTCTCAAGCTCTTCTTCAGACATCAGAGTGTTGAACTGTCCCTCCAGCGACTTAGCCGCGGCTAACCACGCAGTGACTATACCGAGCAAGATGACTCCAAGGTAAGGTGTGGAGCTGGCGAGTGAGCCGAAGGTAAGGATCATGAACTGCTGGATTAGAGCACCGCCTGATTTCCCCAGTGGGTTGCACACCACATCAATCGCAGCTTTGCCTTTCACCTACATATCAATCCCACAAACCCGTAAAAACCAGAGATCATGAGAATGCAACAACTCTCTTGAACAGAGACAACAAAAAAAGAGTGAGAAACCTTGGTGTCCTCATCCAATGGGATATAAGCCATTTCTTTGCAAGGATCGAACAAGCTGTACTTGGCGCTCTTGCTGAAGATGTTCTGGAGGGCCCCGACGTACACAGCTGCGAGTAGCGGAGTCATACCAAGCTTGGCAACAAGTGGTGCGAATGGGCCACCAAAGAGTATCAGAGAGAAGAAGGCAACTCCGGTCAATAGCAGAACGGTTGGTGTGATCTTTGCAGCTACTCCCCATCCGTACTTGTCGAATACGTATTGGCTCAGAAGCATCATTGTGAATGTTGCAATACCCGTGCAAGTTGAGAAGTCGCCCATAAATGCTGAGTACTCGTTCGGGCTAGGGAACTGCGTTTCAGAAAAAACTAAGATGAACGCGTCCTAGTAGTAAGTAGTAACTTTGCAATAAGAAGGATTTTGTTAACCTGAGCTTTAAGCTTTGATTTCCATGTGACTTCAACGAGGTTGATACTAATTCCATATGCAACCACCAAAGTAGCAAGATCCCTAATGTATGGTGATGAGACCAAGAACTTCAAGCTCTCCATCGTTCCCATTTGTGGTTTCGCCTGTGTAACAAATCAGAAGAAGCCTCATAAGTTACGCATTCAGCTACATAACAAAACCATTAGTATTTTTGTATGTTCAACCATTATTATTATTATTACCTTCTTCTTCTTGCTACGGGTTGGGAGAGGGACGTATCTATTGACCCACCAGTAGAGGAAACAGATGGCGAGCCCCATCCCCACCACAATACTCATCATGGCTTTCAATGAAACAGCCCAACCATCAACTCCAGGGCCAAGATTCTTCCTCATATTAGAGAAATATTTCACAGTTCTTCCTGAGAAAATAAGTGCAACATTGGCACCCAGACCAAACAAAGGATAGAACTTTTTGGCTTCGTCAACAGTTGTTATCTGCCACCAAAAAGATTGCATGCTAGTTAATTCACAAATAGAATAGATGTGGACAAGTAAGCAACTCAAGGATTCCAATCTTCAAGGGCTATCAATACCTAATACTATAAGTCTAACGACAAGCAGTAGCAGAATCAAGAGTGTAAAATCACCTGATTGGCGAATCCCCAGAAGAGAACAGAGACTACGACGCTACCCCAAAGCTCAGCCATGACATAGAACAAACAGAAACTCCAAATCCGCATGATTGCGAGAGGACCCATGAATCTGGGGCCGAGTGTGGCAAGGAGCTTATCAGCAAGAGCCTCAGGGTGAATCAAGTTGCTGAGAGGGTACATAACAAAGCCAAAGGCTCCGAAGTAGACAATGAAAGGGACAATGACAGTGTAAAAGAGAGCCTTTTTGGAGAGAACATTGGAAAGCTTGGTGTAGAGCAACATGAACCCAATAGCCATAGGAAGATTCACCCATGTCTTCAAAAAAGGTATGATCTCAGCAGAGCTTCCTTTCGCCGTCACCACCAACACATCCTTGGTGTCCCTCAGGATCGTGTAATTGAAAAGGATGCAAAAGAACATTAGCCCTAAAGGGACAATCTTTTTAAGAGTGGTAACCTCAACACCGAAAACCTTAGGCGTCACAGCCATCGCCGCCGAGTCTCCTTCGCCGAACACATTTCCGCCTCCGGCGGCGGCAGCCTCCGCCTTGCAGATGAAACTCCTGCTTCTCTCCTTGTGGGAAACTGAAATCCCATTTGGCTTTGGCAAAAAGGATTGAGATTTGGTATGCCCATTAGAGGATATGGACAAGGCAGGTAAGCTTCGGGTGAGAACTCTTTGCTTCAAGCCATGAGACGGCTGGAGAAGACTTGTAGCTCCGAAGGGTTTCGCGGGTAGAGAGAGAATTCCCCTGGATTGAATCAGACCTTCCATCTCTCTATCGCTCTCGCAGACTCTCCTCCAGCAAATCCCAGAGAGAAAAGGAAGCAGGAAAAGGAGGAGGGGATAGAGAGATGATAAGGTGACTCTGGGGAGAGAAGAAGGAGAAGAAGAGTGTGTGCTGTGTTTATAATAGACTTTAGTAGTCAAATATTTTTGCACCCATAGCAAAATTTGTCCCCCCCCCCCAAAAACCTAACCGGGTTTTTAGCGTCTACTAATAAATTTACGAAGCTAAAACCTTTGCGAAGAGTTTTGTCAAGTAGATGTATGACGTGCAGTGTAAAAATGTTAAGAGTTTTCAACCTTTTTGTTTTGTTTCGTTGCATAGTACAAATAATTAAGGAGTGGCTTTCTGCACATATTCGTCAAATGGCCTTAGTACCTTGACGATTTTTTAGTATATTAGAGAATTCGTGCATTGCGTGCTTTTGTTTATTTTGTTTTAAAAGTTTACAAGTTGCTAAAAAGTGGCCCTTGAAATCGTATTTTATATTGAGGAAAGGCATGTATTTTCCCACTAATGACACCAGCAGTATTATATGAATGATCATTTTCAATTAGTCTCAATCCTACTAATGCATTTTTATTTTATTTTTCACATTGGTCCTCCTAGTAAATTTAGCCTAACATAGAGAGAGAGAGAGAGAGAGAGAGGTCTACAAATGCAAATACACAAGTGTAGATGAAAACGAGAGGGCTTTGATTAACGTGCACCAACTTGGGGAATGGCTCAATTGGGTGTTGGGACACTGTGAAGAAGATCCTTCATCCTTTTTCCCTCAACCAGAAAAACTCCAAACACAAAGTGGGCCCCACTTTGGTGGGTCGGGGTCTTTCGAAGCTCCACGTTACATCAAAATCAGGGATGTCAGACTCAGAATAAAAGCCTAGTAAAATAAGCACGTGAAGCCCAGTCTTAATCTTATTGGGCTTTCTCTTTCGAAACCCAGAAACGAAACCCATTCATATTCTTCTCGAGTTAAGAAAGATGCGCCTTCCTCCTGTGCATCATAGGAGATTCATCATAGGATTGTTGCAACCTTTCGTTTCTCTTGTGTGGTCTCCGAGAGGGTTTTCCTTTATTAGTCACTTGAAGATGAGTGTGTCACATGATCGTGCAAGTATCTGTAAATTTATCCGGTTTAGGATATAAAGTAAAATACTTTCATTTTCACTCACCATTGCCATATTAGCACCGGACTAAAACAATAACCATACCATCCGGCAAGAAGCAACCAACTAAGACGCTACTAGAGTTTCTAGTTTCTACGTACTAAAGTTTCTACTAACATGGATATAAGACATCCCGATCAAGCCAAAGATTCACAAGAGGCGGAATATGTTGTGTAGCCAGCACAGTGTCACTCAATCCAGGATATCTGAGAGAGGCGTCTTCTTGAAGGGATCGGCTTTAGCGAGCTGAGCAGCCAATGCCTTGTTGGGGAAGACGTTATCAGCTTTCATTCTGTCCTTCATTCCATAAGCTGGAGCTTTGGCATTGACATAAGCCTCTATAAGTGTCTGGAACTGTTTGAAGCGAGAGTGATACCCAGCTTGCCTCATCCTCTGGAAGATCTTCTCTGTGCTGTGAACATCACCTTTACTTGCGTACTCGTCCATCACGTACATGAAGGAGCTCATCAACGGCTTTATCTGTTTCAACTTTGTTGCATTGCTCAGTGAAGAATCAGCCTTTTCTACTTCCCCTGCTTCCACGTAGAGCTTGATCAGTGCATCCCATGACAAGGCCCCGATATTGCACCCGCTGTCCAACATCCGCTTAACAAGATCCTTACCCTCTGAGACCATCTTGTGATCCACGTAAACCCTCAAGAGAACGGAGTACATGCTAGAAGAAACTCTATGGCCCATCTTCACCGACTTCTCAAAAGCCTCCTCTGCTTCTTTGACTTTATTAATCTTTCCGAAAGCCAGGATTGCAGCAATGGACTCGTTATAAAAAGGCTTTTCTTCACAGATCTTCCAAATCCTCGTCACCTCATCTTCCCTCTGGAGAGAGCCGTAGATGGAAATCAAATCCTTGCACGCATGCCGATTTGCCTCCAAGCTCTCACCTTCCATCTCTTTCAGCACTTTCTCAGCTTTCTCTTTAAGCCCAGCTGATGCATAGTGTCTTGCAATGATAGACTGTGCACGAAGGTCAAGCTCAACACCTTCGCTTTTCATCGTCTCCAATATCTGTTCCATCCCAGCTATGTCTTTTACTGATCCTTTGGTGTCGATCAGGATTTTGTATGTGTAAAGACTCGGCTTCAGATTCTCCTTCTCCATCAGCAACAACACATCAGCGATTTTCTTCTTGTCGACTCTCTTGTAAAGTGTAAGCATCTGATCACAAGCATATGATGTCCGAGGGAACCCCAAGTCCTTCATCTTGTTGAAAACCGCTTCTGCTTTCATCACATTGCTTGTTGCCGCACAGTTCGACAGGAGAGTACGGTAGACCAATTCTCCTCTGAAAGATTCCGGGATCTTTTCGATGTAAACTTCTCCCTTGTGCAGGCCACGTATCTTGGCAATCAGATCAAGCCGAGAAGCATAATCTCTCTCGTCCAATTCAAAGTGTTTGTTTTCTTCCAACCATTCTGACATCTATACGAACAACAAGACAACAACACAGAAACGAGAGAAAACACTTCAGAGGACATAACGAAGATAAATCTAATGAGAATACAGAAAAAAAAGAAGCGTAGATAAGAATCAAGAGAGTTCACTGCATTGCAAGTTTTATTCAAAAGAATATACCGACCTGCAATGCTCTCCCATACATCCGACGCCTACGGAGTTGAAGCATGGCATTTGCAATCTCTGTGCGGTTGATCTCCTTTCCTTCTTCAACCCATTTGTCAAGTGCACTCGCTACAGACAGACCTGAGACAGAAAGAATGGCATTAAACAGCTCCGATGATCTCTTGCTCGCCACTAATTTACCAGCCTCAGGGTGTAGTTCCAGTTCCGCTCCTTCAATGTCACCGTCGTCAACAGATAGCTCCTCCTCAGACTGAAGCCCGTCATCTTCACTATCACCACTAGTCTCGTTTGGAGTTCCAAGGCTTTCGATGTCATCTTCCTCTCCGGCACTTTTAGCGCCAGCGTCAGAGGAAAGCGAACGTCTTCCGGTAGAAGAACTCCAAGAGAGCTCGTAAAATCTAGGTAAAGCTTCGGTTTTACCATGTATCAACGCGTTTGATTGAATACAACCATTCCTTTCTCCCAATGGTATCTCAAGCTTAGAGTAGCACACAGCATTGCAAGCTCCTAGTCGGAGACTCTGGCTTCTGAAATTTTTTTATAAATAAGAGAAGCTGCTCATTTACCTTGAACTATGTCTACCACTCAAAACAGAAAGGAAGCATTTTCAATGGCGCATCTGAATAACATTTTAGATCCTATTTTGGGTTAGAGAAGACAATGTAAAGTTTGGAGACCAACCAACCTCCTTAAAACCTTGGAAAGAGCGAACATGTCTCCTCTTAAGGAAGATCACCGGCACTGATCTGCTACAGAGAAGATAAAACACACAGAAAAAACAGAATCAGAAGAAGAAGAAAAAGCAAACTAGGTCGGATTTAGAGGAAATGATATGCATTTTCACTCGCAAAGATCAGATCCAGTAAGCAAAGACTTTAAATTTCGAAAAGATTACAGAAAATTGTTACTGGGGAGGATGAGAGATTACAGAGTGGTGGTAAATGGAGAGCAAACGAATCGAGGACGAAATAGAGGAAAGCCAAAACCAGGAGGTCAGAGAGCTAATGGAGTGAAGGTTTAGGGTTTTACACTTTTGGACATAATAATTAGATAGAAAGGCGAAATTGTAATTTCCTACGCGATCTCACAAGTTGGGCTATCAAGTGGATCCAACTAGTAACAAGGCCCACATTTTTAACCAAGTCATATAATACATTTTTGAGATGTGGGCGTCCGAGATTACATATGGAACAAATTGTGAAGATTAGACCAAGTCCCTCTTATGGGATAACAAAACTCGTTACACTCTTCCTCCAAAACAACAAGCTGATCAATATATCAGAACTGTTCTTTCAATGGATGACGGAGCTTAAGGTTTTGGATTTGTCTTCCAATGAAAGTCTCACATAGTTGCCTGCAGACGATGTTTTACCGACATTTACATTTGATTGTACTTCACAATGTTTCATGCTTGAGCCATGTTGTCTATGATCGGGTTGTGTTCTCAACCTCCCGGAATCAAAATACACTAGAGAAAAATGTTCACTTTTATTTAGTGGAAAGAATATAACAGGCCAAAACTTCTTGCGAATTTTAGTAGTAAGCCAAAAAAAAAAAAAAGCTGAAAGGATGATCATTCTCTTCTCCAACTATGATATCATAAGCTAATAATACGTGACGGTGTTTCATTTCGCTTCTGCGGCTTTCTCAGTGATACGCAGACTTTCAGCTTTACGCACAACCTCCTCTGCCACAAGCTTCACGTGACCGCTCCTCGGATTGCTCTCCTCATGGTGCACTGAACCCACCTCCCATATTCTGACCGTCCCGTCTTCTGAGCCTGACGTGTATGACTCCCCTCCCGGTGCATACCTCACGCAGTGCACTGGTCCGTGGTGACCCTTGTTACACCCTGCATTCACCGGATTAACTTAGAACGGCTACACACACATAGATTCCTATAATGAAACCTAACTTATCATTCTTTTCTTCAAGAAACTTACCAATCTCCTCTCCTGTCTGGAAATCAAACCTATGGACCCACATATCTTCTCCTCCAGCAATGAAAGTGTTCCCGTGTTTCGGTTCCAAGGATGCCGATTCAACGTTGCAGGGCATCTCATAGCTCTTCAGCAATCCAAAACTAGGAGAGCAGGAGAAAAGCTCTAGCATAAAGGGGACAAAGAAAAGCGGCAAAGCTGTAACTGAGGATGCATTATATATAACTTAAACTTACTTAGTGGCGTCCCAAAACTTAACACTAGATCCATCAGCAGTAGTTATGTATCGCCCATCCTGGCTTACTTCAGCGCTAGTAACTGGGAATTTTGTTTCTAATGTTCGAACAATCTTGTCACTTCTTATGTCCCATAACCTACAGAGCACACATACAAGAGGACGATGAAACTAATGAATACTAAAAAAGACTGAGTCTAAACTCAGGAACGATGTGGTGAGTTACCTAATGTCACTGGAATCTGTGCAGGAGCTTAATATAGTATTATCACTATGAAGCCATTCGACGGTTCTGATTGAACCAGGAGAGTTTCCAACTTCTTTTGGAGGTGCGTCTGGCCGATTCATATCGAATATCCGAAGAATTTTCTCCATTCCACCAGTAAGTAAAAGGTGAGTGTCCTAGAATGTAAATTAGTTGTGCATTACGGCCACAGTAGAAACACAAATGACACTAACGATTCCAGACCCACAACTCCTACAAGTAATTTCCGAGAATCTTACCTCTGAGAAGGCACATGCACGAACAATGTGCTTGTGTTCAAAGGAGTGCAATTGATCTCCAGTCAATGCATTCCATATTTTCCTGAAATGTGTTATAATCACAAAGAAAGCGTCTTAATCATCAGGACTGGTCCCCATTAAACTCCCTTAACCATTTCTCTGGAAATAATATTTTCCTCATAACTTGAAGCATTCAGCAGACAACCAATCACCAGTCTCTATGAAACATCCAAGAATAGATGATTAACTAAAAATTCTTGAAACGCAACAAGAAGAACAACATACGCAGTGAAATCTGCAGAAGCTGAGGCAGCACGCATAGCATTTTTGTCAAGGCTACAGCTCCAAACTGCTCCCTTGTGTCCTTCAAAAGTCCCTATCCAATCACCAGTCTCCCCATTCCTCAACATCGGGTTCGAATCTATAATATCAGAAGCCGAAGACGATTCAGCTTGAGTTACAACAATGAAAGGCAACTCACAATCCTAATTTCTATATCAGATCAGCAAGAAATCAAAAAAACCAGACGATAATCCATGAACAATACAAGATAAGCGCAGCTATACGTGCAGATCATGGATATTCAAATGCTAACCGAACGATCCTGATTCACATCAAGATCAGAAAAAATAGGATCATACCTTTGCTGGCGCTAATGAGAAAGAACCCATCTGGAGTCACCGGACTGTAAGACACATCGACGACGGGACGAGAATGCCCGTGGCAGACTAACGGAACCCCCATCTTTGCTTGTAGATTCACTAAGAGCCCTAATGAACAAAATCTAATCAATCAGACGATTTACTCGTTTGGAATCGATTAATTTCTATGCTTATAAACTCGGAGAAATTGAAAATCTCAACGGATACCCGAAATTTATCGATCGTTTTCGATTCGCGACAAGATTCCGATTGGTTTGATCGGTGCGAATGTATGACCTGCCACGGAAATCCTCTTGAAGAGGATCAAAGATTAGAAAACTGGAAAGAGAAAACTGAGAGAAAAAGAAATGAAAAGAGGAGCAAAATTTTTTTTTTTTTTTTTTTGGGGTTTGTTACAATGGCCTTAACGCAGAGAAGAACTCGCGGAGACGACGATGGTAGTACGCTCAGAAATCAGAAACATGAAATCTTTCGTAATTTATAAGTAAAGGCTTATATTTACTACTATTGATGCTATGTCCCCCAGAACTTCGACGTGATTCCTTTACCGGCTCAAATTTAACAATAATTGTTCAAAACCCCCCAAAAGAAACAAAACTGGACAGTCGCTCCCAAATTACATTAGGATTGAGGAGTTACGTGAAAACTCCAACCAACCTTAATTTTATTCTTGGTATAGAGACATCTTATCTAAAGATTTTAAGTTGTTATTCTGGATTTTTGATTGAGATAAGTTATCGACGTAATCAAATATTTGTATTTATGGTTAACATCTAAAATCATGTGTTTATATATATATAATTTTTTTTTTTGGTAAAAATATATATATAATTTTGATTTGTCTCAATGATTCATCAGTATGTACATACCTAATGATCTCATGGTACGGCGTTTATAATCTCGAGTCCTTTTCAAACCTGGATTTTCATTATTTTTTAAAACAATGTTGACCCATGTGCACGTACGTAATTATCCGCTTTAATTATTTTATCATTCAAATCTTATAAAATGGGCTAGAACCATAAAATCTTGAGTTGTTATTCTCGATACATTCGAATTTTCCCCCCCCCGAGAGAAGGTAAAACAAAATATATATATACGTGAAAGACATCATGGTCCGTAACAACTCGGACAAAAACCAGCTTGGAACTAAAGAAAAAACAGAAACATTGTTACATTGAGAGCTAAACTTCATTTGCTCATATTTTAATGATTTGGATTGAACTAAGAAATGTATATATACAGTATACACGCGGTTTGACTGATGAAAGATTCTGGCACAATAATGGTATTTCGCACGAGCAAGTGAGTGTGATGCGTGTGTGTATATATATATATGAGTACACTATTCAATGCGTCAGGAGTGAGTTTTGGTACAACCAACTATATTAAAATGTCTGTGCATGCCCGTTTCTACACATAAAACATCTCCCACCCACTCCAACTACAAGTAATTTCTCTATCTTAGAAAGGAAAAAGGGAAATTATAATCTCGAAAATGCAGTAAAGGTTGTTTGATTCCTATATATTTTGACTAGAGAGTTTCAAGCAATTTAAAGCAGAGAAGATACATGCTTTATTGGAAAGAATATAGGAAGAAGATGAAGGAAACAGAATTAATAGAAAGATTAGTGTTTTTATTTTTGCAGAAATTTTAAACTAAAGAGGAACTCTATTTTTATTCGTCACGGTCAAGATCACCGGTGCAAGAGTCCACCACTAAATCACTGACACGTGTCTGTAGGCCCAACCACATACGTGTATAAATGGGCCCCTCTCTCAATTGCTTTCCCTATATAATCGCTTATTTTTATTAGAGCAGAAGAATACCGTTGCCTCTCGTATTTTGACCTATAAATCTGCCAAAAACCCTATAATTCGCCTACACAGTTACTTCGGCTCCGGCGTATCAGCGTCGAGGCTAGCTCTCTCTTCCTTCGGTTTTACACGGTGACACACAAACTTGTAATTTGATTCATATTCTTCCTATCCGGTTTTGCTCCTCTGATTTGCGAGATGCGAATGAAATCGAATTGCTAATGTCCTAATATCAAATATCAAACCATCCATATGTTTTTTTTCTAAAAATAGGATATGCCCATTAATTTACGTTGAAGGATAGATATTATTTAATTGAGTTGATTGAAAAAGTTTGATTTTTTTTTTTTAATTTGTTTTGCAATTGCAGAGCTCTTTTTATTAGAGAGGAGACGAAGAGGCTTATAGCTTTATCATAAAAGGAAAATTTCACTACTTTTTGCCTGCTTTCTGCATTGTGATGTTTCTCTAATTGGAATTGAGCACATTGCTGCGTTTTGCTTTTCTCATAAAAAGCAAAGAAAATTGACATTGCTACTAAGTAACAAAACAAAAGCTATGAAGTTTTTCTTTCGTAGTTGGTGGAAAAAGTGTGGAATCATCTCAAATTTGGAAATAATATTTATTGACAATTGAATTTGATAAAGTGGTCCGTTAAATGCAAGATTTGAAGTCATTGATATATATATATATATGTAAGTTATACATAAATATATTTATAGCTTCATTTCTTTTGTGGTTTAGGTCATTAAAAGTCCGGACCAGAGGCTAAGAATCTCAACCGAGCGGCGAGTTCCGCAGTCTCTGAGATATTCTGGAAGATGGAGGAAGAAAGAGTGGAAAGCTCGAACAGCATACTTCGAGGAATCGTAGCAGATCTTAAAGGAAGAGCCTTGTGTTACAAGCAAGACTGGGTCACTGGTCTCCGTTCTGGTTTCGGGTATACTTAAAACCCTGATTTCACTCAGATTTAGATTTCTTACTGAGATCAAAGAGGAACAAAATCGTGAATATTTTTTTGAGGTTTTGCAGGATTTTAGCACCAACAACGTACATATTTTTTGCCTCTGCACTTCCGGTCATCGCCTTTGGCGAGCAACTTAGCCGCGATACAGGTCTCTTTCTTTGATTTTGTTTTTTTTCCGGTTTGTTGTTGTTCACGTTTATTTGGTGGAAAATGAGTTTTTAAGTTCCACACGTTTGGTCTGCTTTTTTTTTTATTGGGGAGGTTTTAGTTTTGCATTCTCTGATATTTCTAGAAGGAAACCCATTTAAAATTTTGTTTTTTTTTAAAAATATATTTGGGGTAACTACAGAGGGAGCGTTGAGCACAGTAGATACGTTAGCATCAACAGCGTTATGTGGAGTGATACACTCGGTGTTGGGAGGACAGCCATTGTTGATACTTGGAGTTGCAGAACCAACCGTCTTAATGTACATTTACTTGTACAACTTCGCTAAAGGAAGACCAGAATTAGGCAACGAACTATACTTACCCTGGGCTGCTTGGTATACTTACTTCCCAAATTAAAAACAAAAACAAAAACTCTCTTCCTTTTTTTATGTTTTTAATTTCTGTAAAGTTATGGTTTTTCTTTGAAGGGTTTGTGTGTGGACGGCTCTGTTACTGTTCCTAATGGCGATCATGAACGCAGCTGATATTATTAACCGGTTTACAAGGGTCGCTGGTGAGCTGTTTGGTATGTTGATCTCCGTTCTGTTCATCCAACAAGCTATTAAGGTATAAAGACCTTAAAGCTCAACCACCTTTGAGTTTGTGATGATAAAAGTGAAAGCTTATATATATGTCTTTCATATGAAATTTTGGCAGGGAATGGTGAGTGAATTCGGGATGCCGAAAGATGAAGACTCAAAACTTGAAAAGTATCAGTTTCAGTGGCTCTACACAAACGGACTTCTCGGCCTCATTTTCACCTTTGGCCTTCTCTACACCGCTTTAAAGAGCAGAAAAGCAAGGTCTTGGAGATACGGAACCGGTAAGAGATGAGATGAATCTTCTCATAGTTTGGCTTTCGTTATGTGTAAAAATCAAAAGCAGGACTTAAAAAAAAATTTGATTTCTTTGAAAAGGATGGTGCAGAAGCTTCATCGCAGACTATGGAGTTCCTTTGATGGTTGTGGTTTGGACTGCATTGTCATTCAGCACGCCGTCTAAACTCCCCTCTGGTGTACCGAGAAGACTCTTTAGTCCTCTTCCATGGGACTCTGCTTCTTTAGAACATTGGACTGTCATCAAGGTTACAACAACACATCAACTCTACATTTTAACTTAAGATCTTGATTTCATCATCTGAGCATATCATTTTAAGACATGGCTTTAATGCTTTGTACAGGACATGGGGAAAATATCTCCGGGGTACATTTTCGCGGCGATTATACCGGCGTTGATGATTTCAGGGCTCTACTTCTTTGATCACAGCGTTGCCTCGCAGCTCGCGCAGCAGAAGGAGTTCAACCTCAAGAACCCTTCTGCGTATCACTATGACATTCTCTTGTTAGGTTTCATGGTATAATCAAATCAAACTCTCTTTTCTTTTCTTTGCAACCTCACCTTTACAACATTGAAAGTCTCTAGTGAAAATCTCCAAAACTGTGTTGTATTTTCTTCCTTTCAGACGTTGATCTGTGGATTGCTAGGCCTGCCTCCTTCCAATGGAGTCCTCCCTCAGTCTCCTATGCATACCAAAAGCCTTGCTGTTCTCAAACGACAGGTTTTTAATTAATACTCATTTAATCAACACTCAATATTCAGATTAAGCTGGTTGTAATGAACTTCTTCTTTTGGTTGGTGTTCAGTTGATTCGGAGGAAGATGGTGAAGACAGCCAAAGAAAGCATCAGGAGAAGAGCAACTTCCTCTGAAGTGTACGAGAATATGCAAGAAGTCTTCATAGAAATGGACAAAAGCCCACTTGTAAGTAGTAGACTCGTAATAATTCAATAAGAGAATAGTTAAGAATCATGTATTTAAGCTCTTGTTTTTAAGTACAGGCTCCATCAAACACAACAGCGATAATTGAGCTGCAAGATCTGAAGGAAGCAGTGTTGAAGAGCGATGAGGAGGAAGGAGAGAGAAACGAGGAGAGTGGTTTCGATCCAGAGAAGCACCTTGACGCTTACTTGCCTGTTCGAGTCAACGAGCAGAGAGTGAGCAACCTGTTGCAGTCACTGCTAGTGGCAGGTGCAGTATTAGCTATGCCGGCCATTAAACTCATACCGACTTCACTCCTGTGGGGATATTTCGCTTACATGGCCATCGATAGCCTCCCGGGAAATCAATTCTTCGAACGCATAATGCTTCTCTTCGTCCTACCAAGCCGGAGATTCAAGTATGTGATCTGAGAAAATGCGAAAATGCTTTTGGGTTTTTCAGATTTCTTTCAAAGACTGATCATGTGACTTTTTGTTATTGTTGACAGGGTCTTGGAGGGAGCGCACGCGTCGTTTGTGGAGAAAGTTCCGTACAAGTCAGTGGCTGCGTTCACACTGCTGCAGATACTATACTTTGGACTGTGTTACGGTGTGACGTGGATTCCGGTGGCCGGAATCATGTTTCCGGTTCCTTTCTTCCTCTTGATAGCCATCAGACAGTACATTCTCCCGAAGCTATTTAACCCGGCCCATCTCCGAGAACTCGACGCCGCCGAGTACGAGGAGATCCCCGGAACTCCTAGAAACACACTCGAACTGTCTTTCCGGGTGAGTCCACAATGTTGGCTAATCTCTAGAGTCTGAGGAAGACGTTTACAAATAACGTTATTTATATTGTCATTTGTCGAATTAATAATGGCTGAGTCAACCTTTGTTTTAGTCGACTGACTCGAAGAGAGGCGTCCAAGAGAGGGATGCTGAGATTCTAGACGAGTTAACGACGAGCAGAGGCGAGCTCAAAGTCCGTACCACCAGTTTTAACGAAGACAAAGGCAACCAGGTTTTTTGTTCTTGCTTTGTTATAGATCATCATTCTTGAGTTTGAATCTTAATTATTTGTAAACATATTTTTACAGACTTTATGTTTCGTTATTATAAAAATCGTGCAGATTTATCCCTAGGAAATCGTAGAAGCAGGGGATGGGGACATGAGGAGAGGGAGTGACCTATCTATCAACACCTAGAAGTTTTTTTGTTTTTACCAACCTACTACTCTCGGACAACAAGAACTCAAAACCATTTTTTCAAGTGATAATCATGATCAAAATCATTTAGTATTGTAGATGAAAAGTCAAAACACAGATAATCTGTAGCTTGTTTTTTTTCTTTCTTAAACCCAAGATGATTTGTCAAGATATTCTTCTTAGCAGTTACAAAAATTAAAGTGTTAGTTCAGAAAATGTTACGGATATATTGTATACCATTTATCAATTCTTTCTCTTCTCTTACAGAAATTGGGACAACGAGATAAAAAGGTCTTAACAAAGTATTTAAAAATTCACTTTATATTGTCAGCGAGGAATATATTACTTTGTACGAATAACCTATCACCAAAGGATCCGTGGCGCAATGGTAGCGCGTCTGACTCCAGATCAGAAGGTTGCGTGTTCGATTCACGTCGGGTTCAATCTCCCGAATCTTGGTCCTTACTTTTTTTTTCCTTTTGTCCCTCAAAACATCAAAATTCCACATTATGCCCATACTTTTTTCCCAATTTTAATTTCCATGCTTTTATATGGGCCTGGAGATTGCGCGAGTTGTCCATCAAATTCTTAAGTTAAACTGTCGATGGTAGGTATATTTTGATGATAAAAGTGTTTTTTTTTAAACCAGAAAATAAAGAGGGGTTCTGTGTCCGAGATTGAAACCCTCCTTAAACCCTAACGCCGTAAGCTTCGCCGCCGGCTTCTCATTTCTCTCCAGACTCTGTTCGGATCCGAACGCCATGAACTACCGCTTCCAGAATCTTCTTGGCGCCCCTTACAGAGGCGGGAACGCCGTCGTCACGCAGAACAGTCAGCTTATCTCACCTGTCGGCAATCGTGTCTCCGTCACGGACCTCAACAAGCACCACACGGTTACTCTCCGTATCAATACCTCTTCCAACATCTGTCGCCTCGCTGCCTCTCCCGATGGGACATTCCTAATCGCCGTCGACGAAAATAACCGATGCATCTTCATCAACGTGCCTCGACGGGTGGTTCTTCACAGAATGGACTTCAAAGGGAAAGTCGGCGCCTTGAAGTTTAGCCCTAATGGTAAGTTTATCGCCGTCGGGATAGGTAAGCTGGTCGAGATATGGCAATCACCTGGTTTCAGTCGGGCGGTTTTCGCCTTTCAGCGGGTTAGGACTTTTGCTAACTCTGATGACAAAGTTGTCTCCTTGGAGTGGAGCTTGGACTCTGATTATTTGCTTGTTGGCTCGAAGGATTTAGCAGCTAGGTTGTTTTGCGTCAGGAAGTTAAAGGGTGTCTTGAACAAGCCCTATTTGTTTCTGGGTCACAGAGATTCTGTTGTAGGTTGCTTCTTTGGTGTTGATAAATTGACCAACAAGGTCAACAGGGCTTTCACCATTGCGCGGGATGGTTACATCTTCAGTTGGGGATATAGTGGAAATGATGTCAAAATGGACGAAGCAGAAGATGACCACTCTGAGCCACCTTCTCCTGATACTCCAGAGAAGGCTGATGAGGTGATTGTGGAAAATGGTGGTGGTGGTATTGGCACTGATATTAAGAAAAGAAAAGTGTATGACGGTAGAGGTCGTGGTTCAGATGATGAAGAAGAAGAAGACGACGATGAAGAGTATATGCATAGAGGGAAATGGGTTTTGTTGAGGAAGGATGGGTTTAATCAGGGATCGGCAAAGGTGACAGCTTGTGACTATCACCAGGGGCTCGACATGGTTGTGGTTGGGTTCTCCAATGGCGTTTTCGGGCTTTATCAGATGCCAGATTTCATCTGTATTCATCTGCTGTCTATTTCTAGGGAGAAGCTAACAACAGCTGTCTTTAATGGGAGTGGTAATTGGCTGACCTTTGGCTGCGCGAAACTTGGTCAACTGTTAGTCTGGGAGTGGCGATCTGAGAGCTATATACTGAAGCAACAAGGACACTATTTTGATGTAAACTGTATCACTTACTCACCTGATTCACAGTTCTTGGCTACTGGTGCTGATGATAACAAAGTCAAGGTATTAAAATCTCTCAGACTTAACTGATTATGTTTCTTTACCGTGCTTCACATATACTTCTGAAGTTAACCAGCCCCTGTTTTTTTTTTATTGTTGCATTATACAGGTGTGGAACGTTGCATCAGGATCATGTTTCATCACCTTTACAGAGCATACCAATGCAGTCACTGCTCTTCATTTTATGGCTGACAACCACTCCCTCTTAAGCGCATCTCTTGACGGAACTGTTCGTGCTTGGGATTTTAGAAGATACAAGAACTACAAAACATATACAACCCCTACACCCCGGCAGTTTGTTTCCTTAACCGCAGACATGAGTGGTGATGTCGTCTGTGCTGGGACCCTAGATTCATTCGAGGTAATTTAATATAAGCCTTTACTGAATTGAGTCACATACTCACAAGTACAAACTCACAGTTTCTTATGTTGAGGTGATTCACTTTCTATTTGCCTATGTGCAGATTTTTGTATGGTCCAAGAAGACTGGGCAAATAAAAGATATTCTGAATGGGCATGAGGCTCCCGTTCATGGGTTAATGTTTTCTCCCTTAACGGTAAATTAACTGTAGTAGTCTCGTATGTCTTTTGGTCCAATTATATTCTGTTTCTTGACTGAAAACAATTATGTGAAAACTAGCTAATGACGTAGAACTTTTTGTAGCTATGTATGCTTCTTGCTTATGTTGTGATAACTTCCATGCCTTATCTAGATCCATATTTCTTTCTCTGCAGCAAATTTTGGCTTCATCCTCATGGGACAATACGGTTCGGTTGTGGGATGTGTTCGCTAGCAAAGGCACAGTGGAGACGTTTCAGCACAACCACGATGTTCTAACAGTTACTTTCCGTCCTGATGGGAAACAGTTAGCCTCGAGTACGCTAGATGGGCAGATCCATTTTTGGGACACCATTGATGGTGTGTTGATGTACACCATAGAAGGGCGGAGAGATATTGCTGGAGGTCGCAACATGACCGACCGTCGAACTGCAGCTAATTCAACTTCTGGAAAGTGCTTTACAACATTGTGCTATTCCGCTGATGGAGGTTATATTCTAGCCGCAGGAACTAGCAGATACATTTGCATGTACGACGTCTCGGATCAGGTTAGCTCATTAGCTCTCTTTGGAATTCATCTTCTCTTAGCCTCTAAAGTTTGATGCAGATTTTGAAAGCTCGTGTTTTGCTTATCTAAGAAATATTACATTTTCAGGTTTTGTTGCGCCGGTTTGAAATATCCCATAATCGCTCGTTAGATGGGGTTCTTGACTTCCTGAACTCCAAGAAGATGACAGAAGCAGGACCAATGGACCTGATTGATGATGACAACAGTGATGAAGAAGATGGCATTGATAAACAGTCTCGGGGGAATTTGGGTTATGATCTGCCTGGATCCAGGCCTAACCGTGGCAGGCCTATTATCCGCACGAAGAGCCTGAGCATTGCCCCAACTGGGAGGAGCTTTGCAGCTGCAACAACCGAAGGAGTTCTCATCTATTCAATCGACGAATCCTTCATCTTTGATCCAACGGATCTTGACATAGACGTGACGCCAGAGGTGAGCCTTTTATAAACTGATTTAACGTGTTAGAGCGGGTGATGATGATTTTAGTTCTGATTGTTGGTTTTGAAAAGCAAAGGGTAATATGATTTTGTTGTTTGTGTAGGCGGTTGAGGATGCCATAAAGGAGGAAAAAGTGAGCAGAGCACTTGCTCTGAGTATGCGTTTGAACGAAGACAGCCTCATAAAAAAATGCATCTTTGCTGTATCCCCTGCAGACATAAAAGCTGTTACAATCTCTGTCCCCCAGAAATACTTAGAAAGGCTTATGGAAGCTTTGGTGGATCTGATTGAGAACTGTCCTCATCTGGAGTTCTTACTTCACTGGTGTCAGGTTCGCTCGCTTTCCTTTCTCTGTTAGTCTCTCTAACCCAACTGCTCTCTAGCTGCTGATCAAACTTTGTGTTGTCTTTAATATGTTCAGGAAGTCTGCAAGGCGCACGCAAGCTCCATTCAGCGAAACTACAGGAGCCTACTACCTGCGTTGAGATCGCTGCAGAAGGGAATCACCAGGGCCCACCAGGATCTGACAGATATGTGTTCTTCCAACGAGTACACGCTTCGCTACTTGTGTTCTGTTCCAAACAATCATTGATTATGTTTACTGCACTTCACTGAACGGAACTATTTGTAACTCGGAAGTTTTCATTTTCCTTTTCTGGGAAAACACTTTTTATATACGAGTTATATGAATCAAGAATCACATAGAGGTTCTAACAGGAGTGCAAATTGCAATCATAAAGAAGTATGAAAAAAATGTGATTATTGTAATTTAAACTGCATCTCTTGGTTCGTCCAAGGATGAGGAGGTTGCAGCAATGAGATGAAGAATGTGAATATTTTTGATTTAAAACAGAATCTCTTGAAGATCCAAAGTTGAGGTTGCAGCTATGGATACTTCACTAACAGAAACTTAATACAAACAATATAAATTTTTTGCCTATAACCAGAGCTGATGTCGCTATAAAACCTAAACACTGAAGCACATTTATGGATAATAAATCAAGAGACATCAAAACTTTGATCGAATTCATCAAACACCCGGGCACTTGAATCTTTCACGGAGTCCATCGGGGAAACACGGGCTCATGGAACTCCAACCGGGGCATGTGAGGCGGGTAATTGGCAGGAGTCGCTTGGCTCCTTGTACCAATGAAAAGGTTGTGTATGAAAGCATCGAAGTTGAGATCGATCATGGGATGTTGGTAAGGAAGCTGATGGAGAGAGTTGGTCAACAAACTCTGTTCCGCTTCCCATCTCTGACGAGCATTGATCAACTCAATGTACTCCGCCTCTCTTTCAAACTGCTCCCACATGTGTTGCTCCCAAGGGTCCAGCTTCGACGGTGTGAAACCGGGATGCTCAGCTTTCAAGTGGGTTTTCAGCTGAGAGTAGCTCCCGGAGAAATCGCACTTGTCCATCGCACAGCTCCTCGGTCTAGCATTCATGAACCTCCTCGCGCACGTCGACTTCATCGTCCCGTACACCTCCCCTCTGCAGTACGGGCAGTTCAGGGTCTTGCCGTTGCAGCGGCTCATGCTCTTGTTGTTGTTGTTCCTGCGGTACTGCTTGAAGCAGTTGGAGTGACGGGCGCTTGTGTCGCACATGTACGCACGGCATCCTTTGGAGTAGGAAGAGCATTGCAAGAGGACTGCATTGTGCGGCGGCTCCATGCAGATCACACACCTCACGTCCTCCCATTCACTCACACTCTCCGGCTCGAGAGGCGACTCGGCCTCCTTTTGTTTCTTGCTCCTACATGACCGAAGCGGGTAAGGCGATACCCTGTCCCTGTTGCTTGAAACCGGCAAAATCCTTCTCTCCTTCAGCATCTTGCACACTGAAAGCAACACAAAAAGAGTTTAATTCGACATCTTTCTGCAATCTACATATCAAAGCCAAAGACTCAATAATCTATTACATTCAATTTAGATACAACAACCCAATGGAAATGAGACAGGACAAAGAAAGAGCTTAAATGAGTCCTACTGAATGTTACATTCTCAGTCAGATGATAAACGAATAGCAGAAGATGATGGTTTCACCTCAAAACAAGACGAGAGTATTTGTAATTATCAAGTCAATTGAAATTGAAACTATTCACTTATCACAAACAGTTGTAAAACTTCTCGATCCTCTAAACAATGCAAAAACATTCGATTCCGCGACAGATTTCCAAGCAGAAAACAGATCAATTCGATTAAAAATCAACGAGTCGATGGAATTTTTTCAACCAGGGAAGAAAGAAAAAAACAAAACAAAAATCAAACGCGAAATTGATGCCCAGAAATTTCTGATCACATCCACAAAACCGCTAAAGGACAGAACGTCATCGGATCGAGAGATTCGCCGGCGAGTAATCATCGCCCATATGAAAATAAAAAGACGGAAAGGAAAACGAATTAAAAAAAAAAAAATTACCTCGCCGGAGAAACGAAAGAGGCTCTTTGAGAGAGAAAAGTAGAGAGACTCCTCGTAAAGAGTTTCGTATGAAAACGGTGAAGATGGAAAGAAAAAAAAATAAAAATGGATGCGCGTGCGTGAATGTGAGATTGCCGGTGGGTTTTTATAGGCGTCGAGACGTCTTTTCAAACTTGACGTAAATACCCTTCCCTCGTTGTAAGTCCACCCTCTCTACTTTCCTTGCCAAATTAACCACATTTGTCTTTTTGACTTCTTTGCCGTTGCTTTTCCTTTTAAACGGCTTTAAAAGTTTTCTTTGTTTTGCCCACATTCAATACGTGTCCTTACTACAAACAAATATATTCACAGATTATGATAAGCGCCATTATGGTATTTATTTATTTTTCATTCAAATCTACTACAAACTTTAAATATTTATATAATTCATGGAGATACTGTAACCAATGTTAATGTTTAAAATTAGTCCAAAATCAATCAAAATCACACAGTCATATATTGTTTCTATATCTATTAGATAAAATCAAACATAATATGTAAATTTATGTTGTTATCTGTATTACATCACATGTCCATTCTACATCTGTTGGGATCCGTATAATTACTGATTTTAATTTCTATTCAATTCAACTTACAAATACAAGTCTTATAGGTAGCTTTTTATGTCTATATATTTTAAAAAAATAGATAAGAGCAAATCATAACGTTAACTTTTTGGCTTTAGAAAATCTTTTTCTTTCTTGTATTTCCAAACTATGCCTCTTTATTCTCTGTATTTTGTTTTCAAAAAAATATTATCTTTCTTATTAAGTTGGGTGAATGAAAGAAAATATGTTAATACTAGCTGTCACTTCATATACACATATTGTCTTTTTCTCCTTTTTGACGTATGTATATACATATGAATCTACTACATTTTAAGGTGTAAGATACATTGTCTAGTAGCTACAGATCCAAATTTCTAGTAGATATATATTATCTATTACATTTTAAGGTGTAAGATACATTTTCTAGTTCTAGTAGATACAAATACAAATTCCTAATCTTATTCCTTGCATGCCACTAATATGCAAGTGTAAGGAATTAGCCCGCGTCAAAATGAATGACAGGCTTCCAAGTTCCAATTTTTATTAGAAAAAAATTAAAATTTTCTTAGGGAGAAGTGTAGTTATTAAGAAAATGTGAAATACCGTTTTTTCTTGTTATACAATTAAGCCAAAAAAATAAAAAAATTATACAAAGATATTGGAAGAGATTACACCGTAAACTCAGCCCAACTATTGCGATATGTCGGCCCAATAGAGAAAAAGCACTTCAACCCCACCCAATCTGACCTGACCCGACCCGTAGCTTTTAACTGTGTGAAGTTTGTTGAGACTAGAACCCTAAACCCGCGTCGGCACTCTTTCTCTTTCCGCCTCTCTCGCTCATCGCCGACCATGGCCAAGGAGAAATTGAAGCCTCTACCCACCTCCGATGGAGGTTCGCTTCATTCAATCCCCTTTCGTTTACCGATTACTCAATTTCACTTCTAGTACCTCTTACGCATGGTGAAACTCACTTCTCTTTGTTATTCTTTTATGAATCCAACAGGTGAAATCGCCGACGCTCCTTCCCGAGAGAAGAAGCATAAGAAGAAGAACAGGAAGCGAGCTGAACCTGATCCCGATTTGCCCTCAACGAGAGACGTTCCGGATTCCGGTAAGTGATATTTAAAAGTTGCTAGAAACTCGCATTTTCTGTTAAGGCTAGATTGTTGAGGATAAAAGCTCTGGCTGAGTCCAGCTAGAGATTGATATGACTTGATTGGCCAATCTTATATTAGGGTTCTTGTATCATGGTATAGGTCTTGATGAAGATAGAGACGGAGTGCTCGTAGATGATGCTCAGAACGAGCCGACGATGGGTGATAAGTTTGAGAGTCTTAACTTATTAAGCGGAGAAAAACTTAGCAGTGAGGAGGCTAATCCCGCTTCTGCTCCGGTCGATGATAAACCTCCTACCGCAGCCTCTGTTAACGTTCTTCTGAGACAAGCTTTGCATGCTGATGATCGATCTCTTCTACTGGATTGCTTGTACAACCGAGATGAACAGGTTCGGAAGATATTTTCTGTGTGTTTCTTCTTTACCTTTTTGGTTGTTTGTTTCCATTCTTGGTTTCTTCCTAACTCCTCCACTTCTATATGCTTTACAGGTGATTGCTAATTCGGTTGCTAAGTTGAATTCAGCAGACGTTCTCAAGCTTCTAAATTCCCTTCTACCAATACTACAATCAAGGTGAGAGCTGAAGATATAGTTTGTGTGTGTGTGTGTGTGTGAACTCTGTTGATGCTTTTGTTGAATCTGCTTTTCAAGCTCTGATTTTATATATTCTTACTATGCAGGGGTGCAATTTTAGCTTGTGCGATTCCTTGGATAAAGTGTCTATTACTTACTCATTCCAGTGGGATTATGTCCCAAGAGTCATCGTTGGTCGCATTAAACTCCATGTATCAGGTTAGGAACTGCTCGACTTTATCTTACGACTGTGCTTGCCATTGCGGCTCGGTTAGAAATACAGAACAGAAAGTCGGGATATATGAATCATTGATATGTATTTCATTGGTTGTGTTCGCAGCTCATTGAATCACGGGTATCGACTATTCATACCGCCGAAGAAGTTTCAAGCGGCTTGGACTTGGTATGTATTGTATTGCCATGAAACGAAGAAGAATTTTGATTTCAGCGTGTAGCCTAGGGGTAGCATTTTGTGTTTGATTCCTTGGATCACTTTAGTAAAGAAATAACGCAATGGAAGTTATGGGGTCGCTTAACAGGATAACACTGACATTTAGACTGTATAGCATGTTACTGATTCGTCATTGATTGTGTTTATGGTAGATTGTGGACGACTCTGATGAAGACGAAGAAGATACAGGTCCTGTGATCTATGAGGACAAGGACAGTGATGAAGAAGAAGAAGGAGAAGGATCAGAGGAAGAAATGGAGACTGATGAAGAGGCAGACGGATCAGCGGATGAAGCAGCTGATGGTGTCAATGATTTTGAAGATTTTGACGACATGAGCGATTAACAAGACTCCTGAAAACGGGAAAAGTTTTGATTTGTCTGAGGCTGATTGATTGATTCTTAGATGTTAAGAATGGTGCTTAAAGGTACAACTTCACGTCAAGATGTCTCAGCGGCATTTCTGTAATACGTAATGGTTTATATTGATATGGACGAGACTTTGTACTGAGAACTAGTTTATTATTTTTATAAAATGAAAATGGTGAGAATAGGAAAGGTGTATGTAAAACAAAAGGAAAGAGCAAGGTTGAAAAAGTCGAGCCTGTGAGAGAATGGTGGATCATAAAATCGAAAAGCTGTCCTTGAAAAATGCAACACCATTCAATATTGAAGAGAGAATACTATAATTAAAGAAAGAAATTTGTATTGAGAAGATATGAGAAAAAGTAAGAAATGGCGAGCAGACAGAATGAGGAGTTCAGTGTGAAGGCCGGCCAAATCGTGGGCCAAGCACAAGTCAGTGGTCTTGTTCAATTTTTCCTTTACTTGTGACTTTTCTGATCATATACTGTATATTAACTTGTGTAATTGTTACAAACAAAAAACAATATATATATATATATATATATATATATATATAGTAAAAGTAAGAAGTGTAAAGTGAAGAAATCTGATGTTTTGAATCAGGCGAGGAGAGAGGATTGCCAAGTGGATAGCACAACCTCTTCTCAAGCATCAGGCTTTCTCCAGCAGGTTAAACTAACACATAAGTTCAGCATTGTTGTGTTGTAGTTTTGGTTTCATTTTTAAGATGTAAGAATGATATTTCAGAAAGGGGAGAAAGTGAAGAGCATGGCGCAAGGAGCATCAGAGGCAGTGAAGAACACATTAGGGATGAACACTGACAACAACAATGATTACAAGAACAAGAACCCTTTGGATAGGAAGAACCCTAACAACACAACCTGTCCAAGCATGCCTGGTCATCCTCCTTCCGATATTTAACATTTCACAATACTCATCCTTTCGTCTATCAACCTTTTAAATTCCACTAATAATTGTCTGTAACAATAAGGGCTCTTACACAATGCACTTTAAGACAATGTTCACACTTATGTTGACCAAAATATAAAAAGAAGACATGTTGAGACTTTGGTATTAGTATTGGGAATGATTTCTCTATCACAGGCACCGTTTTACACTATGGTTATTCTACTCCGGCCGGTTCCTTTTCTTTTTCACATATTTATTATACACACACTCACAAACTCCAATCTCCCTAAAGATCAACGAGTCTCTGCCCATTTGATGGCAGATCTTGCAAGTGCATCCATTGGATCAACGCACTTCTTTAGCAGAGGATCATCCCTTGGCAAGAGGTCTCGCATCTCATCTGACCCTAGCACCACCACATTCACCGCCTGCACCAGCAGTACCTGCAGTGCTATCCTCAGAAGGTTCCGTGCTCCTTCCATGTCTCCTCTCTTCATCGCTTCTATGGCCGGGATCACCGTGTGCTCCATTGTCGCCTTGTCTGGAAGCACCGCCTCAAATCCCTGTTTATAAACAAGTAACAGACTCGCTTAGACATAAATGATCAGAGATATGTTGTTCAAATGAACACAACAGAAACACTGACATTGCTCTGTAGTCTCTCCTGGTAGAACCCTGCGGATAATGTGGCGTTAGTGGCCATCACACCTACGCGCAGCGGATTCCCAGCTTCAAGAGGCTTCATTTTCGCCTCTTCCAGCTCTTCAGATATGCATTCACCCATGTGAAGCACAGGAACCGAACTCCCTTCACAAACCTCCTCATACCATGTATGTGCAATATGACAAGGCACTAGGATCAGTTTAGCTCCACATCTCTCAAGAGACCTTCTCTTGTTCCTTAGATTTTCCACAATCTGCTTTGGATCCACCGGAGTACCCTCTGCTCTATGGTAGAGAGAAGGATAAGAGTGCTCCTCGTATAACAGAAGCTCCTTGTTGAGTGTAGGATCGGAGCAAAGCACGAATGGTAAGGAGCTTTTACCATCTTGTGAGCTCCAATCAACGAGTTTCTGCACAAAATTCAGAGTGGAACTAGTTGAAACACCTCCAATAATCCCCACCGTGTTGGCTTGCCTGAGCAAAGAATCTTCAGAAAGACTGTTTAAACTGTGTCTCGAATCTTCACTCAGAGAGAAACCCTTCTTGGACTTGGGAAGATCATTGCTTTCGTCCATCTGCAAGAGGGTTGAATACGGTGGCATGGCTAGAACACGACTCAGTCTTACCCTGCACGATATACGGTTGGAGTAGCATACATGATCTAAACCATGAGATGGGTTTGTGAAAGTCTGAAGATACATCACCAAGGTTTGTGAAAGTCCTTCCCTACAAACCTGAACCTTACTTCAGATTCAAATTCCAAATCTTGACACCAGAGTTCTAAATCCAGCTCAGATTCAAAAAAAATATAAAGGAAAAAAGAAAGGAACTTTAAGGTTACAAACTCGCAGGTATTCTAGGGGAAGAACTTCTGTCTGGCTTTTGGGAGTAAGATCCTAGAATCTGTAACGTCAACTCACTTTCTGCACTTCCCTGCTGAAAAAGTAGTTCTCCTCAGTAAGACAGAAGCTATATAGAAGATTCTCTTGCAAAACAGATCTTTCTAATTCATTGTGCAGGATGATGATGGATTGCCTTTATGTTTTCTGATGGCAGAAACAAAAAACGAAATAGTACTAAAGGAACAGGTGGGGCATCAGAACAACGGCCTCAAATCAACCCAATGCTTTTTTAATCTCTGTCAAAGAAACCCCTCCGATGAAAACTGGACCAGTACTAGAGTCACATCAAGTTTAAGTGAAGAATCTTTGCATCAGGTTTCCACAATGAGATAGAATTCTATTGGATTTCACCATCAGGGAGTAAAGACGAAGAAAGGAAAAAAAATCCCTCCATGTAAGGCGATAAAACCAATAAGAGGTGTCTGTCTCTGTCTGGTTCTATTTTCCGTTACTTGGGATATTTTTATATATATATTTCCGGCAACTTGTGGGTTGTCTCTGTTAGGTGGATTCCTTTGTTTTCTTGTCCGCTACTGAATCCCACACATGGTCCATCAGCCATCTAAGGGTCCAGCCGAATTTTATAATACCTCCAATCAATTGAATTCTTCCAGAAACTTGTGTGTTTGTAACAGGGGATGATCTTAGCGGTAAAACTCAAAAGGAGGTTTCTTTGCTCACTTATACAAATGGGTTTTAAACAGTCTGAGGAAAGCTCCTGAAAAAAGGGAACTTTTAAGGGAAGGAGAAAATTGTAGAGCAGCAAGAACAGATTCAGTAAGAACCAAGCTTTCATTGTTAAACACATACAAAATTGATTTCAACATGTAAAATGCGGATATACACGTATGTAGCATCAAATTACCCAAGAAACAAATGTTAGGCTCCGGATATGCATACATTGGCGAAAATGACAAAATTCGGATGAATGTGTTACCTGGATAGAGGGGATCTGGAGTGCAATCATCGAAGACTCATTGTTTTTTTTTTTTTTTTAAATCAAAATTTGATGACGTCTCAAGGAACATTTTAAGTTTATACTTCTCTTTTGTCCCACATCGGTTTCTTAACTTATAATTGTTTTGTATATATAAGTCCTCCACCCATTAACCGTACGTCGAGCTCAGTAACTAGGGCTTGTGACCCGAGTGGGGACAAAAAGTTGATGGGACACTGGCTCGGCCCACGGGTCGGATCTGATGTGGCAATGTTATGGGCTGCCCAGTCCAAGCTGAGAGTGTTTCGTGTGGGCTAAGCGAAGGCTTTCCTCAAACGGATCCTAAAGTTGGAGGGCAATGCGTGAGGCTGGTTTCACAGAGCAGCGACTACCTCCCGCTCTCAGCAGTGGACGGATCACAGCTCAACGCTTCTCAGTTCCACCATGGCCTGCTGGCTCGTACCCAGTTGAACCATCAATTTTTTTTTAATTTAGTTTTCACTTATGAAAATAACAGACAAACTCAAAGATGAAATTAAAAGAAAAGGGAAGAAGAAGCGAAAGCCTCTTTGTTTGTTACATTTGCATTTGTGATTCAGAAAATGCGTGTCCATAGCCAAAACTGTAATTACTAGAAAAATCAGAAGACATGTTCATGTAAGAAGAAGAAGAACAAGAAGAAGGAGAAGGCACCACCATTATGTTCCTAAGGTCCTCGAGCGCAGATTTCATCTCTTGTAACTGAAGCAAACTCATTTCCTCCACCGACCATTTGGCCATCTCACTCGATTTCCTCATCGCTTCACCTTTCTTCTTCTTCTCCTCCTCCAACTGACTCAACACAAAACTCAACTCGCTTCTCGCCGCTTCGTTTTCCTGCGGTTGTTTTTGTTGCACGAGTGACGACGCATTGTTTCTGTAGCGGTCCAATACGGAGTAGAGGTTCGGATGGCCGAACGAGAAAGGCTTTTTGGCCGGAGAGTAAACGATGATCGCGACCTCTGCACCGCACAAAGTGCATAGCTCGCTGGCTTTCTTGAAGAGACCGGCTTTGCGTTTCGAGAACGTGACTTGCCTGTGGCTCTCCTTCTCTATCTTAGCCATCCGAATCCTTTGCCGTCCGACGCTTCCTTTCTTCTTCCAAGTCATTACTTGTTGAGACATTTCGTTGGAAGGATTTGTTTCTTCATCCTTTGATTAATATATATATACATGGTTTGAGTCTTGATTGTGGTGTGGCGATATCAGAGTTGCATTTGTAACAGCCATTTGTCATTTACGCTGTTTCTATTTTTCTTTGTTGATAGATGATGAAATGCCAAGATTTGTGTGAGTTATAAAAATCTCAATTTGTTAATGTTGTGATAAGCAAAGATTTACTCGTACATAATAACAACAGTTGTCGACCGTTTATTTGTGAACCGATTTGCTAATCCCACCACATTTATATGTTTTAATTAGTTTAATACTGAGGAAAACAGATGATACATAGTCAAGAGGGTTAATTATTTGCTTGGATTAAACTATATAATTGTACAGTGTATTTACAAATTGGCGACCGAGATACTTTGACCCACTTTCACCGTTTTTTTGTTCCTTTCAAAATTAAAACCAATTTAAAACGAGAGATTTAGCATCTAATGTCATCACCTAATACATTTGGTTACCCAATTGAAGAAGAAAAAGATTTCATATTAAATCATACCATGTCCCATAAGTCAATTCTCGTGTTCGTTTCTAACCTATTATATAACCCATGACACTCGTTTATAAAACAATACAGGTATATAAAAGTCTATTTAGACTTTAGAGAAACAATCAAGTTAATTTTGAGATGAATAAAAATGAGTCTTGAATTATATATTATCCAAATTTCACTGAAAAATCAGGGTAGAAATGTTAACTATTTCTGCTAAATTGCTATTTAGTTGTTACAAGAATATTTTGATTTTCGAAATGGAAACATCATGATCATAATAATAAATACTAGTAATAATAGTGGACCGTCCTCATTTAAATAGTGAGGATAGGGGAAGAAGTCTGGAACACAATGATTAATCAATCACTTATAAGCCTAATCACTTTTTTTTTAAGTCTTTCAGCTCAAAAAGAAGCGAAGAAATCAGAGAGACAGAGAGAGAAGCATGGAGGGTCTTCAAAGATCAACCATTTCGTTCCGCCGTCAGGGATCTTCCGGTATAGTCTGGGACGATCGTCTCATCGCCGAGCTTAACAAACAGGCCACCGAGCAGAAAGACGAAAGTCAACGCGACGAACAGCCTAATAAGCCGATGTCGGAAGGCTCGGAGCAAGGAAACCCGATCGCCGGCGATGAGAAAGAGAAGGAAAAGCTCAGGCCGATCAAAACCGGTGGACCAACAATGGGAGGAATCGAGAGGAGTCGATCTAACGGAGGAGGAGCCCCGCGACATCACCGAACAACCGGAAGAGTGTCTCCTGCGGTGGACCCGCCGTCTCCGAGAATCTCGACATGCGGATGCTGCTCTGCGTTTGGGAAGAAACCGCCGGGGATGAAGAACAATCCGAGGAAGAGGCCCCCGAAGCGCCGATCGAGGTAGAGCGCAGGATTAAACTGAAAGAGAAAATAGTATACTGTCTTTGATCCCTCTTCCTTCTGTGTGCTCTGCTCCAAACTTTGATTTTATTTTCGATTTATCCTTTGAAGCTTATATATATATATAGTAGATCACAAGACTTTTGGATTTTCTGGGTGATTGTAAATTAGCTATCTTTTTTCAGACATATTCCATTTCTGTACAAACCAAACCGAATTTCCGATTTGGGGATCCACAACCATCCTTCTTCTCTGGGCGAATTTTTAGATAAATGTTTCCCGAGAAAAAAAGAAAAATTCAATTTTTCGGTTCGCAGAGAAATCAAACCACTCCAAGTTCCTTCCTGAATATTCTAGGGTTTCGAACCTGGCAGCCGCCGGCAGAGAAGGCGGCGGATCGTAGACAAGGAAAAGATGGGATATTATTGCTTGATTGCTTTGAACAGATGTTGCAATCTGCACTTTGCGTTTACTGGGAAACGGACGGCTGCGATTAGATCATTACTTTTATTTAATGGTTAATATTGAGCTCATATTTATATATGTTTACTGGCTCCCGCCGATGATGAGGGCCACTTCACCGCCGCATCTCACGGCTTCGCCACCGTGTCTTGTCCTGATCGAGCAAAATACATCACGTTTCCAGTTTTTTTTCTTCTTATTTTTAAATGAAAAGATCTGAAGAATAGCCGTCTTAAATTGTAGTAATTCTATCATGAATGACAAATCTTCCATCCATTACAAACAAAATCCACAAAAATAAAACACTCTCTCCTCCGGTCAAAGTTTTTACCTCTGAAGATATATGCGTAAAGCTCAAATCTTTATCGAATCAAAACATAACATTTGAAGAATCTGTCATTGAGGCCCGATCTTAGGACAGCCTTCTGCTAGAGGCAAGTCCAAGTTGTCGACTGTCCTAAAAGTTCGTGGGACCATCTTATCGACATAAAGATTACCATCCAAATGATCGCACTCGTGCTGTAGAATCCTTGCTTGCCAGCCTGAAGCATTCACTTCGATCCGCTTTCCTCGGCGATCGTAGCCTGTCACCACCACTTCAAGGTATCTCTCCACCAAAGCTCTGAATCCATCAACACTCAGACACCCTTCGAAGAAGAGAGCTTTCCTGTTGCTGCTCCCTCTAAGCTCCGGATTCACCAACACCTAACAAATTCAAGATTGATATTTGTTTTGAACTCATCAATTGTACAACTCTAAGCACTAATTCTCTACTCTTTATTACCATGAGATCAAAGGGACGCCTTTGTTGAGCAAGAATCTCGTCCTTGGGTGCGTAACTTATATACTCTTTTGTATCTTCCAAAACGATAATCTGCATCACCATGAATAATAACGATTCAATTTATCGGATTTGAACAAATGGGGAAATAAGGAATAAGCATTAGGCTTGCTTACTCTTAAGGGGACACCAATCTGAGGAGCAGCGAGGCCAACTCCAGGAGCTAATCTCATAACTTTGACCATATCATCAATTATCTTCTGAATACGCTCCGACCCGATTTCTTTCGGGTCAACTTCTCGGGCCTTCTCGTGCAGAACAGGGTCTCCAGCTGCCACTATTTCCGGTAAATCCACTTTCTTCTTCTTGTCCCCTAGACCCAATAGCCAACCGGCCTTCGTAGTCAAAGAGGAAGAAGAAGAAGAAGACGAACTATACAGCTTACGGTTTAACAAGAGTGAGGAATCGGGTCTTGAAACGGGGAACCGAATCGAGCGACATGTCACGGCGGCGGAAACCGGAAGTAGACGAAGTGAGAATCTGAAGAGGGTTTCCATGGCCGTCGCTTGGTCGGTCACTGTGAGTCCCATCGGACATTTCTTGAAATATGGCTCTTTGGGCCTTTGGGCCTTTGGGCTTGCTACAGCTTACGTCTGGGGCGAATATTTCGGCCCAGTCTCTTACCCGCCCAATGTAATTTGTCTTTGTCTCCAGCGAAATTTGTCTGTTTTTGACATTCGTGATCAACTTGCTAGTTTAGTCGTTCTTTGTTAGATTTAGAGATTTTATGGGAGTATTATGCGAATAGTAAAAAAAAAATTATATCAAAACTACAAAATATGACTTGCCAAACTAGTTTAAATTTGAATTCTCAACGCAAAATGTTACTCTCTTAAAGCTAATTTAATTCTAAAGTCTAAAAATTAATCATAAACTCGTAATCTTAAACTGTAATTCTTGAAAGTCAAAATTTAGTCTTATAACATGGTATATTTTGTTTAGATCATCTTGCCTCGAATTTCTTAAGATTTTTTTAAAAAGCTATCCCTTATTTGGTTTTGCATACATGCGTTAGCGATGTTAGTAACTCAACATACAAACTGTACTAAACAATGCAAATTGGAATTATAAAATAACATCCTAAACTAGTGATCCAAATATTTAATTATTAATGTGTGTGAAGAATGTATTGATGTTTCGTAATGGGGCAATAACATGATGGAATGTGTATGATATATATGATTCAACCAATTAATCTGCCAAAAAAATAATTAGTTCGGTTTGGAGTTAGGCTAGATGCAAAAATGCTAACTTTAAGGCACATTTTATTTTATAGTTTTTCTTGGTAAAGGAGGCGGGAAGGATTACCGGAGAGGCGACAATGGGAAGAGAGGACGGTGAGTTAAGGAAGCTACTCTCCGATGCTTAAGCCGTAATTCTTGCCGTATAAACAACTTTGTGAAAAAAAAAAAAAAAAATAGTCATTTTTTTGTTCAATGAAAATTTGGTCAGTTTTACTTAGCTTTTGGAATCTTGCTTCCTTGTTTCGCCATATTAACAAAGTCGAATTCTATAGTTAGGCAACATCTGTTACATTACTTTCATGCAGAATCTTATATTTGATGCTGTCTTCCAATAACAACACATGATTTATGCATGCTAATGTATATCACAATATATAATGTGTATGTGATTTAGCTGTTCGTCGATGTGGGATCGCTCTAAAAAAATAACATGAAGTTGTAAAATCAAAATTCGTTGGTCAATTTCATAGTATAATTATAATGTTTGTAGAGAATAACATTTCAGTGGAATTAATAAAGATCAATAAAGTAAAGGCGGTGGTTTGTGGATGGTTCCTCTGCCTCTGAGTCGCGTATATAGCTTGAGATTCAAGATTCCTTTTTATTTTTATTCCTTCAACATTCAAATATGGTTTCCGTAGAGAGAAAAAGTCTTTCTCGTTTCCTTCAAATCTAAAATTTCTTATAAAAATATATGATCAAAACTCCCCCTATAAATACATAGGTCTCGGAGAGTCCTAAAAATAAAACAATTCGCCATCTCTCCATAATCAAAGCCAGTAACACACAAAACACTCTTGCATATCTCCACAATGAAGAACAACAACAAGAACAATATGAAGATGAGTTCTTCACAAGAAAGTGGTCATGGTACTACTACTAACATCGTTATTACAGAGACGATGAATAAGAAGGTAGAGAGGAAGGCATCGATGGACGTGGACCAGTGTGCGGAAGCTTTCATCACACATTTCAGAAAGCAGCTTCTTCTTCAGCGTCTCGAGTCCATCGAAAACATGCTCTCTCGAGGCCTTTAACACTAATATCAATACACACTTGTATGTATGATTCCTCTCATGTATTATTTCTTTCTTTTTATATACGCTGGCTCGCATAATGTTTTGTTTGAGAGATAATATTCCTCATTTTATGTCTTTTTGTGTTACTTGTCTTCTGTGAATTGTGGTGGATAACTCGATGAATCTAAAACAAAATCAAAATATAAATAAAATTGAGTCCACCATCCTTTGTATAGGCTTCTTTTAATAAATTTGTTATATATAGAATTCAATACAAACCTTAAAAAGTCTTTTATATAAGCCTAAAAAAACCAACAATTAGGTAAACAGGAATATTTCTTTTTTCTTAAATGTTTTTTCTACCTTTCGGCATGTGACGTTATTTTAACCCCTTTTAAATCTCTTATGGTTTTATGTCCTTTTCGAGCAAAAGATCATCTATCTTCAAACATGCTACACCGGTTCGAGGATTTTCGAGTTTATATAAACTAAAAGATAACTTTATTTTATAAATCTTTAATATTGTAAAAGAAAATATAATATGTTGACGATTTCAAATATTACAAGGGTTAGAATATTTTGGGAGCCTCGTATACTATTGTCTCGTAGAGATATGCTCTGGTCAAGAGGAGCGAAGAGAATGATCATTTTCTGGCGAATCACATTCACTGATCCACGTTCGGTCTCTTATTCATTACACCCAAAATGAAGCACACCAATACATACACACACAAACACAGCAAAAACAGAGATCGTTAAGGGTAAACCACTTGTTGTATCTGGGTCTGTGGTTGTGGCTGCACTATCTGGTGGAGCTTGACTCTTGAGCAGGACCGAGCCATTCCTCCCACGAGAGGAACCACGGGGAGGCTGTCACAGTTGCAAATCTCGATCATGAAGCCATCAGGGTCGTGGAAGAAGAGCTGGTCCACTTGGATCCCTCCTTCTTCTACTATCGCCCTCACGTACTCTATCTCCATTTCCTCCAGCTTCTTCTCCACTGCTCCCATGCTCTCGCACTGCATTTCCATAATTAACAACTCTTCTTTTTCAGACCAAATTTCCAATAATCTTATATATATTCCCCAAAAACAGAGCAATTCACAACTCAAACCAAACACCAAAGATGTGTTTATTGTTAAAACCAAATGGTTTGCTGTCTAATCCTTAGTAACAATTGTATTACAGAACTACAAAAAGATTAAAGATATTTTGATTCTGATCAAAACTGAGTGGTTGATTGTCAATATGAGATAACTATTGTCCTATTTCTCTCTATTTCCTTGTCGCTTTCTCTCCATCTCTGTTGTCTCATAAATTCAGAATCTTGACTTCATAAAAGGCACACTTTCATTCACAGTTATCATATGTCACAGCAAACTCTCCTTATAAAAAAACTACCTTTAACAGCTCAGAACCAATATAGGTTTCTTTCCTTGATAAATAAATAATTCTGAAATTGTGTGTTTTCATAATTACAGAGCCTGTATGCACGTCAATGATGTTTTAGGTTTCAAGTCCACAAAGGTAAAAAAAAAAAAAAAAAAGGAGGGCCAGATTGAGGATAACAACAACAAAAAGTTACCTGGAAAGAGATGTGATTATCTTTGGGATTAATCGCAGTTTTCTTGGGAAGTTTCTCAGGTTCTGGAGAACACAAAAGATGTACTCCAATTCCATGTCCAAATAACCTAAACGATATAAATAAATAAAAATACCAAAAACATGTCAAACTCATTTATAATTTTTCTGTAAAACTCCCTTAATTTCCATATTCAAATAAAATGATAATTTAAAAAAAGGGTACCAAGCGCCTTCAAAATTTAGGGACTCAGGCCTTCGAATAGGGATGAACCCTAAGACGTTCTGGTAAAAATTCATGGATTCTTCGATGGATCGGCACAAAAGAGAGACATGGTTCAGTGACGTGAGGTGGAGAGGGTTTCCTGCGCTTTCCTTCATTTCCCAGCCGAGAGTAAAACTCCAAAGGAAGAAAAGAAGAAAAAAACCAACGCCGCCTCCGATCAACAAACCAAATACCAAAGGCGTCGACGTCGATATAGGCGAGATTATTGATTGAAGCAGACGATTACAGAATGCTAAATATATAATAATATCTATCGTAGTGGCGCTGTATATATATAGATGTGTCGATGGAAGGTAAATTGGATAACTACGAAACTTATCTGATAACCAAATACACTTGGCCATGATGATTTATTTATAGAAAGGTGTTTGCAAATGACACATCATGGTTTTTTTTTTTATAGAAAAATTAACCTTCGCACAGTTAACAAACTAATTAATTATGGACGATTGATCATCATCACATGAACGTGCAAAATTTCGGCCTATAACATCATACTTTATTTTATTTGGTTGTACCATTTATAGATTTAGGTCTGATTGTTAGAAACTTAACGAAATTAACAATAATGTAAATAAATTTCAATAATAACATGTTGTTAAAGAAAAAAATGATAAGTATAATTAAGTCAATAAATGCAACTCATATGCATGATCGAAATGAGGATAATCTTATCTACTACGTAAAAGAAATGATTTGGAAAAAAAAAATGTGATGAGTGATGACTACTAACATAACGAAACGAAAAGAAAAATAACTACGACATAAATAATTGAAAATGATGATGTGATTGGTAAAAAGAAAAATTGTTGGGATCCTGGCAGTGTCAGGATGAGTTCGACACGTAAGAAACCAAACAAGCTGACTCGGACAATCACAACTTCTCGTGTTTTGTTTTTCCGTACCTTAAAACAAAATTTCATGTTTTAAAAGATTAGGATGGTATTGGACACGTCAGTATTAGCAAACGTAAGTCTTTTCACTTTTGTTGCTTTGGTCATGTGTTGCCGTGTATGTGACCGTGCCCTGATCATTTTGGGCAGTTTTGAAAATACATGACCGTGCCCAATTACCAAATACATTCACTTGTTTGCGATGTTTTGGGAGGGTTGAAAATTCTCTGAGACATCATAAGTAGAAAAAAAATATATCTTTTGACTTTAAAATATGATAAACACTATTGCAAACTAAGTAGGCCTAGTCTTGCCTCGATAAAATATTGATTTTATAATCTGCCTTTTTCATTTATATTATCTTTGATAGTCTAAATTGCCGATAAATAAACACATTCTTTAGAAAATACTGTAAAGGATATGATGACAGTGGGTTAAAACTACAGAAGTGGAGAGAAAAAAAGAAAGCCGGCTAAGGAACTTTAGCCTGACCGTTACGTTATACCTAATCTCGCACGAATTATGATTTCATTTTATATATTATGTCAAACTTTTTTCTGGAATAGAGAAGTGAAAAACAGTTTGTACGTTTCGTATGCTGAGATAACTTTTAAAATCGATTATGATATCTTCAGTGAGTGTAGATTTGTCACTTGCTTCAACAAAAACACTTTAATTAGTTTAATTTATACAGTTACTTTGCATCTATCCAGCCTTTTCTTTTGTCGAAGGGCCGATGAAATCTAACCTGGAATCCAACTCAAGATTAATAAATCTTTTTTAACCTGTTTCTCTCGTTTTAAAATTTGATTTAAATAAGTTATGGTCAACTAAATTGGTCGAAATAGCTATAGTGTGTACCGCATTCATAATTTAATACATTTTTTAACAAGCAAGTGCCGATAAATGAAGTGGCACAACTTTTTTTGTCCTTCCGTGAAATGGAAGCACAGAACACACACAAAAAGAAGAAGCAAGAACTTCAACTGAAAATAAAAACTGTTGCTCTGTGTTGCCTGTGAAGAAGAACGCAAACCGTTTCTATATGTTAATGCTTTTGGTTTGTCCGGAAGAAGAGGAAAACAACATGAGCTGATTGATTGATGGAAGCGTTTTCAGTTTTATTAACTGTTCCTTACAGCTTCTCCAGCACATGACATGGACTGGTCATTACTTTGCGATTACAACTAAAATGAACTCATATTTTTAGTTTTTAATGTAAACCATGACAATCAAAACATCTGTATTAAGATGAAGAGGTAGCATAGTGGGTCTTGGTCTCAGAACATGTCTATGCTACCTCTTTTATCTTATTACAGTTGTTTTGATTGTCAGCTTTCCATCGGATCTGAAACCGATACGTGGAAGGGTCCTCTGAAGAAAGCTTGAGCAAGAGTCAATAATGTACATGCTACTTTCTCAGCTTAAACAGTTAGAACAGGCTACGTGGGAAGAATCTTCAAAATAAGTTCAATAATCATCACCAACTAAATTGCCTCGTATGTGATGGAACAACAGCAGTTGTTGATGAAGAGAAGTGTGATTCAACAAACAAGTGAGAAATGTAATAGAAGGACAAGAAGGAGAGTGTGTGGTTGGTTGGACCAAATCAAAACTCAGAAGGAGGTTTCAATCTAATGAGTCGCTTGATCCTATCTTTGTCTGTGTTCTCCAGAAGTCCGTTCCAAACGATTTCATCAAGACACAAACAAATCCTTCCGTATTTGTCCAGAAACACTCGCTCTGTTGGAGGTTTTCCGCATATGTCTTTCACAGCCGCTGTTATGATAAAGATGGCTTCTGCCACTGCACCACAAAAAAAAAAAAACCACCACAACAAAGATTCAAACTCTGAATGAATCACACAGATAAGCTGATTTACAAAGAGGACAAGAAGAAGGGACTTACAAGCAAGTTCATCGTACTCGTCTTTGCCAACAAGGAAGATGCTAACATCCCCTAGCATCGTGTACACGATATAAACCGACCTGCACAAACAAACCCTCTATTACTTCCATTGCCAAAGCTGTCAAGATTGAGTTTTTAGCAATTTGCTCTAGAGATGCCACAAGGAGACAAGAGGTAGTCTGATGTACTTGTGGCAAGCGACGAGGAGCTCCTCGTTCTTAACGCCTTTGAGATTCTCTGCTCCCAATTTTACCAAGAAAGATCGCCAGTGCAGCCGTTCCTCAGCTGGTACTCCATTGAACCTGCCAGATGATTTTTTAATGCTTCTGATGATTAAAGCTGGACAAGTCACATGATTCAACTTCGATTCACAATGCGCCGATAAGTGAACACAGTCACATAGTAACGGCATCAAGAGTTGGGACAAAAACAATCACAAACCGTGAGACCCTCTTTTCTCCAGAGTTCATATTGCGAGACCAAATGCTTGTGATAACTCCAATTCTAGTATGTGCAGAGGGAAACAGAGTTCTAATTTCGATCAAAGTTTCCAGCTTTAGCTAAATCTGGGATGAAAAATCAGAGTTACGCAATTCCATGGAAACAGAACGGTATCGAAAACCTTAATCTGGCAGTTAATACTTGTCGAAGGTAAAGTGTCCAGATCCATAGACAAGAACAAGAGCTACGAGAATGCTCGATTTTGATCTTTAGAGAATCAGCCAAAACAAGCCAACAAGTTTGCGATCAAGTGATTTCGGAGCTGAAGAAACTAATTGCAAGTTGCGAAATCGATGAAAAGAAAAGTCGGGATCTGGGTACAAACCTTTCGATCAAAACGTTCCCTACGGAATTGGCGAACAAGACGGCTAGGATCATGATCTTCCTCTGAAATTTTTTGTTTCTCTTCTGCGATTCCTTTTAGCCTTTCTTCGCCTTCATAATCGCTTCCCTTCAACTTTTTAATTTACTTTATTCTTGGGTGATTTTTGCAATTAGTCGACAAATCGAGTAATCGGATTCGACAAGGGGTCTTTCCGTAATTTCAGTGGTTCGAATATTGACAAAGTCCTCCTCCAGCATTTTATTATTTGTTAACCCCGATTAATTAAATAACCACTCTGTTAATAACCATCTTGCGTGTTGGTTTCATTTTACGTTCTTGCTTTATTTTTTTTCTTTCCCCGAAGATGACGAGTTTATATATATATATCTACGAAGAAATTGGTTACACCATGGAAAAGAGGGGAGAAAATGAAATGATGAAGGTAACAAGAAAGAAAAAGGTGGTCTCTACTTTCTCTTGATAGATTTGGAACAGTGACACGTTTCCTATAACTCTCCATTGATGTTGACCTTCCTTCTTTTTCTAACTATCAACATCGTTCTCTTCTCCATTTAACTTAACCATCAAGTGTATCTACATCCACTTATTATTTTTACTTACACAAACCAAAAAAATAAAAATAATAGAAAAATTATACTATCATATAGTATGAATGGTTAAGTTCAAGCTAAAGTGAAAAGAGGACAAGTCATAAAGACGAGCACAAACAAGTACCAACAAGCTACTGTGGAAGTGAAAGTTGAAGCTCTGGTTTAACCTAATTCGTTTTGCCTTCACCTTCAGTTGTACTTTTTGTTTAAAGTTAAAGAATCCTAACTTTGTCAATTCTTCATTATTAACACTTATTTTTAGAATGTGATCATAATAGTTTTAGTTGATGTAATAGTTATAAAAAAAATTAATAACTCGTCGCCATTACTTTATAAATATTATATCACGTTTGTGTTACAACACTTTTGGAAAATTTATCACGTCACTATTACCTCTAATTACGTTTGTATGCATATGATGAAGCGTACAGATTTTGGTGGAGAAAAGACAAAGAACGCTCGTTGATTTGGAAGGTTTAAGGATTCAATTATATAGTCTTGGATTCAAAACGTCACAATTAGACGTTGATATCTTTTCTATAAAAAAGATAATACATGCTCATGTTGGCGCACGATTTATGATTTATTTACAAATACAAAACACAAATGAAAGATACGTACGTCTATGATATATATTGATCAATCAAAATCCTTTGATTCTATTTAATGCACCTTCCTCTCTCGGCTAGACAGTGAACCGTTTTGTAATTTGTAGAGACTAGGGTAGTCGATTTTTGTTTGTGTAAGCAATTTTTTTTCCAACTCGTGAATCATGACCAGGTTCTGAGTTTTCGCAGCCCAAAGTTTTATTAGATTAATGAACTATGGCAAAATATATACAAGATTCCTTTCCGGTGGGTTCCTGGAACACATTTTTTTAATTATATTCATTAATTGTTATAGCTGTAGTCTAGCTAGCCTTATATCATCCGTGCAAATTTTTTTTAAAATAATCCACTGAATAGAACAAAAACCTGAATGCATGTTGTGGGGATGCGTGATATGTATATTACAAACCTAATTTAACCAACTATTCAATTTCCCCTGTTTTATCAGTTGCTTTAAAACAAGAAGGAAGATAAATACATCAGTCATCAACCCTAGCTATGTGTAGTTTGTATCAAATACATATCTCTAATTGGATATTACGTACTGTCTAGTTTAATCAATCAGGAGACAAATTCACCCCGATTAGGAACTTTGTTATAAATTCATGCATGTCCTCTTGTTATAAACTTATCATGTACTATATATTTGACATTGTTTTATTATTTTAATACGAATGCAGTTATAAGATTCGTGTACTCTTATTATTAACTTATCATGTACTATGTAACATAATTTAATCTGTTATTATTATATGATTGTAAATTAAGACTAACAGAGAATACAAAAGAAAAAAAAAAGTTCATTTCTGGATTGTAGTTACAAATACGAATACTTTATTGGATACACATGAGGAATTATGGTAAACATTATATAGCAAACACATTTAAATATATAAAAGCGAGAAATATACGGTATAAAGGAGTAATTGATAATTATGGCTGTAAATCAGCAAAATAAAAATAGGTATATATATATATATATATATAAGCAAACAAGTTTAGTTTGTATTGAGAAGCTCCTCTATCATTTGTAGAGCCACCTTCTCTTCCTCGTCCATTAGTCCTTCTTCTCCGCCGCCGGCAACCTCAGTGACCGGACCAGCATCGTCTTGTGAAGCTTCACTAGTAGGTTCCTGTGAGGAGCCGGCGGAACCAAGCTCCACCGTCATAACCCAACTGGAATCGGACTTAGAACCGGCGCGTTTCTGCCAGACGCCGATGTGGGAGCTGGCCGTGTCAAGACGGAGGCAGGTGAGCGAAGGGGAAGGAGACTTGCAGCATTTCCTCAGTTTGGCGCTGAGGATGGAAGAGAGTGATGAGGATGATGAAGATGAAATTTCGGTTTTGCCCTCCGATGTGTCTCCGTTGTTGTTGAGGGGAAAGTTGGTCTTAGCGTTACGACCGCTCATTAAAACGGCCGCCTCGTCGTAGGCTCTTGCTGCTTCCTCCGCAGTCTCGAACGTCCCCAGCCAAATCCTCCGTTTCCTTTTTTATTTATTTATTTCAATCATCATGCATGTTATAGAACATAGTCCAGTCTTAGCAATACATTAATCATAATTAAGTACCTAAAAACTGTAGAGATGTGTAAAAAAGTGTTTCATGTGGTTGCTAAGGAGAGGAAAGCAACTATGGTATGCACGAGAAATGAGTAAAACGATCAAGTCTATATATATGTATGTGTGTGGTTGTGTACTTGAGTGCATCAGAAAGGGGAAATAAATGAATAACGCAGAAAAAAAGGAAAGAAAGAAGAAAGGTACAAGAGAGGGTGACGAATCTCAGCGACCCAAGAACCCCAATGGCGTTGCCTGACACCTCTGAACTTCTTCGTCTGTACCATTCTTACTTACTCTGTGTTTTTTGTCAGAGAGAAAATAGGAATTCTTGATGATGAGTAATATATGTATGATGGATGTTTGGTAAATGGTAATGTTGTATATTTATATACATAGGTTAAATTTCGGTGGATGAAAAGGGATGTACTTGTTCCTACTCTTATTACATTTGACGTCCTCGCTATTCTATTAGAGAGAGAGAGAGAGAGAGAGAGAATTTAGTTGGAGTTTGTTGGTATAGATTGATTGCCAATGCTAAGGAATGGTTTTATAAAGGTAAAACGATTTAACTTTCGAAGGTTGGATCGTATATATGTAGAAAAGGCACAAGTGGTACAAGTATCACATGGCCGTGTACATTGTTTTTAGCATACATACGTACATCCTAATCAATCGTCCACGTCATATAGCTACGTACGTACTACGCCTCTCTCTCTCTGTTTAATTTGATGCTTGCTTATATTTGCATACTACTTGGTACGTACGTATAAGCCTTTTGTGTTCACCATTAATTGCAAAAATATTGTGATTAAGGCGGGATGGGATTTAAGACCCATTATCATTCCAAATTAATGTTTCATTTATACTAATATGTTTGTTAACAACCAACACAAACCATCGTCCAAAGTTGCATTATCAAAATCCAATCCTATGTGTACACATGGACTCGCCTCACATCTTGATACTTTTATTAATCTTACGTATCGATCTATAAGCAGTGGAAACTGAAACTTGTAAAAATTTGTAGAGAATCAATATATAAATCGTAAAAAAAACTGCCAGATAAAGCAAACATGTAATAAGCGCTGAGAAAAGTGGTTGTTCACTCGCGATCAAATATAATACACAGATGAAGAAGTTATATAAAATAAATATTAGAAGAACACAAGTTAAAAGTAAAAGAAAGGACAAAAAAATAAAGAAAGGGTGGTCCATATGTATATAGTGTAATTAGTAGAGGGTTTTGTCAACATATTTAGTTGGTTACTGTACTCACTGCCTAAGCCCTAACTGTCGGGTTGGGTCCAAATTAAGGTGTCAATATCCCTCGTATCTATCTCGTTTAATTTTTGAACAAACATCTTTAACCTAAAGTATGCTTATACTTATTGTAACAATATGGTTTATACTTTTCTGTTTCTCTGGTGCTAATTTGGCGATGGCTGGTTAATCGTAGGGGTCCCCACTCCCAAAATTCCGTCACACGATATTTCATCATTGTAGTCTCTTCATTAATTCTTGTATTTGTATCTTGCATGTGATTTCTTTCCAGATTATTTATGCTTTTTAGTTATTATTATTTGTTTTTGTCGATTTTCTGTAGCCACTGCCTACGTATGTATAGTCTTATAGAGTAATGATGTTTTTTTTTTTTTTTTTTTTTTTTTTTGAGTGATGATGTTCATACTGTAATAATGGTAGCAAAATCTTGAATCCGTCAGCTGAAATTCTCGGAAGTGTATGACCCCATCTTCGTTGCTATATATATTATGTACATATATATATGCTGATATGCATGATGCATCCTTATTATTTTTATCCAGATAATGTAATAATGTTTTTTAAAAATATATGAAATGAGGAATATTGTGAACAGAAGCTTTTTTTGAGACACGAAAATCACGTGATTGAATCTCTTAAAAGTCAAAAGAAAGAGAAATTTTTTACAAGAGGCCAAATGTGTTTCAACGAAAAGGCAAAAGTACCAAATGCTCCAGTTGAAGAAAAGATTCCTAACTGCGAATTTTACGGGTTTATGAATTACCTGTTTTTTTTGTATCTACACGTGTTCTTCACTTCTCATGTCCTCTAATATATCCATCGCTTTCAAATAAACAAAAACACTGTGAACAAATTGGCCCGACATAATTTAGATGGGCCTAATTGGGCCATCCGAATTAGGTTTTACAGCAATGGCGCGAAGGGTCAACCCCGAAGAAATAGGAGTCAACGTGTATGTCTTTCAAAACCCACCAAATGCCACCTTAATTTACCCCACAAATGAAGAAACCGTTTCCTTCTTCTGAACACAGCCGATCAACGGCCAACCGTCGTTTTTCCAGGTCATCGATTTACTAAATTCAAGGTGGGTTTGTTTTTGTGCTCTCTTTCTTCACTTTCAAGTTTCTCCATAAATTCTTTTGTTTTCCCTTTTATCCTTTCTCGACAACCGAAATCGACATTGACATATCACCATCCTCCATAGCTCCAACTCAGAGGCACGACGAGTTTCGTGGGTTTGCTTCACCGAGCCCTTGTTGCATCCTGTTCAAATTAAGGTAATAAATGATGGTGTAATATCATAATTAGGGTTTCTGTTAGTTAACTCAAACCAGTCCTCTATGATTGGCGATGATTTCTTTTTGTCTATATACTGAGAATTTTAAAGCAAGATTGGCTTAATTTTGATCAATCCGCATCACATCATCTTTACAGCTTTCTCCACACTCTGCTTCGGATGTAAAAGAGTGCTTGTGTGTGACCATAATGATTCAGCAGCTTTCAATGAAGTAGAGGCAGATTCTGTGGACTTTCCTTGTTGTTGACCACAATAAATCAGCTTTCAGTCAAGTAAAGGTAGATTCTGCTAGACATCACTGGTTCATGGGTGGTCACAGGAGACACGTAAATTCCAAACCCGCGAGGGAAATCTTCCTAACATCATCGTCTCTGTCCTTTTCTACACTGTCTTCCACACGTGCGTCATGGGACGACGCAGTAGAGCTAAACACCAAAGAATCCACAACATCCTCTGAAACGTCGGGTGTGACTCATGTCAGGTTGCAACCTGCTCCATCTCCGCCCTCGAGGTTACCAGTACAGCTGATGAACAAAGGTATTGTAGGGCCGCATCAAGATCCTGATAGAATCCCAGCTTCCGTGTTCGGCAAGACTGGGGATCTGAATTGGAGTGAGGTCTCTAATGAGTCTTTGTTTAGTCTGAGATTGTCCAACTATCAAGCATTTCGTCAGAGCAATATAAACCCGGAAGAAGTTTTGATGTCTGGTGAGAACATAGCATCCTCTCCGACTCTATTAGTCAAGCCTGATCAGGATGCACAAGAGAAGAGATCTGAAGTGAAAGAGACAAAGAGCGGAGTAACATCGGTCGAGGCTAACGGTCATCAAGAGAAGTCGTCATTAGCAACTAATCAAGTTGTCTCATGGAGTAGTAACCCCAGCAGTTTTTACCAGTTATATCAAGCGCCGCCGACAAATGTTCAGTCTTTATCCATCCCTGTCGCCGAGAAAAAGAGCAAGAAGAGAAGCAAGACAATTAGAAAGAGCAAGACGACGAAGAAGAAGGAGAAGAAGACGAAGAAGAAGAAGAAGAAGAAGAAGAAGAAGAACAAGTGTTGCATATGGTCTTGGTTGGTTTCAAGCTTTTCAAAGTGGGAGTGTAACTTGTGCTGCTACAAATGGAGAAAGCGTGGCTGCTGCTGCAGAGAGCCAAAAGCGATGGTTTTGTGAAGTATCTTCTTCCTCTCGAAGCAGCCTCTCTTGATATAAGCCATCATGAAAGTTGTGTTGACATCTAATCAATTATATGACTTCTAACTCTATATATGCATCGATCCTTCATGTATTCTTACAAAATGGAGATGGTTTATCCACTTTTATCTTATGGTCGATATTGATTCCACACTATTTTATTCATTTTTGGTTGAGATCCACTAGTCTGTTCAATATAGAATGATATTTCGACTACAAACTGTATGGGAAATGTGATGAGTGGGGTCGACTATAACAATGGAGAAGGCATGGAAAATGGACAATTATTTTTGACTTTTAATGATCAGTTCACACCAAACACACTATCTACATAATCACAACAAGACATACAGATTCTTCAATTATCAAGGATTGAAAGTTTTTTTTGATTTTGGTTTTGATAAAGTAAATGACAAGAATAGCCTTAGTGACAGGAGATCCGTATAACGGCTGGAGGGATGAATCATAACTTCTTTGGTCTTCCAAAAAAGCAATTATTTCAAAGCGAAAGGAAAAGGGAAAACGTAAAGGGCAGAGCCCTCATCCTCCTCCTTCTTCTTCTTCTTCTTCTTCGTGAAGAAGCTGCAGCCTTAGATTTTTAGAGGATTCTTTCGATGCCCAGTTGAAAAAAGGAAACGACTTTATCTAAGCCAAAGAGATATCATCAGGTAAGCTAGATTTGATTCGTAGATTCTGCTGCTTCTATATATAACCAAACACGTTTTGTTCGCTATTGATTTGATTCCTTTTTGGCTTATATCTAGGTTTAATCGGTGTTATCTGAGAAGGATCATTGATTACCCCCCTGAAAATCTCGAGCTTCCAGATCTATCGGAGCTCGTGGGCTAATAATCGTTTACTTCAATCGATGGGGTGAGATTCTTTTTTCAGTTTTATGTTTTGGCTCCGTGAATAATAGTATATTTGGTATTTTATTGATTCGGATTTGAGATTCTGTTTGATGGGTTTTGTACCTGCGTTATGTGCTGCTGCTGGGTTCATGAGTCATATGATAGATAAACCCTAATTTTGTTGCTGGGGGTACAAAACCTCCACAAGGGAAGAGCTAAAGTTTTTTTGGCTTATAAGTAGATAGAAAAACAAAACCAAAAGCTACTATAATCTGAAAATAAGGATGTGTTGTTTGGGCAATGATCAGAAGTTGTGGGTTTTGTAACAGAGCAGTGGCTGCGTGGCTTGCTACAGAGACCCCAGAACAACTGCAACTCTAAAGGATCCACCTTCCAATTCCATAGCTCAAACGTTTAAGAAACCGAGCGTCTCAGAAGATTTCTGGTCAACAAGCACTATTGATATGGACAACATCACTTTCCCTTCTCAGGGGAGCTTATCATCCAACCAGACTTTTGATTCTCAATCTGGCGCCAGAAACTCGAATGCCCCTCCTGAATATGTGAACCAAGGTACTTTCTTTGCGGGCTGTGGATTCTCACGGTTAGGAGCGTATGGTTTTAGTGTTTTGCGATGGTTATATATGAAGTTGGTCTGTGTGTGTGTTTTCCAGGTCTTCTTCTTTGGAATCAGACCCGGGAGCGTTGGGTGGGGAAAGCAAAACCCAATAACCCACCGGATCATCGCAGTCAAGGACCCAAGTTAAAGTGAGTGGCTCCATTACACTCTGCTGTTTCCCTTAAAAGCCAAAGGCTAAAGTATGAAAATGTTTAACATATTTTATGTCATTATCTGCAGTTGGAATGCAGCAACATATGATACCTTGCTGGGGAGCAACAAGCTATTTCCCCAACCCATTCCTCTCACGGTAAGTAATCAAACTCTTTCGAGTGCAGGACATAATGGATGATCCCGGTCCAATAACCGTGTGTGCTTACTGATGAAAACAGGAAATGGTGGACTTTCTAGTGGACATTTGGGAACAAGAAGGTCTATATGACTGAAGAACAAGACTTGAAAAATCCACACACACACACACACACACACACACTGGTTCGGGCATTCCGAGTTTTTTGTTTCGGTTTTGTTTTCGTTTCTGAAATCCCTTGTTGAAACCCATCTTTCATTTGGAATCGATCGAGAAAACTGGGATTGTGGCTCTTGAGCTTTCACCGTAAATGAGAAAACCCATTGTTGTACCATCTTTCATTGGCTTAAGACTGATGTCTCACTTTCACCAATTGATATCTCAATCTAAGACATGGCTTGTGTCTCATGTCCAACTTACACGTTGATGTTACTATCTCCAGGTGATCTTTTAGTAGATTAAATCCTAACCTAAGCTTTTTGGTTAGTATTTATTGCCTGCAAAAGAATAATCTGCCTGTAAAAGAATAGTTTTTGGGCCCGTTAAGTGGGCTTCTGTTGTGTAGGTTTGCTAAGAGAGTAGAGGGAATAAACAAAAAAGCATATTCCCCATAAAACTAGCGGTCACGTAGCGGACCTCAACCCCACTCTCTACTCTACTTTATGATTTCTTTCAGAAATCGCATAAGCGGGAAACAGATGCCACCTTATCCACCGATGAAACGTCGGCTAAATAAGACACGTGTTGAGTTCAAAGAGGTCTGTCACTCAACTATCACGTAGCCCCAGTGTAAATCTATCATCCACGCTCTCGTGGATTACGTGGAGAAAGGAAAATCATTTTAGTTGAAAAAGAAAAAAGAATAAAAAAAATAGAGACGAAATAGAAGAGACACGCAAACATATCCAGTAGCGTCACAACGGTTCTTGCAGCAGCGTATTACCAGAAAGGAAAGAAAGACGATATTTTTTTTATAAAGATAAGAATCAAGTCAGATTTTGTTTGTGCGGACTGTGTGTTTGAAAGAGAGACGAAGACGAAGATGGCGAACACTGACGAACTCGTGTCTATTGAGCTTCCAGCTCCTGCTTCATGGAAGAAACTGGTATTTTCTTCCCCTCTGCTTGTTTTCTTCTTCACATTTTTTCTTGAATTCTCTGCTGTAATTGAATAAATTTTATGTTTTCCAATGAATTGGTGTCGTCTGTGTAAGGGGTGTTGATTGTGTGTTCTGATTTGTATTTCGAGTTAGTTTCTTATTGTTTAGGGTTTATGTTCGATTTGAGAAATCAATGAGATTACTTTTTTGGAGGTGGATCTGGGGATCTTTATGTTCAATTGATGGGGAAATTTTCTGATTTGATGAGAATTTAACGCTTACGTATTTCTTATGGTATCAAATTAGGGTTTCGAATGAAATCTTCTGTCTAAGACCTAAACCCTAGAATTGGTTGTTAAAGTTTGGGGCTTTTGTATGGATTGTTTATGGAGAAGTCATATGTTGCTGGTAATTAATGCTATGTGCAGAAAATGTTTGTAGCATCTTTGGTATGTGAATAACGGGTGGCTTGTTGTTCCAGTTTTATCCAAAAAGAGCAGGTGCACCGAGGAAGACGGAGATTGTGTTCATGGCTCCCACTGGGGAAGAGATCAGCTCGCGCAAACAGCTGGAGCAGTACCTCAAGGCTCATCCTGGGAATCCTCCCATCTCTGAGTTTGAGTGGACAACTGGGGAAACCCCGAGGCGATCCTCAAGGATCAGCCAAAAGGTGAAGGCGACAACGCCCACTCCTGACAAAGAACCCCTCTTGAAGAAGAGACGATCTTCTCTCACAAAGAAGGACAATCGAGAGGCTGTTGCTAAGGAGAACGCCGAGGCTGACAAGGACGGGAAAACGGGGAACGCGGAGGCTGCTGTGAAGGAGAAGGTGGAAGGAAAGACGGGGAATGCGGAGGCTGCTGTGAAGGAGAAGGTGGAAGGAAAGACGGGAAACGCACAGGCTGCTGTGAAGGAGAAGGTGGAAGGAAAGACGGGGAACGCGGAGGCTGCTGTGAAGGAGAAGGAGGAGGGTGAGAAGGACGGAGTGAAAGAATCTGGTGAGGCTGCTGTTAAGGAGAACAAAGAGGGTGAAAAAGCTGAGGCTGAGAAGGATGGTCAAGCGGAAGTTGCTGAGGCTGAAAAGGAGAACAAGGAGGGTGAAAAAGCTGAGGCTGAAAACAAAGAGGGAGCAGTTGTGACGGACAACAAAGAGCCCATGGAAGTGGAGAAGAAGTCTGATGCTGAAAACAAAGAGGGAGCAGTTGTGACGGACAACAAAGAGCCCATGGAAGTGGAGAAGAAGTCTGATGGTGAAAACAAGGAGGGAGAAGTTGTGACGGACAACAAAGAGCCCATGGACGTGGATACCTCTGAGGTGGAAAAGAATTCTGAGAGTGGCGAGAAAGCTGAAGAGCCTCCTAAAGTTGTTGGAGACCTCAAGGACACTGAGATGAAAGAGCCACTGGAAGTTGTTGCTGAGGGTGATGGAGAGAAGAAGCCCGCTGAGGAAGTGACCGAGAACAAGGGCAGCGAGGTTACAGAAGCTAATGGAGAGAAGAAGCCCGCAGAGGAAGTGACCGAGAACAAGGGCAGCGAGGTTACAGAAGCTGATGGAGAACAGAATGTGACTTCTGGTGAGCCTAACCTTGGCGCAGATGCTAATAAGGGGAATGAAACTCAAGAAGCTGATGTGAAGAAGGCAGAAGCTGGAGGCGAGGAGAAAGGTAACGACATGAAGGGAGAAGACACAAACAGAGGCGTGGAGGCGAATCAAGTCCAGCAGCAGCAGGGCGCTGCAGCGTCCGTGAGCTGTTAAAACCAGCAGCCAACAGTTAAAAACCTGTCGTTCTGTGAAGAGTTTGTTGTCTGATTGCAGGTGTAGCATTAACATTGTGAGTGCTTGTTGTATGTGTTGGTAGAACTAATGTGCCTATGTAGTTCTTCAGTAGACTCTTTTGTTTTTTTATCATTACTCATTAGACTCTTTTGTACTCTTTGTACTTTTGTTGTATTATTATTAATACATTAGAGGCATTTTTCTGTTTCGTTTCTCATACTTTGATTATTTGATAGATGCATGAAAGGCGCTGCCAAGTAAAAAAGGAGAGTAGGATATAAGTAAAAAAGGAAAGTAGGGTAAAGATTACAGAGCAATATTAAAGAGGTAACAACAAAAACGAGATCATAAGTTACAAAATAGCAGCTCTTATGGAGCGTATGATATCGGTGAGGGAGACGACGCCTTTAAGCAAACCCTGTTGGTCCACAACCCACACTCTGTGCACTCCTCTGGTCACTACTTTCTCTATAGCTTCCTCCATCGTTGCATCCACAGTGCAACTCACCGTCTCTTTCCCTTTCCCCGAAGCTTTCTCAGTGAACTCTAGAGCCGAGAGTGGCAGCCAAGTCTGTAACTCCGGCAAACGACACCCTTTTAGATCCGTTGCAGAAAACGTACCTATCACTTTCCTATGCCTCCCCTGAAATTTCAAAACACACGAAATGAAGCACACGTTCTAAACAATCAAAGCATATATCTTACCTTGAAAGATACATTAATAAGCTGTAGATGATCCTCTTCCGCTACATCAGGGGCGTGAACGATGGGGACGGCGTTGAGAAGAGCAGCCTTCATAGAGTTAATAGCATTGGAAACGGTCGTACTCTCGGTGATTGCGTAAACGGAATCGTTAACAGCTCGGAGAGTGGAGACAGAGCTTGAGAGAACAGCCTTGAGGTCATCAAAGTGATGGTCTCTGAGGAACCGCAAGAGATCCATCTGAGTAAGCATCCTGTAAGCAGAGGCCGATTCCACCAACTCAACTCCTGAAATGGTGTTGTTGCTCTCTATGCTGCTCTCTAGTGGCACTAATGCTCGATGGATCCCTTTGCTAAACACTTCCATACACTCTACCAAGCTAGTATTAGGATTCAGTGTCCAGAGACTGAGTCCTTCGAGGCAATGACCGATGATGGAAGATACCTGAGAAGACATCTTGCGGTCCAAATCTGAGGGATCCGAGAGATTTTCTCCGCCGGCGATGTGAGCAAGTATGTCGAGCATCGTGAGAATTCCGATGTAGTGTTTGCGTACGGCTCCAGTTTGTTTATCAGACTCCATGATCATGGAACCGCCGGCGCCGATCCAGTGTCCCGGTGGTGCAGCAACTGGGAGGGCGGAGATGGAGTTAGCCACCAATGTGTTCATTGCGTGGGAGAGCGTTGCCGTGTAAGGAACCTCCACTAGCCGTTTGTTTCTGGCCGTTAGATCTTTGGCCGTGACATTGATCAGGCGGCTGTGAGCTTCTTTGCTCTTCTCTTGTTGCATAGTGACTAGTGTTTGAAAAGTCTATGAAAGTGGCACAAACGTGTTGCTTCTCGAATCTTATAAAGTGCTGATCTTGGCTCGACTTTAGATGTTTATGGATTAGCACTGAGTGTGAGATGATCCGAACAACGTGGCGATCAATGCTTGCTCGTGACATGCAAATACGTGGCATTTCATCAATGCTTGTTTTTTTTATATACATATAACGAACGATTTGGTTTCGACTACAGCCGTCTTAACTCTTGACCAATTTTCCTATTTTGTTGTGGTGGTTTGGTAGGATAAGAAATGAGAATATTTGGGCCTTAGCGAGCGGCCCAGTATTATGATTAATCACCAAAATAGCCCTTCGTTTTGAGTAATTTGTTTTTTTTTTTCTTTCTTAAATTCAATATCTCCCTCGCGTCCGCGGATGAAGCGACTTGACAATCCAAGAAGGTGGAAAAGAAGTCAGTGCTGAAGAAACACGAAGATGGCGAGATCGATGGAAGCGGCGCGCTTGTGAGTATCTTCTATTCGTATTTTTCGTTCATCTTTCGTTTTCTTCTCCGCATTAATCTGCTCCAACGCGCGTGATCGCTCGAAATTTGGCCGACTTCTGTTTGGAGATTCTGTGTTTCCATGGCTCAATCGCTTGGATTTTGGGTTTTAGTTCTATTCTTTCGCATCGATTAGAATTAGAGCTAGGGTTAAAGCCTTACGAAGTTTCGTTCTTTCTGATACAGCATTTCTGTTTGATTTCTGAGAGTAGGGATGCGAATTGATACCAAAATTGCTTCTTATTGATCAATTTCATGATATGTTGACCTAGCGAATACGTGGATCTCGATGAATTTATAGGATATTTGAGTGTGCAATGAGATTACGAGAGCTAATGTTCGTGCAAATCTCCCAAAATTACTGATGGGCCGATGGCTATAATTGGTGTGTCTTCCTGCAACGTAGTGAACAGAATGGATTTGAAGAAGCCAACGTTGAGGAATCAGTTTCATGGGATGATCTGGAGAGAGACGCTGCTAGTAAAGCTGGTGGATCTTCTGAAAGAACTCAGGCCTGGAGATCTCACCAGCACGACTCTGCTAGAAAAGGTATTCAAAAACTAGTTTCGAGTTATGTAGATGGGTGAAACTTTTGCTAGTTGCAATGTTATCTGTTTTGTCATCATGTTAAAGTAACCTCTGATTGCTTGATCAGGTGACGAACCTGCTGGAGACTTGTACGAACTGTGGAGGCAAGAACAGAACAGCATAGCCGCAAGGCTAGACAAAGAGCTTAAGTCACGGTGGGAACTAGATGAACTGATTGAAGAACAGCTGAGCGGATACGGGTCCCATTACTACAAGGCCATGGTATCAACGTCATTGAAGGATGTCTCAAACCTCCTCATGCCCACGTGGCTACCGCCTCATGAGCTTGCTGCCGTGTCCTGGCTTGGAGACTGGCGTCCCACCTCCATTCTTGACCTTCTTCGGATTCTGGCCGCTCAAAACCCTTCCTTCTCTCTGTCTGAGTCGAGTGAACGTATCCTCTCTCAGCTTCTCCGTGAGATACGCATTGAGGAAGCTGTGATCGATGAGGAGTATGCAGAAATTCAGGCCACATGTGTTCTGCACCTTCCCTTTTCGCCGCTCTGCAACGCTCAGTCGCAAGAAGAAGCTCTGCTTTCTGTGCAGGGGCTGTTTGGGAACATCCATAAGGTCATCTCAAAGGCACAACGGCTCAGGTTTCGCTTACTTCTCCCTCCATCATAAATAAAGGGAACTGTAGAGATGAACGAAAACAAATAGCTGACACCAGTAAATAGCCTGGTTGAGTTAAGTGAAAGCCTTGATCAGCTGATATATGAAGGTGTTGAAAATTATGTGCAGGTACAAAGTGTTGGAGCTGGTGATGAAGAAGCTGCTGAATCAAACAGATACAGCCGAGTTTGTGGTCGCATTCGCAGGGATTCAAGACGCCATTCACCAGTTTGGAGAGCATAAGAAGCTAAAAAAGCTTTACCCGGCGGTTCCTCTGAAGGGATCAGGATCATCTAGTTGAGAGCTATGTAGGAACACAGGTCATGTCTCAATTTTGGGAGTAAGACTACAAGCAAGCTGTGATGTTGAATCTTCTTGCTGCTAATTACATTCTTGGAAGTTCTTTCTTAACATCAACTCATATAGTCCAGTTACATTAGTATGAAACCTGATGTCACCAACCATTATGTCTTTTAGAGTCATTGGTATTGTAAGTAAGAACAAAGTTAAGACCTGTTCTTCTATGCAGCTTGCTGTTTTTTTTTGTTTGTTCTGATTTCGTGTTCCAGTCAACATGCAAATTTGCGTCATCAATTGTATTGAATATATAGAGTTTCATATATTCCAAATCTACTCTCTAATCCAAGGTTTACTTTCAATGGCCAAATCAAGATTAATAGCATGTGTAACTACTTTAGGCGCATCGGCTTTGATATGCTTAAGACTCTAAAACGGTTTTAGGGATTTTAGAATTAGTAGTTAATAAAATCCTCGGATGAGAAGCCTCAACGTCTCCCGCCTAAATCCCATCTTAATCTGTTTACTTTTTTGTGGCACTTGTACTGTAACTGCATTTTCCTTTTTTTTTTCTTCTGAAATAAGGCAGTAACCAATAAATGGAAAAAAGAGAGAGAGAAAGAGAAATAGAGGGTTCAGATTAAAAATAAGGTCCGTAGATCTACGGCGGAGGGAAATATAAGGGAATATAAAAATTAGACAAAAACTCCATCTTCCTGATTATATAAGTGAAACAAAAAAGGCCGACAGAAAAAAAGCTCAAAACCCTAATCTGAGCCAAGCTCCTCCAAAGCCCATTACACGCGTTTTATTCTTCCCGCCGTTGCTGTGTCGCTGCCTGTGAGTAAATCAGTCAGTTTCTCTCTACTCTTTGTTGCGATTTCGTGTTTGATTCCCCTCATGGCTTGTGCGATATATGTCTATGGTTTTATCGGATCCAATGTGTCGTCTTCTTCTTTCTTGGTTTCTTCGTTGCTCTGTTTGTTGAATTGTGCCCAATCTGTTTATAATTGACTCAATTTTCCATCGTCTGTTTCAGGATTATGGATCCCAATGCTTCCGTGCTCGTTGATAACAATGCGTCTAATGAGATAGAGTCTTCTGATACACAACCGACGAGGCGGAGGAAGAGGAAGTCTATGGTGTGGGATCACTTCACCACCGAAGTCGCTAGCCCTGGAATTACCAAGGCCTTTTGCAAGCACTGCCACAAATCCTATGCTTACCAAAGCGGTACCAAGGCTTCAGGAACTAGCCACCTCAAGCGTCACATTGAATTGGGTATTTGTGCTGTGTGCCCAAGGACCGATCAGCTCTCGCAAGTCAAGGATGAAACCGCCTCCTTCCCTCCCAAGAAACGCCAGAGATCTCATGGTGATGCCCCTGTGGATCAAGATAGCTGCAACCATGAGATGGCAAAGATGATCATCATGCATGATTACCCTCTTCATATGGTCGAGCATCCTGGGTTTGCTGGTTTCGTCAAGGCTCTTCGTCCCCAGTTCAGTATGGCGAGCTTCAACACCATTCATGGTGACTGTGTCAATATGTTCTTGTCCGAAAAGCAAAAACTTTCAGACTTCATTGGGGAGATTCCCGGGGCGGTTAACCTTACGGTAGACTTGTGGTCGTCAAGCCAATCAGTGGGTTATGCTTTTGTGACTGGCCACTTTGTTGATAAAGACTGGAATTTGAACCACCGCCTTCTTACTGTCGCCGTTGTGGCTTCTCCTGACTCGGACACTGCCTTGAACCAACCCATCGCGGCTTGCTTGTCCGACTGGAAACTGGAGGGGAAGATCTCGAGCATCACTGTCAACCAATCAGTAGTAAGTAAAACCTGTATTGATAATCTCAGAGGTTTCTTGTCTGTCAGGAACCAGCATGTGTTGAATGGTCAGTTGTTGATGGGGAAATGCTATGCTCGGCTCCTAAGCAGTATGGCGCAAGATGCACTTGCAGCTGAGCAGCTTCAGTCACCCATCAAGAAAGTCAGAGATAGCATCAAGTATGTTAAGACTGACGACGCTTGTGGAGACAAATTTGTTGAACTCAAGAGACTGTTTCCAACCGATTCTCCTTACAAGGATCTTATCATTGACAACCGAACCAGATGGGACACAAGCTACAACATGTTGTTGGCTGCCTGTGAACACAGACAAGTCTTTTCTACTTTGGAAACCTGTCATCCTGATTACAAAATATCGATTTCTGCTCAAGAATGGGGAAAGATTGAGAGTCTCTGCTCTTGCTTGAAGGTCCTTTTCGAAGCGGGTAATGTCTTGACTAGGCCAAAACACTTGACAGCAAACGATTTGTACCATGAGATGACCAATCTTCAGCTAGAGCTGAGCCACGCTGCCATGGTTGAAGACCCGGATGTCAGAATCCTTGCAAACTCGTTCAGGGAGAGATTCGACCTGTACTGGAGAGAATGCGTCCTGGTTTTGGCGGTTGCTGTTGTTATGGATCCTCGGTTCAAGATGCAGCTCATTGAGTCCACCTTCACTGAGTCTTATGGTGAAGATGGAGAAAAATGGATCAAGACTGTCAGTGATGCCGTCTATGATCTCTACCTTAATTACAGTGAAAACAACCTGCTAGATGCCTATGTGGATCATGGCTTTTCCGAGATAGAGGTGGCTCAAGAACCTCACTTCCATCAAGACATGCCTCAAGCTACCAATACAGACATGCCTCAAGCTACCAATACAGACATGCCTCAAGCTACCAATACAGACATGCCTCAAGATACCAATACAGACATGCCTCAAGGTACCAATACAGACATGCCTCAAGATACCAATACAGACATGCCTCAAGAAACCAATACAGGGAATGGACAATCAGGAGATGAGACAAGTCCACAAGTAGAGCAAACCACTAAGTCACATCCAGTAGCAGAAGAGGAACAGAAACTTGGTGATGACTCTCGAGCAGCAGAGGAAGACGACACGACATTAACCGTAGAGGAAATCACAGAGTCACATCAAGATGAGAGACAGCCTAAGGTAGAGAAGCCGAGTGTGGAAGGGGTATGGAAAGGAGCGAGTGAAGAGTGTCAGCTAACAGAAAATGGCCAGCAAAATGGTGATGATTCCCAAGCACATCCAATAGCAGAGGAAGACCACATGTTATTTGCGGGTGACGTGCTACTCCAGGAAGGGTCTACTCTAGTGACAATTGGAGACTCGTTGTCAGACTTTGAGTTTTGCATCTCAGAGATCAAACCGGAGCTGAATCAGTACCTGGAGGAAACTTTGATTCCGAGGTCGGAAGACTTTGACGTTCTGAGCTGGTGGAGGCTCAACAGTACCAGTTATCCCACCCTCGCTAAGATGGCTGCCGATCTTCTCTCCATCCCCTTTATCACCGTCTCGCCTGATTCCGTATTCAGCACAGAGGTGAAGCAGATGGACAGTTATAAGACCTCTCTTCCTCGTGTAACCGTGGAGGCTCTCTTGTGCACCAAGGACTGGCTCAAAAACCGAACATCATGAAAATCTTGATGGTTTTTTTTAATTCTGTTTTTCTTTTTAGATTTGTTTTCTTAGTTATTAATTCTGTTACCGGATACCCTTTGGTATCTGATTGCATTTTGTAAGTGGAAGCAAGCTATCACAACAATCTTCTTTTAATTTCATTGATGCCTTTGAATCTGATATACACTATAAACTTCCCTGATACATTCAAGAAGGAAACGAGTGCGAAGGAGTTATTGTCGAACATACAGCTTCTCTTTATGTCCAAATTTTTGTATTTTCTAATCAGATCATTTTTTGAAGGCAGCAGAGTAGAACCTGAAAATTGCTTCTCAACTTCTCTCGTGTTCTTCTTCTTCACCGTCTCATTCGGTTTATTTCTAGTTTGATATTCTCATCCGGTTCTTGCTACTTCACTTGAGGCTGTTTCTGCTGTGGATATTGTTATTCTCTCTTATCATGTCACACGATCTATTATGGTCTAGTGAATATTGCGTACCAAGAGTCGCCGCACGGATAAGATTTAGTATTTTCTCTGGTGCAGCCGAATTTTGGTTAAAACATCGGTTAATGGCTAACTGAATAGAGTTGGGTGGGAAGTAATTGTGGTAGTGACATTACATCATTATATTTTAAACTGGTGTTGTACTAAGGTCGTACGTTGTTATTTCATGTATGTAAGTGAATCAGTAAGAAGGAAAAAAAAAGAGTGGAACTCGTGCATTTTATGTAGAAGACACTAAGTAGGTGGTTTTTTATTAAAAGAGACAATTGACTTGAGTGGGCTTAATCACTACTACTAAAACAACACTGCACAGAGCGGACGATTCAAACCGTTGAAATTAAAAAAAGCGAAAACAAACAAAAAGGAGTCGGACAAGAGCCAGTGTCCCCACCACTTACTAGCGCCACGTGCCAGAATCTCAACCATCTACTCGTCTCGGTCGAATTGCATGGGACTGGGATTGGTGCCTTGATAAAACTTGAATGTGAACATCAAACTCACATGTAACCATCTTATACTATAGAGATAGAGATAGAAATAGAGAGAGAGAGAGATAATAGTTGGGCGTTAGCGAGAAGGAGAGGCCAGGATTGGTCATATATCTCCAAAACCAAATTTTAAACCAAACCAAAACACTTATCCTCTTTTTCTTTTATTTTATATCCTCTCACTCTCCTCAAGGCTCTTTCTTAGCTCTGTTCGGAATCTACGCTCCAAAGGTTCGGATTTTTTTGGTTTTGTTTGTTGTTTTTCTTGAATGGAACAGTGTGTGGATGTGGATGAGAATATATTATGAGCTTTTATGTTCATTCTGTTGAAATCTCTGAGATGGGTTAAAGCTTTACTTAGAGAATCTAATTAAATTAGTGTTGTGTGTGTGTGTGTGTGTTTCCGTGAAGGATCAATGGCACCAAGATCAAGCAAAGGGAAATCGAACAGATATGGGAAAGGAGAGAAAAAGAAGAAAGAAGAGAAAGTGTTGCTGCCGAGTCTGGTGGAGATCAAAGTCACGACTCCGTACGAGACCCAAGTGATACTCAAGGGAGTTTCTACTGACAGAATCATTGATGTCAGAAAGCTTTTGGGATCTCACGTCGACACTTGCCATTTCACCAACTATTCTCTCTCGCATCAGGTTCTTTTTTGCTTTTTTTTGTTTTTTAAATAAACAGATCAGTAGCAAAATGTGAGTGATACTATATTATTATGAATTGGTTTGGTGATGGATGGATCGTGCAGGTGAAAGGGCATAAACTGAGTGACAAGATCCAAGTGGTTTCCCTCAAGCCTTGTTTCCTCCGAATGATTCCAGGTGAGTGGTGGAAAATAGTTTCCTGAGCCACCAAACACCACAAAGTCTTTATTTAGTGTCAGTGAGAGAGATATGGCACTAATCATTGTTTAATACCAGAGTTGTTGTTTGTAATTGCTCCTGGTTTAGTTAATTTATTTTGATCGCTGCTGCCCTTTGAGGTTTTGAATTATTTACCATTTTGCCACAGAGGACTACCTTGAGGAAAGTCAAGCTTTGACTCAGGTACGGAGGGTCGTAGACATCGTAGCGTGCACCAGCAGGTTCTTCCCCGCTTCCAAATCTTCCACCAAATCCATCGCCGCCGCAAATGGAAATCCGGCGCCGGAGGGCCTGGGCTTGGTCGCTATCCACCCCACGCCCAAGCTTTCTCACTTCTATGACTTTTTCTCCATTCCAAACCTCGCTCCTCCGATTCTTCGTAAGTTACTCGTTTCCGAACACTCTCTAGCTTTCTATTGTTGATTCCCATTTGCAGAATTAGCTCTCGCAGCTTCCCCCAATGGCTCATTATTATAACCCGCAGATTTGAAGAAAGTCGACGGTGATGAAGCTGGAGAGATGCGTGATGGCGACTATTTTGGACTTAAGGTGTCGTTATCTTCCTTGCTTTCGCTCTCATTGCAGCAAATTCGTTTGTGTCTAGACTTTGATATTTGCTGTTAGCTGCTCTCTTCCTAATTTCAGCATACTTTTCTTCCTAACTTTTGTATTTCTTCTTTTCAGGTCAAGATCTGCAATGGGAAGATTATTCATGTGATTGCATCGGTAAAAGGGTTCTTCGCCGTTGGGAAGCAGGTCCCACATTGTCACTCCATTGTTGATTTGCTTCAGAATGTCAGCAATGCTTTCTTCAATGTAGGGGCTATTACACTATTTTTTAGCTCAATGAATATGGCATTGTATTGTGAAAGTTCCAAAACAAATTCATGTTCCACAACGAAACCAACTTATATTGTTCTGGGAACTGATGCAGGCATATGAATCTCTAATGAAAGCTTTCACTGACCGGAATAAGGTGAATGCTTGTTTTGCGTCTACTTTCTTTCGTTAATGACTTCGATGATTCTTTCCAAGCTCTAACAGTATGAAGTTTGGCTTCATTCGTTTTCAGTTTGGCAACCTTCCGTATGGATTACGCACAAACACATGGCTTGTACCTCCTTCTGTCTCTGAGTCTTCTTCTTCAACCTTCTCTGCTTTACCAGCAGAGGACGAAAGTTTGGGTGGGAATGGTGGAGGCCAGGGGAGAAATGGTGAATATGATCTTCGTCCCTGGGCGACAGAGTTCTCTGTATTAGCTAAGCTTCCTTGCAAGACCGAGGAGGAGAGAGTTATTCGAGATAAGAAAGCTTTTTTGCTTCATAACCAGTTTGTCGATGTCTCTGTTCGAAGAGCTGTTAGAGCCATTTGCGACGTCATTGATACTACTAATCATCAGCTCACAAATGGAAGTAGTGGCTCCCCTGCAGGCTCGATCCTTCTTGAGGATCGTGTTGGGGATTTGTCTATTGTTGTAAAACGTGATATAGCCAGCCTTGACCCAAATCCTGAAGCTACATTTCAAAACGAAGCATTTGCTCTATCATCCAAGGAAATTAGTGAAAGGAATCTGCTCAAAGGGATAACAGCTGACGAGAGTGTAATTGTTCACGTAAGTGGTTTCTCGTCCTTTTTCTCAGCTATCTACATGCAGACGCTATACTTTTCATGTTTTTTTCTAAAGATTATATACCAAATGAAGAATTTTTGTTTCAGGATACTTCGGCTTTAGGCACAGTGATTGTAAGACACTGTGGATATACAGCGGTGGTAAATGTAAAGGGTGATATTAAAAAGGGAATGACTAATATTGTGATCGATGACCTACCGGATGGAGGAGCTAATGCGCTTAACCTTAACAGGTTTGTGCACCCAACTAGATTTCTAAGAATATTCTTATTTTTGCGTATTTCAACATGTTCGTATAGAATTTTTTAGTTTGTTGTCTTCCTCTCAACCTGTCTGTATCTATACCATCTACGGTGTTGTGTACAATTAGGAATAGACAATTAAATAGCAAGCTTTCTCACAGTTTAAATAACAAGCTTTCTCACAAATATATATGACTCAGCATCTAACTTGTCCTTTTCCTCTTTGGCCGGTGACTTTATTGCAGCTTAAGGGTTCAGCTTCACAGACCCCATAGTGTCGGAAAATCTGGAGGGAACCAGCCTCCACAGTTTGATTCGGATAATTTAGGGTCTTTTAGATGTATGGTACAGGACTTGGTAAAAACTAACATAACGAAGTTAGAAGAGAAAAGGGAATCTTCCGAAAGGCCCATCAGATGGGAGCTCGGATCTTGCTGGGTTCAGCATCTACAAAAGAAAGAAGTAGTAACGGAAAACGACTGTGGAAAGCCTGCAACGAATGGTGAGACTGAACTTTCAGTTAAAGGTTTGGGAAAACAATTTAAAGTTCTAAAGTGCAAAAACAAGAAATCAGAAAAACCAAGTACTGTGAAGGAAAAGGAAGAAAATACCAGTCTACGCGAGTTAGATGGGCAGGCTGAACTGAAAGAACTGCTTTCTGAAGAAGCTTTCTCTCGCTTAAAAAAAAGTGGAACTGGTCTCCATTTAAAGGTTACCTTTTTTTCTAACTTGCAATTTCTAACCAGGGGAACATAAGTTTTTTATGAATTCTAATTTCTCCCTTCTCTGTTTTTTTATGGATGATTACTTATATATTGGTTATCTTATTGAAACGGTTGATGTTTGTGTAATGCAGTCAAAAGCAGAGCTTACCAAGATGCTGTATGAATACTATGATGAAATTGCTTTGCCAAGGCTGGTATGTGTTTGGTTAGATAACCAATATAAATTTCAGAAATTATCTATAGCCATACATATCAAGAAATCATTGTAATGGTTTAGGTAGCAGATTTTGGGTCCCTGGAGCTTTCTCCAGTTGATGGTCGCACAATGACCGACTTCATGCATATAAGAGGACTTCAAATGCGTTCTCTAGGACATGTGGTCAGAATCCTTTACCTTGTCAATAGCGCATTTCATGTTGCCAAGTTATTTTGGTTTTGAAAGAATAAAACTAGTTTGTTGTTCTAAAGGGATTTTGTTGAGCTCGGAAGTAGTGTTTAGTAGAAAGTTGTTAATGATCATTATCCCTATGAATCAGGCTAAACTTGCTGAGAACCTTCCTCATATACAGTCCCTCTGTATTCATGAGATGATAACGAGAAGTTTCAAGCATCTTCTTAGGGCGGTTATTGCATCTGTCAATGATATGGCAGAGCTACCTGGAGCAATAGCTGCTTCATTAAATTTCATGCTTGGCTTCCGTGGGCTGGAAGGGAGTGATATGATCTCCAGTGATGAGCATTGTCTCAGATTACAGTGGCTACAGAAATTTCTCTTCATAAAGTTTGGTTGGATACAGAACGATGAGTTCAAGCATTTGAGAAAAGTTTCCATTCTCCGAGGAGTTTGCCAGAAGGTAACGTAGCTTTGTGTTAATGTGTTGCTGCTTGAATAAGAATTATAGTTCTCTACTCATTCTTTTACAGGTTGGGTTAGAACTACTTCCAAGAGATTATGACTTCGATTCTCCAAATCCCTTTAAGAGCTCTGACGTTTTCGGCTTGGTACCTATGTGCAAGGTTGGTCTCTCTCTCCCCATGAACCAATAGTAGTTTGTCCAAAAGCGATTACATCATAACCTGTTATTTATCTATGGCTGCTTGGATCTTGGTCCGTCGAGACACAGTTCAAATGCTAGATAATAATCCTTAAGATATATGTTCGATTGAACAGCATGTGCTATGTGTTTCATCTGACGGAAGGACACTCTTGGAGTCATCAAAACATGCTCTAGACAAAGGAAAACTTGATGATGCTGTCAACTATGGAACAAAGGTACCTATTCATTTGATAGCCACGTTATCTCCATGCTTGAACCATCTGAAAATTGGTATCCTAGAGATGTTGACTTCTTGCACTTCCTAGGCATTAGTCAAGATGATTGCTGTCTGTGGGCCTTGTCATAGAAATACTGCTTGTGCGTACAGCCTTCTCGCCGTTGTACTATACCATACTGGCGATTTCAACGAGGTATCATCATTTCTCACCTTTTTCTCAAATGGAACCTTTGATTATCAGTTAAAGTAGCAAATAGAAAGTTTGTCGAGCTTGATGATTTCATTCTAGGCACTGTTATATAACCTTTTCCAATCTCATTTCCAGTTATAAACAACAAAAGTAGAGAAAAACCGATGAGAGGCACTGTTATCTCTGATGTATTTTTTTATTCTCTTGATCAGGCAACTATATATCAGCACAAGGCTCTAGATATAAATGAAAGAGAACTTGGTCTCGACCATCCTGACACTATGAAAAGCTATGGGGATCTTTCTGTATTTTATTATCGTCTTCAGCACATCGAATTGGCACTAAAGTAAGTGATGCATGATGATCTGTTATAGTTTTACAGTCACTAATAAAAAACCTTACTGCTTTGCTTTTCCATCACCTTGTCTCGTTGCCTCAGATTGGCTCTTCTTAACTGTGATCTGCCATCTTTCTAACCCTTTTTATTTGTCATCTGTGTACAGATATGTGAACCGTGCTTTGTGTCTTCTTCATTTTACTTGTGGGCTATTTCACCCGAATACTGCTGCCACATATATCAATGTGGCAATGATGGAAGAAGGAGTAGGGAATGTTAATCTAGCTCTAAGATACCTGCATGAAGCTCTAAAGTGCAACAAAAAATTGCTCGGAGCGGACCATATTCAGGTATCGTGCCTTATCTATCTTTGCTCCAGTTTGCGCTCGTTCTTAAGCTAATCTCTCATTGCTTTTGTGTTTTGCTTTGCCAGACAGCGGCAAGCTATCATGCAATCGCCGTGGCTATGTCTCTCATGGAAGCATTTTCCTTGAGTGTGCAACATGAACAGACCACACTTCAGATACTTACAGCAAAGCTTGGATCAGATGACATTCGTACACAGGTGATTGATTCGCTCTTAGTTTTTAGCGTACTGCGTTCATTCACATGAAAAAAAAAACTTAAAGATTCTTAGTTGTTTTCTGTTGCTGTCACAGGATGCTGCTGCATGGCTTGAGTATTTTGAAACAAGAGCCATAGAGCAGCAGGAAGCAGCCCGAAATGGAATCCCGAAGCCGGATGCTTCCATCGCGAGCAAAGGCCACCTTAGGTACTAAAATGGAAACTCCCAGAACCCATAAAGGATATGGTAATTATTTCATGCGAGTATTTGCCATCTAAGCCAAACAGACATTGAAAATAAAGACTATACTATCATAAAATATTAAATGGAGCAAATAACCATTTGAAGACTCTGTAGACGTTTTTTGTCCTCCATTTTGCGCCTGGTATATAATTGTTTGCGTCAAAATAATTTCAAACTATATCAGTTACATATAGTACACTGTAGAAATAGAACTACTCCTTTGATCAGTCTTAGGTGAATGGTCAAAAAGCACACATAGAAATAGAATAATTACTATATTAATTGCATCCAAAATAAACTGCGTACACTATTTCAAGTTTTATATAGGACTAGTACTACTACACCATTCGTAAATATAATAAAATGCAAACCGCAATTTCTTGTTTAATTACCACATCAAATTTATTAGCTATATACATGTATGTGATCTAAGATTTGTATAAACCGTCGCATATGAAATGTTTACTACAGTACATGATATACTTTAAAGTTAAAACATTTTTTTTTGCGAAAATTAGATAAGTAAATACTGTATGTGTAATTTATTTAACATGCATAATAGATTTCGAATTCATTTTATATAAATTTAGAGATACTAAAAATCCACATGTTATATTTTGAAATCAATAAATTACACAAAATTTATAAATCCTATATGAATTTCTAAATATACTAAAATATATATACGAATAACACCTTTTAAATTATATATAACACAATAAAAAGAATAACACCAGTCCTCAGTTTAATTTAGAACAAAAAATAAAAAAATTACCATTTTATCTTATAAAAAATTATGTAAAAATATAGGCCGTAAGTCCATATTGATTTTCTTTAGTTCATAATTTATAATTCGGCAGATAGAGTAGATTGGGTCAATGGTTACATATCTACTCTATCTGCCCAATTATAAATTATGAACTAAAGGAAATCAATATGGGCTTACGGCCTTTATTTTTACATAATTTTTTTATAAGATAAAATGGTAATTTTTTTATTTTGACATGTAAATTTTCAAAATATGTCATATACATAAAAATAATATATGGTCTTTTTTATTAAAATTGCAAATTTGAATCATTAGTCTTTTAAGAGATTGAAAGTAATTAACATGAAAGGGGAAAACATATTTAACAATAAATATATCAATATATAAGAACTTGCACATAGTGGCAAAATGTTTCACAATATATACAGATTTCATGACCAATTTTTTTTTGCTAGTTACTTTCTTAATTTCACATGCTATTTTGGTTATCTTGCATAATTTCCCTTATTTCATTGGCACCAAAGTCCAACCTTTTTTGCAGTGTATCAGATCTGATGGACTATATAAGTTCTGATCCAGACACTAAAGGAAGTGTTGTTCACAGGAAACAGCGCCGTGCCACGGTAATTCCTAAACTTGAGAGATCCTTGTTCCTCAAGTCACTCATTCTGGAATTTTGTTTGACATGTCTAAACAAAAGTAAAGATTTAAAACGTGTGAGATATTGAAACGAAAAGAAGAAGATGAATGTATCACAATATAGGTCAAAGATTTGTAACGATGTCTTCTAATTTCGACAGGTATTCCAGGTCAATGATAGTGTTGCATCAGTTGATGATGCCAGCCACAGCGTTGACTCACAGCATGGCATGGCTACATGGAGCGACGACGTGGCAGAAACAAATGTCCCTACGAGCGACATGACCCAAGTAAATGATCCTTATGCAGTTGTGAGTGAGGTCGAAACAGAGACAGATGATATTATAGCAGATAGGCTAAATGTGGAGAACCAAATTGTGGAAGAGTCAACTTTAGATGAGGGATGGCAAGAGGCATACTCAAAGGGGAGATCCGGTAATGGTGGAAGGAAATTCAGACAAAGGCAGCCTCATGATACTTTGAAAAACAGATTGTCGCTTGATAGAAATCTCAACGGGAGACAGGATGTTGTTCAGCAAAAGTATAAATCTTCTTCTCCGCGGAAAACAACTTTGAGACCCTCCGTCTCTGCGTCATCATCCCTTAGGGCTCTGAAGAACGCAGAGATAGATGTCAGTACTAATACAATTAAGCCACTATCAAAGGCTTCTGGTTCCTCTGCCGTGATGAGTACTGCATTGGCTTCAAAGTCTCTCTCATACAAAGAGGTTGCTTTGGCGCCACCAGGTACAGTTCTGAAGCCAATGTTTGAAAAAATAGAACTGAATTTGGAAAGAACTGAAACTCAGATATACAGGACTTCAAGTGCGTCAACTGGAGCAGAGAGCAAGTCCGACACTGTAATGTCGGATTTGGCAATCCAAGGCACAGAGCAAGAAAGTGTTGAGTCAATAGAAAAATCAACGTCAGAGTCTGAAGGGGATCTGGAGAAGGCTTCTGATATAAGCAGGAGAAAGCTGTCGGCGGCGGCAGAGCCCTACAATCCTGGAGGATTCTTGGTTGTTGACACGCAAACAACAGCAGCAACAACAGGAAACTCACTGAGTGTGGATGCAGAGCCTATTTCCGAGGCTGGAATTGGATGTGGGATTCACTCACCACAATATTACGGTGCTAATTACTCAAATGGAGTTGGGATGCCAAGAACCATGAATCCTGATGCACCAGAGTTTGTTCCGAGGAGATCCGTGCATAATGGCTCTAACCATGAAGGTGGAGATGCAAGTGTATCCGTTGACTCCAATGGTTGCCTAAAGGCTGAGAAAAACGAAGTAGCTTTGAAGAACCAAGAGCTTGCGAGGCAGATTCTACTTAGCTTCATAGTAAAGTCAGCCCAGAAGGAGGTTGTAGCTGCTCCGAGGAAGGAAACGAAGCCTAAAGATGTGATAGAAGATACCTCTGCAAAGGATAGAGCAGTAACAGAGATAGTCCACAGAAGAGAAGAGGAGAGTAGAGCGAAAGAAAACGAGACGAATGAAGGTGAAGGGTTTGTGATTGTGGCAAAGAAGAGGAGGAGGAAGAACAAGCAGCGACTTACGAACGATGCAGCTGGGATGTACCATCAACAACAGTCGTCGGTCTGTGCATGATCTGATCAGTGAGTTAGTTCGGGTATACAAAATAAAAGCTTCTTCTGAAGCTGATTAATCTTTTCTACTCATTTAGTTTATTGGGTTTCTTTTCGGTCTGCACTTGAGATGAGCCTGTTGCGTTGTAAATTCTTCGTACCATTTTCATCCCTTTTCCTTTTTGTCCGTCGTGTTTCTGAGTTAAGTTGAATCCGCAAGTGAGCGAATTTTTCTGGCTTATTACAGACCATTGTAGCAATCTACGGTCTATTTAGTGGCATCGACACAAAAAAATTAACCACGAAATTGATATAGAGCAACGCGATACAGATTTTTATGACAGTCGATAAAACATTGCTGTAAAAGTTCTTATAATGATCAAATGTCACAACCATTAACCACTTTTTTAAAAATATCGTAGCCAAGCCTGTTTGGAAACTGCGTTCTATAGCGAAACAACACATTCGACCAAACCAAAATCACAAAACCAAAGTTATCAACCTTATATAAGTAGCAGAATAAATTACATATGGAAAATGGAAAAAAACACCAAACAGGCTTGACCAAGGCTTGGGACAACGACTTTCCTGAAAATAGCGTCAAATGGTATTACAAAAAAGAATCAAGATGATCGAAAATACGAAACAAGACATCCTTTCTCCACTTCATATCTATTTGCTAGAGGTAGTAGTAACAACCACACTCTAGCATAGCTTTGATACACTTACCTAATAAATCCAGGAACAATTGCAGCCTAAAGTGCTCTGTAACGAAACGAAGCTTGGAAAAGCACCAGGGTCCTGAGCCAAGGAGTCCCTAAGCCATCTTCTTAGTTTCTCACAAATGTAATCACTTGCTAAAGCTCATCTCCGAGTACCTGCATATACACCAATGACAACTTAAGCACCTATTCTATTTCATGATCGGATCAGATTCCACAATACTGAGTCCTACATAGGTATTCGATCATATGTCCACGAATGCCAGTCAAATCCGTGGACATAGTGCATTATGGTCCCTAACCCTAAATTGTTCCATATCAACTGGTGTTCAATTTGAAAGAATAGGTCCGAGTTAACTTCAAAAACTGACCTACGAGGGTGCTTGCTTGGATTGTTGTTTTGCCGTTTTGAAACCCCACTCTCTGTAACCTCTGCATAGAAGAAGAATAGCTTGAGTTAAAGAAAATATTCATATTAGCAGGCTGAATCTCTCCTTCATTAGCCATTTTGTGACTAACAGAAAAGACAACTTTTGAAAAAAGTTCCGGTGAAACAATATTCATCATATATTTTTCTGTACTAATCCATCGCATCCAATCAATTTTCCACTTCCAGATAAAAAAGTCAATAGATGCAAAGTTATCCCCCTAATAAGGGTAACGCTATACACAAAAGCCTGATGTAGTAACCATTAGAAAAAGCCAGTATTGCAAAATGACTAACCAGGCCTCTCCCCGAGTTTCTCCAGGTCATTAAGGTTATTAGTACTATTCCCTTTGCTGCAAAAATGGTAATTTGATTAAGCATGATTAAGCAAGCTAAACGTGCATGCTCGAATATTATAAATATATAAAACGTGCCAAGCATATGCAGTACGTTTAAATAAGAGAAAAATACGATGAAGATTTACAAACTACTGTCTATACCTGGAGGATCCTGCAGAGGAAGGTAACCCTGGCTTGTGTGCTTGGTAAGAACCATCAATAGCAGCATACGGTGGACTGTATGAAGCCCCTAAACCTCCTGGACCAGTCAAAACTGGCATCCTGCCAAACATATAAACAAGTCTCAGTAGCACGCAGGCGAAGGAACTGGATATAGATGGAGAGTCCGGAGCGTACGAACAGCACAGTATTCAAAACGAAGATAATTATTCAGTTTTTCCAACATACAGACCCGAACAATGATGATCAAATGGGAAACACGGCAATTCAGCTAACAATATGCACAATATCTAGTTCTTTGAAATGCTTACAAGTTACAACCGACAACTCAGAAAACTAACATCCATAATGTTCACCGAGAAGGGGAAGGAATAAGCATACCATGTCATCTCCGGATTTCCAACACCATTTTCAGACTGGAATATTCCTGGAAAAGCCATTCCAAAAGTCGGAACCCCACCATGCTGACCACCGAATTGCATAACTGCATTTGAATTTAATCATGATAATTTAATAATCTAAGAACTAGTCAGATACGAAAAAAAAATATAGTAGTACGCAAATTATCCCTAAGTCGGTATGACAGGACTCAAGTGGCTCAGGCGTTAATAGCTTTCAATTTCATCAACCATGCATGGTTGGATTCTGAAAAAAAATCCTTTTTAACACGTCCATTGCAGAAAGTAAAGTGTCATCCAAAAAAACTTACCAGGCAGAAAAGCCGGGAAATTGGAATTGTCACCAGATGCTAAACTTTCTGCTCGCCCCATCACTTGAGATCCACTATACATCAACGCGCCACTTCCACCTGGCTGGGGAGACCCTTTTCCCTTAGCAATCCATACTTCTGTTCCCAATGCAGATTCTGTTTCACCAAGAGGATACCGAGTTCTTGATGAGCTAGATTTCTGGGTAGAGGAAGGCAACGATCTGATGTCCGCAGACTGCTGATCAAAACCCTGACCGGGAGGTCTAATATTGCTTTGGCCAGTGCCTTTTGAATCTCCATTGAGTTGCTTTGGTGATGAAAATCTTACACCTTGACTGTGAGATTGGGGGTAAAACACATTCCCAGCAGCAGGTGCACCTCTACCTTGACCCGTGGACTGAAAATTTTCAGTCCGGGGAGTATAAACTGGTGAAAAATCGGATTTTGTATTCCTGTACTTCTTCCCAGAAGGTGCGTCACTTTCATTCGTGTTGAGTCTTTCCATACCAACTTGTATACCATGTACCAAGTTATTCGAGGACACTGAAGGATAAAATGGAGGAGAAGCAGAACTTAGACTTGAAGCAACTACATTCTGTTTGGTGTGAGCACCTTCATTCCCAGTTTTAGCAGGGTCACTTGGTGAACGCCGTGAACCGAGGTGTGACATTCTTTCATTAGAATTTTGTGACCCATGAGAATTTCGTGATCTACAGATTCAGTATACAAGTACATATATTAGAGATAAAAAGAAAAAACCTTCTTTCAACTAGAGAGAACAAAAATGTAAGAACTCACTGTTTGCTCTGCGCGGAATGTGATTGATTGCCTTTGCTAAGGGGAGGCTCATATTTCCTGGGCCCTCCCCCTCGTGCGGCAGTTTTACGAACAAAAATTTGCTGTCCATTGTTGGATGATGCGTTAGAACTGTTCCCTCTAGTGTATCCACGCCCTTGTCCCCTACCCCGACCACGGCCTCTGCCACGGCCTCTAGAAGTCTTCTGCTGAGATTACATGAGTACAATCAGTCAACTATATAATAATTCAGAAAGGAAGAGGACAAGAGATGGAAGATACATGAATACAAGTAAAAAAGGCAAACATATGTCACATATACATAAAGAGATAAATGGATCTAAAAACATAATTTGAAAAACCAAAGACAGAAGCTCTACATCATAATGTTTCTCCTGAGTATTCATCTCTTCAAATTTGTCATGTCCCCATTTCCTTTCGTCTCCCCACGATTGCCTTCCACCACGCATTCGCCTACGAAAGCAAATTAAGGATTATATCAATCGACAGACACACGGTTGACAGGAAGAGCTAATTAGTATGCATAAAACTAAGCCAAATCTAGCAGAGAAATCCCTAGTGCAGCCTCAATTCAAGCTCTTCATAAAATAGCATATGATAATCTCTCTCCATGAATGCAATTGCAATTTGAGAAAACTGTGTATACTAAAAAAAAAAGTGAACCTGCTTCGGCCGGCAGAGAGTTCCTGAAATCTGTCATCATGCATATAAAAAGCTCCACCAGTGGGCACTGCAGCAGATTGCTTCTCCTTTTCTTCCTCTCCATCGATAATAGCTGGCGCATCTTCTGCTGCCTTGGTCATGTTACTCCTCTCGTCGTCATCATCGACTTCATCTTCCCTAAACTCATCACCTTCTTCCTCCTCGTAACTATCCTCTCCATCTTCACTCTTGTTTTCGTCGTTATCATACTTGACGGCACCAACCACCTCTTCATCCGATAGGTCGGAATCAATATCAGCCCTCCGATTTCTAACCCCATCAGCATCGTCGTCGTCGTCATCACTGGCTTCTCTCCTCCTCGTCGCCAAGGAGCGCTCGAGCTCCTCGGGATCACTCTCGTAGTCCAGTTCTCCCGGCGCCATAAATTCACTCTAGAAACCTGAAAAGGAGAGCCGCCTAGTGAAATCGAAACCCTGGAGGAAGAAATTTGATCGAGAAATCGAAGAATCGCGGGAAAACTATGTACAAAGCTCTCACTGACCTTAACCCTATTTACCTCCGGAGGCGCTCTTCTGCGATTTTGGGCGTTTTCCAATAAAATCGAATGGAGCGGAAGGGCCCTTTTCAGTTTTTTTTTTAAATACATAAATAGGGGAAAGCCTTATCCAATTCCAAACTAATCGAGAGTTTTAACGATTCCATTAGATGAAGTTAGAAAAAAAAATACGTGTTGACTGATTGGACTCGGTAATTTTAGCAACAAATAAATTTACAGAGGAAATTTTCCACATTGAGCAACTTTAGTGTGATATTTAATCGTTCTTGAATATAACATATGCATAACATCCTTTTTTGTTAAGAATAAAATAAAGGATTTTTTAACTCACGAAGGCGGTTTCATTGTAAAGCTTAGATTTTTGAAAAGAGTCTTGCGTTGTTACTCGATGAAAAGCCCATAGAATATGTTGAGTGGGCTTTTAATCAGGCCATAATCTATCTCTATGAGCCCATTTCATGGGTTGCGTCGTTCCTACGAACTCAATATATAATAGCTCAGAGATTCTATCGAAAGCAGGTCATCAACTCCCACTTCCTTTTTCCCCAATTCTCAGATCAGCATCAAACCCTAGCTCTAAGAACCAGTCATGTCGTCCAAGCAAGGTAAAGCAATTATAATTTTTGATGATTTAGGTTCTTGTTTATGATGTTCGATTGATGCCAGTGATTCGTTTGCGATTTGAGGAATTAAAAGACATGGTTTTGCGATCTGCTAATCGTTTTCGTTAAAACAGGAGGAAAGGCGAAACCATTGAAGCAGCCCAAAGCTGATAAGAAGGAATACGACGAGGTGAATCGACTGAACCTTTTTTCAAAACCCTTTTTTGTTTGTTTGTTATGAGTGCGAGTTTCTGTTGAAAGTGAGCTTCTTAGATCGTTTTATATCGTCTTAGGCCTCGATTGAATCGATGATAGAGCTTTCTGGGTCTGCTTTTGATTGTGAAACTTACTTGAATTCTCGAAAGTGAAAACACAGAATCCTGTTCTCTTGCTCTGGTCGAATGATACTTATATGCTACTCGAAATCTTATCCAGTGTTTTTAAGAGCACACACTCCCGAGTCGTTCCCATGATTTTTTCTTGCATACTATTTATTGATTTTTAGACATTCGTTTTACACACTCTAATTCCTGGAATTGTTTACTCGGCGTTTTTGCAGCACGATATGGCTAACATTCAGAAGAAGAAAGACGAGGAAAAGGTGAGTTCCCATTTAGATTCTCTGGCTTGTTTCCTCTCTTGTTCATTTGTGTTTCGCCAAATGCATCTATTTCTATGGTTTGACTCCTCTTTTCAAGCAAAGATTGTTATCTACACTAGGGAGCTACTACTTTAGTCAAAATCTTTGTTAGATTGGTCACGTTGTCAAAACTGAACACTAATAATGACATTGTACCGGGTGACTTCAACAAGATGGGTCGTTGTACTTTAACTGTTTGTTAGTTTAGAATCCATTACGGATGTTTTTAATGAAAACAACAGATTTGGAAATGATATGGATTAGGTTACGGATTCTTGGATGCTTACTTCGCTTTGTTTCCACCCAGTGATATCAAAATACTCTTTAGCATCTCTTTCGCAATGAGAATGACATACACTGATCATTTGTTATTGAAAGCCTGACCCATTTTATTTTGGAATGGAAATGGGAAAACAGGCACTTAAAGAACTAAGAGCCAAGGCATCGCAGAAGGGATCCTTTGGAGGCTCTGGACTCAAGAAGAGCGGCAAGAAATGATCCGTTTTATCCATGATGCCTGTTTGACAGTGCAGATTTATCAAGTTAAAACAGTTAATCGAGTGTTTATGTAACTTCTATCATATTTGTAAGAGAGTAACTTTGCTTCTCCATACTTATGTTTGCTTTCGCCACTTTTTCATGGAAAAGAAAAATGGTTTCTACCCAAAAAAAAATCAAATACTGTCATATTTCTCCATCTCAGGTTTCCAATTTTAGAAACTGCTATCGACATACCTTCAAGAGTAAAAGTATGTTGCATTGATAACTTAAGATGAGGTAATAACTGAGGGTGACAGGTGATTTTACCAAAGTGGCAAGTGAAATATATGTGCTGCGTAATGGATAAACAACTCTTCTTAAAAAAAAGTGCATACTCTAAACGAAAATAGCTTCGCCCTGCCCTGAAAGCAAAGCTGATCGAGAGGGTCTCAGAGCCTGAAGGATCCTGCTTTTCTCCTTGAACCGTTGATGTTGGAAGAGGTGCGTGGATCAGAGAACTCGTAGTACATGTCAGTGAAGAAATTGTCAACAATGTCAAGGTACACAGGGCTTCTGATGCTTGAATAGCAACGAAGCGCTTCCCGTACATCCAATGCGTGCTCCACGTCTTTCAGATCCACCATGTTGAGTTCTTTCATCTTTTGCGCCAACGCGTCACCTCTTCTCTGCGCCTCCTCGAATGATGGCTCTGCAACTTTTTTCCTCTGTTTCTTTTTAGGCTGGTTTTTGTCGAGACTCTCATGCCTGGTTTCTGCAACAGTCGCGCTCTCGCAAGAAACAACGCTGTAGGTTTCTTCTGTCTGAGAATCTTCTGGGAAGCGCCGGTGAAGACTGCACGAGAAAGGGTTCAAGAGAGGAGTGTTGTTGTTAGGTAAGTTGTGGTATTTGCCAAAGCAGATAGTGGACTTGATGCTCCCAAGGCTCTTCCTTAAGAAACGACCAACTCTCTGAATTGATTTTGTAGTAGGTTTCATCATCTTTGGCTTTTGTCTCTACTGAGCTACTGCTGTTGAATTTCTGAGACAATAACCATATATATCTTCACTTAAAGCGAAACCTAACATTCATTCAGTGGCATGTAGTAGTTGAAGAAGGACGCTGATATGATATGTCAGAGTCAGACTTTAAGAAGGTGTCATCTTGATATGTGTCCACTTTTATAGGTAAGAAATCGTCATCACATTGATAATCAGTGTTCACAAATGGTCCCCTACTTATCATTGCCACGCACCACACTACACAAACATGCCAGTTGACCCCGGCTAATATTATCAGAACTAGGCCCATAAAGCCCACTAAAGAAGCCCATTTTTTGGCGGTAACCGATTGACATCCAGTTTTAGATACGACAAAACCCTACAAGGTCGTCTTCTAGAAGCCGCAAAGATTTTCTACAGAGCGAACTTTGATCATTCCCTGCATCTGCGGCAATGGTAATCTAACGTGTATTCCGTGTAAGCATATGTTTTGAATTACGTAAGTATAACTGGTGCTTTGGAACTGGCAGACTAAGGGAACGGCGAGTTTCGGTAAGAGGAGGAACAAGACACACACGCTCTGTGTGAGGTGTGGTCACCGGAGCTTTCACATCCAGAAAAGTCGTTGCTCGGCCTGTGCTTATCCTGCCGCCCGGAAGAGGACATGTATGCCTCTCTCCCCTTAGATATGTATTCAAAGATGCACTTGCATCAAATTGAGGTTCAAGAGTTCAATGTTTTGTATACACAGACAACTGGAGTGTGAAGGCAATAAGAAGAAAGACTACAGGAACTGGTAGGATGAGGTATCTACGCAATGTCCCTCGTAGGTTCAAGACTGGCTTTAGAGAAGGTACAGCTACGTTGACTCTTTTCTTCCTCTTTAACACAAACTTGCACTATCTGATTCTGATTGATGGGAACAATGGTTCAGGTATCCAAGCTACCCCAAGAAACAAGGCTGCAGCTGCTACTTCCTAGGCATTATTCGTCACTTTGCGTTTAGCCATTTGTTTCCTGCTTCTTACGTAGCATTTTAGTTATTATTTTTTTGAGGAAAATATGTTAGAGTACTATGTTTTCTTATATCTCTACTTCTTTCATATGGTATATCATTGATTCATTGAAATGCACACGTGCTGCTACTGTTTATATAAATGAAGATAGCAAAACTCCATGTAAATATGGAGGGGTTTACAAGCACAAACCAGGTATCAAGTTGGTGGTGTGAATTGACCAAAGAGGTGTTTTTCGTTGTGCAACTGTTTGAAAGCCTGCTCCATTTCTGGAAACGCCGAGAGTAGCAACAGCTCCAAAAGGTCAAACGCCAAATGTTTCAGGCACACCGATGACTGAAACAACCGTATTCAAACTATCAAAACCCTATTCTTCAGATTGCATAACCAAAGACAAGGCGAACCATTGTTTACCTGAAGGAAGAAGTAGAGATCTTCCGCACATTGTTCATACTCCTTGTGTCCCACAAGACTCACTATAGTAGCAGGGGCTTTTTCTGTGCGGTCAGAGTAAAATTCAAACGTTTATGTTAGTTCAACAAATCGTAGATATCATTGCTGCAAGTGAGTATCAGATGACAGGACCCTCATTACCGATCATCAGCTCATGAACAAATTTGGCTCGTCTCTCTGCTTCTTGCTGCTGCTCCTCGTCAGAACTGCTGGATTGTTGCTGCCTTTTTGGATGCTTTGTGATGAAGAACCCATCCGGCCATAGTATCTGATAGGTCATACCAAATAATCTCGTGAGTTCACATCACAGGAACATGTCACTGTTACACAATACGTTTCCACTACTCACTGTGATATCTGCCACTATCTCACAGTGCAAAAGGAAAAGGTTCTCACCTGTTCAACCCGTTGAATTCCCGAAGCAACTACAGTTCCCCGACGTAGAAGACGGATTTTCTCAAGTACCCAATCGTCCAATGCATCGCCCATTCCAAGTTGAAGTATCTGTTTGGCAACCCAAAACGCTTTCCGCCTAGTAATGTGTAAAGTCAAAATTACTCCACTTTCTTTTCTGAGAAAGATAAAGACAGTATGACCACTGGTTATTAAATGATGTACCTGATCCACCCACCCTCCTGGAGCTGAAAGACAACATCTACCAAGTCTAGCAGGGGCAATGTTAGCTTTGGAGGAACCCACTGCAAGAAAGACAGGTTATAACAAGCACAACAAGATAGAAATTCAAGCACTGATCTCATGGTTTCCCACAATCCAAAAAAAAAAACAGAATCAACAATCCAAAAGACAGAAATCACGATTGGCTTATGCTAGGTGTGGATGTTAAATATACCTCTGTGGGGAGGCCGTAGGAGGCCACATCATCAGCATGTGGAGTACCCACTTTTAGTCCGCCATTCTCTTTGCTATTTTTCACATCTGAATCAGGCGCCCTTATATGATCATTTCCAGGAGCTTTCACTTTAGACTTCAAATCATCCACCATAACGTTATTCTTCATATGTTGACCCGATTTCCCATTCTCTGAACTCAGGTTTTCACTCGAAGGAAGAGGACCTGGAGTCCCCTCAGTCATATTGGCCATATTTGTAGAAACGGTAGATGTCTTACGGCCAGGTTTAACTGAAACGATTTAGTAGCGACAATAATTAATAGCAAACTAATTAAAATCAAAATCCTATTATGTCATGATACTCACCCGTCAGCGTTTCAATGATTGAGAAAGAACTTGAGAACGCATAAGTCTGCACAGCAGCAACAGTTTACACATTCAAAATTTGTAAGCACTAGCGATCTTTGAGTCAGCGGAAGAGAACCTACCTGGGAATCGACACTGAGGAAGTCCCAAACTTCAATCGATCCTGAAATTCTTGGTAGCTGCAAAAGCTTCTGAACAAAGTAGAGAAAGGATAAGTCGCAGACTAAGGAAAACTGGGGAATCACTTCAATGCAAAGATTTTCATTCACAATAGTTAACGTGGAAGAATAGAAAACGAAATCCAGTAGAAAAACTAAAGCACAAAAGCTTCGGCGGTAACTACCCAAACATGAAAGCACAAACGCTAATTCACAGTTAACCTACTCATCCAAAAACGAAATCCAGTAGAAAACAAAACAAATCCTTATACAAAGCACCATGTATAAAGCATCAACAGAGACTAGAAAATAAGAGACATGGCGTTTGACCTTGAGATAATCATCAAGTAGTACACATCGCTCTTGGATAACAGGTATGTCCACGCCTGTTGATAGGAAATGCTTCGGCGGCAAATGAAGATTGTACTCGGGAAACACTTTAAGCCGCCGGTGAAGCTCCTCAAAATGTCGAAATCTGAAAGTTCACATAAGTAATTATTTTAAAGAAACAAAGCACCATCATCAGATCCGTAACAGTAATATTCTATCACCTTCTTTTGATAGACCAGCTATGATTACTTTCATCTGTGACAGAAACTGAATACACAGCAAACATCTTAGAACTACTCTTCACAATATTGGCACCCAGAACCTGCGAGAAGAACCTAAATTTATCCATCATATGATACGGCATACCAAACATCATTGTCTGCAGCTTTGTGAGTGTTTAGATGAACAACATATATTTAACTGTACCTCACATCTCAATTTGGCAAAAGAATCAACCAACAAAGAACTTCTAGGGGCATTGGGAAGGTCACTTTCCGTCACTGAAATGTAAGATGCAGACGAGGTTGCAGATATTCCACTGTATGATCTAGCCAAAGAATCATTTTCAGAATCATCACTATTGTCATCGCGTAGAATGTGTCCAGAATGTCTGGATCTCTTCCTGCTAGATTGGTGCATGGGTACTTGCTGATAATGTCCAAGCCCTTTATCGGTTTGTTTGAGACGGCGGCCAGAATTTTCAAGTGGATGGTGTATCCGTGAAACACCAGGATTTCTATTCGTTCGACCATCCCAGACTCGAGTCCCAGGACTATTTAGACCTGTTACCGTTTCCTCATCCTCAGATGTATAAGAATGACTACTCTTTGTTTGCTCCTCGTCCTCTTCAGCAGAGGAATAACTTGATAAGTGACTGTCTGTATTTACTTCCTTATGCTGACTGGATCCTCTTGCATTCTCAGTGTTTTTGTTGAAGTTATTAGGCCGTGCATCATCACCATCGTTGCATGATTCCTTGCTAGACCATCTTGGGGGCACCCGCTCAACACCTTTCTCACCTTCCTTCTTTTTATAATTTCTTCCCTTCGCCCACACGCTTTCAAGATGCTCGGGAGCAAGGGTCTCAGTTTTCCTTTGTGACATCATGTCTAATACATCACCCCATCCATCTCCTCCTCGATGTCCTTGAAGATCTTTACTATCATCAACTATTTTGGAAGTTAAGGGGAATGAGTTCCACGATCGGGAAGATCTAGTGTCCATTGAAAGCAATGGATCTTTGGAGAGATCTGTTACATGCTGTTTATCTGTAGCATTTTTCTTTTTCTGCTGTTCGTTTTTCAATTGCACGAGCTCAACGCCTGTGACAGAGGGGTCCAGATATCTAGAAAAATGATCAGGAGAAACTTGCGAGAGATCTTCAGATTCAGTAGTCTCTTCTGCAGCACTAGATCCGTCATTAGTCTTTATCTTTGATATCACAGCAGCTTCAATCCTCTCATTCATGAACCTGGTAGAGAATTTAAGGACCATTGAGGTGAAGGAAGGAGGAACCAAATATGGTCTACAGAGGTAATAGCTTACCGAGGATTGGCTAAATTTAGGACTGGTCGCATCACACAGCAAGCAAGAAGCTCCCTCACGGTATAATGGAAAAAAGAACAATGCAGATCCTCTGGCCTAAATGTTAGTGAAATGAGACGGTCCATTATATGCTGCAGAACCTGCAAAAAAGAGACCATAATTTCATCACCTGAGAGCGATGAAGTGGTAAAACACTCATAATAAAACTCTATATAACAGCTCGTCGCAACTTAGACTGTATCAAAACCTTATGCTCCGATTCAAGAGAGAATAATGCAGGGTGCAATTTATCTTCAGCGGCCATCACACGTTTTAGTTCTGAGTCTCGGTCTTCAAAACTGAGGCTTCTCCTTTGTTGTCTCTCAATCTTTGCTTGAAACTCACGGAAAAGCTCCACATGACGACATATAATATCAATTAGATCCCTGAATCAATACAGACAGTTAAGCGTTTTCGGAGAGGTGGTCGTAATAGAAACTCAACCTGAGAAGAAGAACAAACCTTGTCAATAAATCTATAAGATTTACGTTTCTAAACCTCCGTGAAAGTTCCCCGAGAACATCGTTAATAATGAACACCAGTTCTTCAGGGCCTTGCTTATCCGGTGTTATCCGGGAGTACCAGAGATCCAGCACCCATTCAGAAATGAGGTGACGGGTGAAGCTATCCATTGCGTCTTCAACGACCTGTGAGTTCACTTTGCTTCTCCAGTCAGACCGTGGAGCTGCTTTAGGGAGCTCTGGAGGTTTGCTTTGAGATGATGCATTCAGTGACGAAGGTTTGCTGTTGTAAGCTGCAGCCTTTCTTTTCATTTCGATATCGAATGAGAAATAACGGAGGAGGACGATCAAGCACGCAGCAGCAGGGAGGTTGACCCAAACCGATGAACTTGTCACTACAAGGCGTTTAAACAAATGTGAATATTCGTTAGAGATTGCTGAGGGAAACACTATAGAGTGAAACACACCAGTCAGTAGCTAGCGAAAGATCAAGAAGTTCTTAACACAGAATTGATTCTGCTACAAACCCGAAAACTGAAGATATCAAAGAGTATATGATCAAATGAGAAGATGAAAACTTACGCGACAGGAGGTAGGACAGTCCGACGACGCATATCACCAGGATTACAATACGCTTCTTGGCTTCCTCTACCAGGTCCCGAACTGTCACCACCTGCTTCTGAGTGCTCATAGTTGAATCAATCCCTTTTCCCTCTCTTTTCTCTCAGACGCTCAATCAGTAACTCACCCGACAGGGTAAGCCTAATGTCCCATTCCCTAGATGAGTGCCAAGCCGGATTAGGACCCGATTTTTTCGAAATTTCTCGGGATCGAAGAAAGATGAGCTGATTTTGGATCGATGCTTGGAATACTAAGGATAAGGAGAGAGAATCGATGCCTGGGAAACTAAAGACGGTTGAGGAATCGATGGAATCGGCGGTAATGGATTCTCTCCCGGTGACGCTTGTCGATTCGATACGTTTCTCCGGCGAGCGTTTCCCGGGAAGATGGTACGATAGTAAGATCTTTTTAGTTCTCTCTCTTCGTGGTTTGCATTTCATTAATCGAACAATTGGAGCCCATATGATATCGCTAGGTGTCGAACCTTGGGCTCGCCAAAACCCTTGGCTATTTTTGTTTTTTTTTTATCCAACCTTTATGTATAGTTACAGAAATGCCCTTGTCACCGCCTTTCCCTTCCCTTCGGAAATATTAAAATTATCCAGACAGATTAGAGTGGAATCACGGATCACAGACGAGAGTCCTGAATCTCTGCAATGGAGGCTGCGAAAGAAAGAGTCGGCTTGCTCGAGAAGATCCTCCCACCGGCCTTGGCAGACGCCGGACTCGAAGATTGTGCTCTGCCACCGGAATCTATACAGGAAGCTTTTCGTAAAGCCGCCGACGCCGTGAAATCTCGCGCGGCCTCGCTTTTCGAATACGAGGAAGAAGGCGGTTGTGTAGCGGATCCACGGCCAGCATCGAAGGGAATCGAGACGATTCCGAGACCGGGAGCTTCTGACACGATCATCGTTGGTGGAGAAAATGAAGGGGATACTGGGCCGTGTCTAGTCGTAAAGGGCAATGGGAAGTTGGCTGGATCGGAACAGAGCGGAGATGCGGTGGTGGTAGAAGGAGAAGGAGGAGAAGGGAAGAGCTGCGGTGATGCGTTGGTGGTGGCAGGCGAAGGAGGAGATGGGAAGAGCTGCGGTGATGGTTTGAAGATTCCAGATGTTGAAGGTATTGAGAGGAGCAGGGAGAAGAAGAATGAGAGTGAAGAAGACGAAGAAGAGGAGAAAAAACCGATCTTGGTTGAAGGATTTATCTGAGATTCCTCACATTGTCCAAACCTGTTACTCCCTCGTGTATGTATAAATAAAGCATTTAGAGTTTAGCAGCTATGCCCCTAAAAGTCTGATCTTTGTCTCGACAGGCAATGGTGGCAAAGCTTATGTATCGCCTGTTTTACAATAAGATTTTGGGCAATAAAGAGGCGACTCTTTCTCTCTTTTGATTAATTTTTCCTACTTCTATCCCATGAACCAATGATAACTTGCTAAGCGTCTGAATGCGGTCGATGAAGCTCACTAGCAGTCATGTCTCTTCTCTATTTGTTCTCGCAGAATCAAATCCCAACCTGAAATGTATAGTTTGTTGTTGGTGACTGCTTCTCATCACTTCTCGCTCTGTCAAAAGCATTCACAAAAAACATTTCTTGTTGGTAGCTTCTGTGTTTGGAGCCAGTGCCAGCAGAGAGGTGAAAAGCAGAGATGGAAGCAATATGGAAGATAGGATGTGTGTCTGAAAAAATATACATCTCTTATTGTCCACCATGCCATGCTTTCTTGGTCTTCACATAACATGCCACGCCCACTTACCTATCTTCGCATGGACAGAATTGAGACCGCCTTAAGATCATCCCAAAGTGAACAAAAATGGTACCTGCATCGCCAAATGAATCAGAATGACAGCAGATCATTGGTAGCATGGAGCTCCGGAAGAGAGAGCTGAGACCATTGTGCTCATATCAGACCCATCACCACACCAACACCAATTCAGCTTAGAGAATGAGAGTTATGAGTGTGGTGCTTTTGTTTCAGTCTCACTTTCTTCTATTGTAGAATACTAGAATGTGTTTTGCTTTGTATATACAGTTTCATTGCTGTTGTGTATGTTCCTTCTTGCATCAGCTGTATGTGATGGTTCCTCTCATGCTTTGGTTTGGTGTCATTTTTTTCCATTTGTTGGTCCAAGGGATGTTTTTCTCTTAGTTAAGAAGTTTAATGCAATTACAAGGTCCATGTTTATTATATACACATATTTGAAGGGCCCATTTTTATATTTCACTTAAGCCATACTCGCGCGAAGGTCGTCTTACAATACACGTTGCACGCTCCTACACGCGCCTTCTCGATCTCACGTCCTCATCCGGCTATTCACCCGCCGGAGATCCACCTTGGCGTCTTCTCGAAACGGTTCTGGCTAGTAATCGTTGATCGGCGCTCCCTATTGCTGGAGGACGATAGTGTGCTTACGTTTGACAGTATTGCTCGGAGATTCGCCGGGAATAAACAGAGAAATTTCACAAGCGAACGGTTTAATTTTATATCTTGAGCTTGATATCTGGGCGTACTAAGCGGTTTCTGGAATCTCTATCGCTTCCTTTCCACCCAGGTTCTCCCTTCATGATTTAATTTAAGTTCTATTCGTTTCGAGGCCTCTTAGTAGTTTTTGCCTGTTTGTCCACAAAGTGTTCGACGAAATGCTGAAAAGTCATAAAAATTATCGATATCTCGAAATTTTCAGCGCAATGGAGAAAAAAGACGAGGACTTGAAGAAGGCTCAGATGCTGGACGCTCGAGCCAGAAACATCAGCCACAATGTCCGTTGCACTGAGTGTGGGAGTCAGTCCATTGAAGACTCGCAAGCAGATGTCGCTATTCTCCTTAGACAGGTGAGTGTTTTCACTCAAAAATCCTCCAAAGGATGAGTTAAACACTGATTTGTTGTCTGCTCCTCTGAATACACCTGAGTTTTGCAGCTGATCCGAGATGAGATAGGAGCTGGAAAAACTGACAAAGAGATCTACAGTAAGCTGGAGGATGAGTTTGGGGAGACGGTGCTTTATGCCCCGAAATTTGATTTGCAGACCGCGGCATTGTGGCTAACTCCGGTTAGTTTATTAAGCGTTCGATAAAAACTGAAACCTCCAATGCGGATTTTAGTTCTAATGGAAGTATGGTGTTTTGTGTGACAGGTTATAGTTGGTGGAGGTGCTGCTGCTGTGTTGGCTTACACGAAGCACAGGCAAAGGACAAATGTACACATCATGGCGCTGAACCTTATTAGAGGTGTTTCGTTGACTCCAAAAGAGAGAGTAACCATTCTCGAAGTTCTTATTCCACCTCCACCTCCTCCTCGGGGAGTGGCTTCCCGGTTGAGGAAATGGCTAAACCGGTAGTTCCCATGTCTCCTTAGCTCTGTTGTTCTTGAGTCGGAAGATATTATGGTCATAGCCGAATAAACAATATGTGGAAGGAGTGAGTACCACATTGGTTGTCTAGGAGAAACAGATCGGGGACTGTTTTGCGTCCTTGACAAGCAATTTTGTTGCCTGTGAAGTTGAAAACGGTTTTGTGGTGTATCATTGGATGAGATTTGAAGAAAGCATAATAAATTGAAAAAGTGTGATACTTGTTTTAAATCTTTGATGTGCAATAGAAAACGCAGAGTGGGTCGTTCTTATATTGCTATCGGCACATAGCCATGTCTCTCTCTTTACATCGAGCTTTCTTTTTAACATCTTCTCTATCTTACTAACCCGAAGCCCACAAAACGTTTTAGCCTATTCATTATACAAGATCTTCGATTCAGGAACAATGAGTAAACGGGAAGAAAACTAGTCTTAAGAAAAACACAATTATGTCTTCAAAGTTTTTCAGTAAATTTGACCAAGTACGTCCAATTTCAAAGTTTGTGTGTACGTAAATCACAAAATAATCCCGTTGATGTATTTTTTTTTCTCAAGTTTGGAATAAAAGAGACCTTGGCTCTCCAACGAAAATGAAATCAAAATGAGGCTTTAAACATACAGAAATAGAGGCCCTCTGATCACATGTCACAAAGGGGCTTAAACTGCTTACACATTTGGGTTTTGTTACATAGTATCATCGCTGCACTTTATTCCACATAATCGACAGCAAAAACTTAACAGTGGCAGGACCTTGGACAACCCCTTAGCCTTAGGTCAGTACCGTCAGTTATATATTATCTAGTCATAGTGTACTGAGTATCAGTGGGTCTGGTTCTAAAGATTACTTAGAGACCAAACAGATTCACTCATCAGGGCGACGGCAAATTCTTTCTAGTCCCAGCGGTTCCTGTCCATATATTTAGACGCAACTCTTGAATACTTCCCACACCACCCAACATAAAGACAGAGGTCAAGCTTTTTAGTTTTACCTCTGTATTGTCATGGTCGTATCGAACAAGAAACACGCAGTTACATCTCCTGTGGTCATGAATCCCTCTCTTGATATTCACAACATAAGCATCACAGTACAGTGCTTGATCCTCCGTTTCCTGCTCATCAACCACCCCAAGTTTCCATTCTTAAATTTTTACATTTGCTCAATCCTTCATAATTTGATAAAAAGCCAGCCTTACCTGGAAACATAGAAGCAGGTCTCCAACATTCACTTTCCCACACTCTGATGGTTCTACAGGAATAGACCGCTCACGCACTGATGTCCTGACGTTCACCCACTCATCGTGTTGATTATCAAACCCAGAAAATCGTACACGCACTTCCTGTTGCAGACACTCTCAGTTGCAAACAGATCAGCCATTGAACAAAAGAGAAGAGCCTTACCAGTTCACCAGTGCGAAGAACTCTATAAGTTCGGAACGAAGACACGTCATACCTGAAAGACCAGAGTTCTAGCAAAATAAGCACAGATGTAAAATACAGAGGTATATTACATGTTTTAAAGTTCAGGCTGAACATATACTTAGGTAGGGTCCTTGTTTGTTAATATTAACAATCAACAGAGAATATACACTCCATGTTTTTTACTTTGGCCAGTTAAACAAAGTCTTGTTTATTCAAGAGTTGAAGCAAATATGGAAACATGATATTCAATGAAAGGAAGCGAGCTTACCACGCGTCATCCCTTGCTGATTTAGCCTCAAACGCGAGATCAGATACATCAGAGGCCTTACCTGTGTATCAAAATGTAAAGAAACTAAGAGAGGATAGGGATTAATTAAAAGAATCTAAAAGAGCACACAAGGCAAAAGAAAACCAGCCTTTGCGTCTTTGACCACATGTAGCATTTACGGCAAAACTGGGATTTGATAAGTCAACAATCTGCAAAGGGGGAGATGGCACAGCCTTGAATTTAACTTGATTTTTCTGCTTCAGCTTCCCTTGAAACCAACTCTGTACCTAAAAAGGTCGAATTAAAGAAGAAGTTACTTCTGGTTCCTACTTGAGTTTATCAATAATAGTATGAAGAAAAAGAGACGCACTTGTTTCCAGGTGATTGATGATTTTCCACTCCGATTCACAGAGCAACTTTGATTCCCCGAAAGAAAACAATGGAACAAACAAACAGAAAGAGTTTAGATATCCAGCATGAAAAAAATCAAAACAGATATACAAACAAAAATCTAATCATATAAAGCCTCTTATGATTCAGAAAATTCCAGAAAGTGATTGTAGCACCACGGGCTTGCATCTCTATTATCTGGATAAAACCTCCTAAAACTCAGAATAAAAAGTACCTAAAAGTGGAGGCAACAGTTTGACAGAAATCCTTATGGAGAGATTGATCACCGAGCTCCTTGTACAGATTCTCCATGTCTACAATCTTCGCAGAAGAAGCGCAATAAGGTTACATCGCATGAATCTCTCATCTAAGAAACGAAGGAAATAAAAGTAACGAAACCTCGGCCAAGGTAAAATCGATGAAATAGTGAGAGGAATCATCGGGAGCATCCATTATCGAGGGATGAAGAAGAAGAACAACAAGTCGATGTGCTAATTTCTTCAGATGCTTTGAGACTTGGGAGTGTGTGTGTTCACAGTGTGCCTTAATTGATTTCACCAACAATGCGGTGAGATGGGCCTGAAATGAATGTATGTTCTAATCTTCTATATGGGCTTACTCATTTCTATATAGGCCCAACACGATGATAAAACTATTAGGAATTTAGGAGTAATATGTAATTTTCTTTGCAAAAGATATTGTTGAAATTTGACCGAGAAAAACAAACATTGTTGAAAAACGTTGTGGTAGGTTTGTTTTACCTAATTGGTGACGAAGTAACGAAGTTGGAATGGTGTTGCAAAGTTTCAACGCAACGAAGAAAAATGGTGAGGGAACACTTGCTAGTTCCTACCTCGGGGAATCTTCCGAGTCATGGGCAGGTGGTGGAGTTTAGTATATTATTAAATCAGGATTAGATTACTGATATGATTGAATCAAATATTCATATATTTTATTTTATTTTAACCACAGCTAATCCTCACTTCAGACTCCTCCCTTTTTCATTGTTTTTTTTGTCGTCAATCGAGGCCCTTAATTTTCTCCCATACGATATTATTTTAAAAATTATAAACCTATAAAAAAAATTGAAACAAAATCGTTAGTAGTATATAGTACACGTGCTTTAAACATTTAAAACGAAATAAATCCCTTTCACATAGTTGAAAATTGGCAAAGGGCCTGACCGATTTGACCGAGTCAAATAGCTGTCATTCTGAGTTACAAGATCAATAACGATATTTTAGACTAACCACGCACGGAGTAGATAAAAAGTAGCATTCAAAAAACGGGGTCAAAATGTTTGAATTCCCTAAGGGTTAATTAGACATAGTTTAAACCAGATAATTAAGCTTAGTAGACTAGTTATCTGTACATAATTATTCCAGCTGATCTCTGTATTTGTTCTCCACTGTAAATTGTAATTAGTAGTAATTACTAACGAATCTCATATTGTCATTACATTACGACTGTCATGTCCCTCCATACCTTTCTATAATCCATTTATCTTATAAATCATAAAATAAGCCCACATTTATCTGTTGTTTACGAGAGAAGATGAGGAAAATTAAACAAATAAAGCCAGAAAGAAACAACCTGGCTTAACCATGTTACATCATTTGGCATCATACTATTACAAACGTATTAAATCGAATATTCAAGTGGTGTATGATTGATGATTAAGCAAAGCAGCCTTCATTTCCCACATGGATTATTCTGTTAAAAGAGGCTCCATTATTGCTTGTAAAATAATCATAAATTTTAAAAGGTTCAAACAAGTGGAGATATATCTTTTGATTTGTTTTTGACTTTTTTTTTTTGTTGAAAAAGTAACAGAGTGGACCGGAAGGAGCTCGTAAAAAGTCGTTGTCCCTATTTATCCTCGTCTCTTCACCAATTTTTCTTACCCTCTCCCTCACAGGTTTTGCCGCACAGGCGAACACACTAACTTATTACCATCTGTTTCAAACGTGGTTCCTCAGACTATATAGTCTGAAAGAAAGAAAGGAAGAAACATCAGCTTATTAAAAAAATCAAGAACAGAGAGATTCATTCATCGGATCCTAAAGATGGATTACGATCCAGCTCAAGCTATGAGCAGAGGAGGGAGTATGCGGAGAAGCATAAGCCGTAGTGTGAGCAAAGCCAGCAGAAACCTCGAGGACATATTCTCACCAAGCTCTAGACGAACCAAGTCCGTCAACGAAGACGAAGAAGCTCTCAAATGGGCTGCCATCGAGAAACTCCCTACCTACAGCCGTCTCCGTACCAGTCTCATGCCCGCCCTTGGGGAAGACGACGTCTACGGTAACCAAATCCTCAACAAGGAGGTCGACGTCACCAAGCTCGACGGCGATGATCGCCAGAAGTTCATCGACATGGTCTTCAAGGTCGCAGAGCAGGACAACGAACGGATCTTGACCAAGCTCAGGAACAGGATCAACAGAGTCGGGATCCAACTTCCGACTGTGGAAGTCAGGTACGACCACTTGACCGTGAAAGCCGACTGTTACACCGGCGACAGATCTCTTCCTTCGCTTATAAACTCGGTGAGGAACATGGGAGAATCTATTCTAGGCATGATCGGAATACAGCTCGCCAAGAAAGCGCAGCTTACTATTCTCAAAGATGTCTCTGGGATCGTGAAACCTTCGAGGATGACGCTCTTGTTGGGTCCTCCCTCTTCAGGGAAGACAACGCTTTTGTTGGCTCTTGCCGGCAAACTCGACAAGTCTCTTGACATCTCTGGAGAAGTAACTTACAATGGTTACCGTCTCAACGAGTTTGTTCCCATCAAGACCTCTGCTTACATTAGCCAAAACGATCTTCATGTTGGTATCATGACCGTAAAGGAGACTCTTGATTTCTCTGCTCGGTGTCAGGGCATTGGTACCCGTTATGGTATAATCTCTCACAATTAAACATTCTTTTTTTTTTCAGATATATATTTTATATTTGGCCAATGAATAAATCTCATTTTGTAACCGATGGTAGATCTTCTAAATGAGCTGGCAAGGAGAGAAAAAGACGCTGGGATTTTTCCAGAAGCAGATGTTGATTTGTTCATGAAGGCCTCTGCTGCTCAAGGCGTCAAGAGTAGTCTCATCACTGACTACACTCTCAAAGTCAGCTCCTTTCAACCTTAAATCCCTCTTTTAATCATTTATGATTGTTCAGCTTAGCAGATATATCCTCTACTAGACCGGTTATGTTATATTGAATACTTATGAGGTTTCTTGTGGACAACGTTTGATGAAACAGATTCTAGGGCTTGACATTTGCAAGGACACAATAGTTGGAGATGATATGATGAGAGGAATTTCAGGAGGTCAGAAGAAGCGTGTGACAACCGGCGAGATGATCGTCGGGCCAACGAAGACTTTGTTCATGGATGAGATATCCACCGGACTTGACAGCTCCACGACTTTCCAAATCGTGAAATGTCTGCAACAGATCGTTCACCTCACAGAAGCCACCGTTCTCATATCTCTTCTTCAGCCTGCTCCTGAGACGTTTGATCTATTCGACGATATAATCCTATTGTCGGAGGGACAGATTGTGTACCAGGGACCTAGAGACCACATTCTCGAGTTCTTTGAGAGCTTTGGTTTCAAGTGCCCTGAAAGAAAAGGAACAGCTGATTTCTTGCAAGAGGTAAAATATACATTTCTCTAGCTAGCTTCTTGGTATTCATATTTCATATTTGGATCCGGGAAAATGACATTTTTTACGTGTGGAACAGGTTACCTCTAAGAAAGATCAAGAGCAGTATTGGGTGGATGAAAACAGACCTTACAGATACATTCCAGTGCCAGAATTCGCCAGCAAATTCAAGACATTCCATGTTGGAAACCAGCTTTCCAACGAGCTATCGGTGACGTTCGAAAAATCCAAAGGACACAAAGCAGCTCTAGTCTTTGAAAAGTACACAACGAAGAAAACAGAGCTTCTCAAAAGCTGCTGGGACAAAGAGTGGATGCTCATGAAGCGAAACTCCTTCTTCTACGTCTTCAAGACAGTCCAGATCATCATCCTCGCGGCAATCACCTCTACAGTTTTCCTCAGGACAGAAATGAACACAAGGAACGAGAGCGACGCGAACATGTACGTGGGCGCACTGCTGTTCGGAATGATCGTCAACATGTTTAACGGTCTTGCCGAGATGGCGATGACGATCCAGAGACTTCCCGTGTTCTACAAGCAAAGGGATCTTCTGTTTCACCCACCTTGGACTTACACGCTTCCCACGTTCTTGCTAGGGATCCCAATCTCCATCTTTGAGACTACGGCTTGGGTAGGAGTGACGTACTACTCCATAGGATTCGCGCCCGATGCAGAACGGTTCTTCAAACAGTTCTTAATCGTGTTTCTGATCCAACAAATGGCTGCTGGGATATTCAGGCTCATTGCATCTATCTGTAGAACCATGACCATAGCTAACACAGGTGGTATGCTCGTCCTACTAGTCGTCTTCTTGACTGGAGGTTTCCTTCTTCCTCGAAGTGAGATCCCTGTTTGGTGGAGGTGGGCTTTTTGGGCATCCCCTCTTTCATACGCTTTCAGTGCCATCAGCGTCAACGAAATGTTTGCTCCTAGATGGATGAATAAAATGGTAATTCTTCTTAATTTTTTTTTGTTTAAAATTATAACAAGTACAATTACAAAGCCTCACATTTTTTTTTATTTTCTTTGTGTGGTGAAAAAATTGCAGTCTTCTGACCGCACTACGAGGTTAGGAACAACAGTGCTTAAGATGTGGGATGTGTTTCATGATGAGAACTGGTACTGGATTGGAATTGGAGGCTTGCTTGGTTTTACTATCATCTTCAACTGTCTTTTTACACTAGCACTTACTTATCTAGACCGTAAGTTTTCTTTTGTATTCAATCTCTTTTTGCTGTTACCAAATCAAAAAAAGTGTATATTAACATGTCATCTATGCATCATGAAAAAACAACAGCCCTTGGGAAGCCACAAGCTCTAATCCCAAAAGAAGAAGACGAAGAGGCTGAACAAAAAAAGAAACATGTTTCTACTGCTAATGGATCCAGTAAGCATTCCTCTGTTTATACACGAATTTATTATGAAACCAACAAGAAAGTTAATAATATTAACTCTTTATCTCACTAATATTTGAAAACAGGGGATATTCCAATGGCGAATATGAGCACCAAGAAAGGAATGGTTCTTCCTTTCACTCCCCTAGCTCTATCCTTTGACGACGTTAAATACTATGTTGACATGCCTGCGGTAATCTTTTGAAAATTAGTTGACTTTTATTACTATTATAAACAAAATACAAAAACTCATACAAAACCTTGATGATGCAGGAAATGAGGGACCAAGGAGTTCAAGAAACCAGGCTACAACTACTAAAAGGAGTGACAAGCACGTTCAGGCCAGGAGTGTTGACGGCGTTGATGGGAGTGAGCGGCGCCGGAAAGACAACTTTGATGGACGTTTTGGCCGGAAGAAAAACAGGAGGATACATAGAAGGAGACATAAGAGTGTCTGGATTCCCAAAGAAACAAGAGACATTCGCTAGAATCTCTGGTTACTGTGAACAAACAGACATCCATTCTCCACAAGTTACCGTAAGGGAATCACTTATTTTCTCTGCTTTCCTTCGCCTTGCTAAGGAAGTAAGCAAAGAGGAGAAGATGATGTTTGTGGATCAAGTGATGGAACTAGTGGAGTTGGTCAACTTGAGTGACGCAATCGTGGGTTTACCGGGAGTCACGGGTCTTTCCACGGAACAGAGAAAGAGACTAACCATCGCTGTGGAGCTTGTAGCTAACCCTTCAATCATCTTCATGGACGAGCCAACTTCAGGGTTGGATGCTAGAGCAGCGGCCATTGTGATGAGGGCTGTGAGAAACACAGTGGACACAGGGAGAACTGTGGTGTGCACCATCCACCAACCGAGCATTGATATCTTCGAGGCCTTTGACGAATTACTACTAATGAAGAGAGGAGGACAAGTGATATACTCTGGTCCCTTAGGCCGAAACTCTCACAAGATTGTTGAGTACTTTGAAGCCATTCCCGGAGTGCCCAAGATTCCGGAAAAGTACAACCCGGCCACTTGGATGCTGGAAGCTAGCTCCTTAGCCGCCGAGTTGAAGCTTAATGTTGACTTTGCTGAGCTATACAAGTCTTCTTCCTTATGCCAGTGAGTTAACACACACAACAAAATGTTTACATTTGTTAATAATGATGTGATACATCCAACTTTTAACTAACATATGAATGGTTGACACAGGCGAAACAAGGCGCTGGTACAAGAACTGAGCGTGCCTCCGCAAGGAGCATCTGATCTCTACTTTGCGACGCAGTTTTCACAGAACACGTGGGGACAATACAAATCATGTCTGTGGAAGCAGTGGTGGACTTACTGGAGATCTCCTGACTATAACGTTGTCCGGTTCATCTTCACCTTGGCAACAGCTCTTATGATCGGTTCTATCTTCTGGCAAATCGGAGGTAAGAGATCAAACGTACAAGACCTGACGATGGTGCTCGGAGCAATCTACGCAGCGGTTATATTCGTGGGAGTAAACAACTGCTCGACGGTACAACCAATGGTGGCAGTGGAAAGGACGGTGTTCTACAGGGAGAAAGCAGCTGGGATGTACTCAGCTATACCTTACGCTATCTCACAGGTGACTTGTGAGATACCTTACGTCTTGATTCAGACCACATACTATTCGCTTATCGTCTACGCTATGATCGGGTTCGAGTGGAAAGCTTCCAAGTTCTTGTGGTTCCTCTTCATCAACTACTTCTCCTTCCTCTACTGGACCTACTACGGCATGATGACCGTCTCCCTCACGCCTAACCAGCAAGTTGCTTCCATCTTTGCATCAGCCTTCTATGGTATCTTCAACCTCTTCTCTGGCTTCTTCATCCCTAGACCTAAAATCCCCAAGTGGTGGATCTGGTACTATTGGATCTGCCCAGTCGCTTGGACCATATACGGCTTGATCACTTCTCAGTACGGTGACGTGGACACTCCCATTGCTCTCCTTGGTGGTCCTCCTGGCCTCACTGTTAAACAATACTTAAAAGACCAATATGGTTTTGAATCAAGCTTCATGGGACCTGTTGCTGCAGTCCTCGTTGCCTTCCCTGTCTTCTTTGCCTTCATCTTCGCCTTTTGCATCAGGACTCTCAACTTCCAGACTAGATAAAACCTCTCCTCTCTGTTTTTTTTTTTTTGTCTTGTGGAAAACATTTGTTGCAGTATAATAACTCTTTCTTCCTTCTTTTGTCATTGCTTAAATGTCATATATGTATTGAAACATGCAGTAATAAGTATGTATATGTACACACGATTCATTAGAAAACCGGGTTTCTAGGATGAGAAAAGCCAACCATACTTAAGATTCAACAAAATTAGAAACTCGATGCAAAATATAAGGGAGTAGTTGTGTTATGGAAACATAAACAGTTCTTGAAGATCAAGTGGTCAATTCTTCCACTTCATCTGTTAATGAGTTTTTTCTATCTTAAAAAGGCAATTATATTTCTCTAATGCCATTTTTTAACTGAAGCTATTGTAAGTGGACTGGACCCTGACCGCTATAAGGCTTAAAAGGACGGTGCTACGGTACTGAAGAGGAAGCGTTTTTTAAAGCCCATATAAAGATTTTCGTCTCATCTAGGTTTCGGGCGAATTTCTTAGCAGCGGCGACGATGGGAGACACCGCCTTGGAGAAGACCGCGGATGTGCTAAGGCATGAGATCGATGAGCTTCACCGTCAGCAGCGCGAGGTACTATCTCCCACCTCAGTCTCATTCTCAGTTTGACTCTCCGTTTTCCAAATCTCTTTTTTTTTTTTACGGCGACGGTTTATCATGTATCGTAATCAGATTACGGAGAGGCTTCGCGACCCTCGTGGACTCCGCCGAGGAGGCCTCTCAGGCCCAGCTCCTCGCAACCAACCCCGTAGAGGCTTTCTTCGACCTGTAATCAATCATTCCTTCGCCTTTCCTCTCTTTCTCTACTTTGAGCTGAGAACCAATTGCGTTCGTTACTTGACCATCGGATTTTGTGTTTTTGAAGGCGGATAGGAATGACGTAGAAGATGAGCCTCCTGCTAAACGGAGATTGTCTTCCACCGTTGTTAAGGTATCTCAAGACTCTAATACATTCTCATTAATAGATCGTAAGAAAGTAGTTTTTTCTGTTCTTCTTCTTCTTATTTATTGGGTAAAATTAGGTCGAAGGTGAAGCTGCTAGTAAGGTTGAAGAAGTGCCAGTTGATGATGGCAATGAAACCCATGTTTCAACTGGTGAAAATGGGACCTCTGATCGAAGTGACAAGAAGCTATATGGTCAGCATCGTGGAAACTGGTCCCGTAGGGATGCCGAACAAAGAGGGACCAAGAAGGTAATCAAATCCCACACACTCTTTTTTTACAAAGAGCGACTCTTTCTCGACTCCTTTTAAAAGTGGGAGATTTCATTCTTCGTCGCTATACTCTTATCAGGGTTATGAGGCTTTTGCATTGCCGGAGCCTGCACCAAGGGAATTACCTAAGAATGAGGATCCTAATCTGGTTAATAGGAACAGAAGAATGCTGGGGAATCTTCTAGGGACTTTGGAGGTATTTTGTTAACAATTACATGGACGTAGCTTTCTTGCTCTTGTTCTCTAGTCTCTCATGGATTAGCTTCATTCATGTCAGATGAATCCCTTTATTGATTGTATTCTCACTTGTCTACATACTTGTCCCTTCTGCAGAGGTTCAAAAAAGAGGATAAGCAGCTTTCTGGTACAGATGCATTCGCCCGACGGTCCGCTGCTCTTCAAAGGGTAAGCACACACACACTTCATATTCACATGGCTTGTCTTAAGTACTTTAAAACATGATATTAGTTATTTCACGATGCTATATTACTGTTTTTTTAGAGAGACGTCACTTTGTTGTACTTAGATTTGATAATCTTCATCTTCTATCCTGGACAGCATCTTCATCCAGTTTCTTTTGACTTGATTAGCGCTGCATAAATCTATCTAGATATGATTTTGTATTTTTGGAATTGGGTCCTCCTGCCCAATAATAATATTGCTAAGATAGGTGTAGGTGCCATTACATGTCAAGCTACGAGTGCGCTTGTTTTCTTAATTTCGTTTACTACAATGCAATAACAATGTTTGTATGCCGTATGCTTCCTACTCGTATAGGCTGAGCAAAAGGCTCGTGAAGAAAGTGAACAACTGAGGCTGCAGGAGCGTGAAAATCTGACTGAAAAGAGGAGAAGAGATCTTGTAAGCTGCTATATTCTGTTTTATATACTATTCCAAAGGTTAGTCTTTTGTAGTGGTGATCTGATATACACAACTTTACTGGCAAAACAGACTCTTCGAGCTCGTGTTGCTGCTAAGGCAGAACAAAAGAAGTTGGAACTGCTATTCCTTCAGTGGAGTGAGCACCAGAAAAAACTTAGCAATTATATAAGGTAATGTTGAGCTACTGTTTTCATTTCCGTAGTGTACCCTTACTTCCTCTGCATGTTGCGCGAGTCTTAATGATGAGTTTGCTATGTATTTGATTTGCAGGTTATTTTTAATTTCGGTCCAAAAACGTGTGTATATTCACAATTTTATAGAGACAAAGATAAGTTTCCATTCAAGTGCATACAAATGTTGATGGGCAAGTCAATGTTTTGGTGGTATATGGCCTGCCATAGGTAGAAATTGCTAGCTGATATATAGGAATGTGTTTTAAAACTTATTCTATTTGATTTCATGTGGATGGGTGTTCCAGGACTAAAGCAGAGCCACGGATATACTATGCACTAGCGAAGCCTTTGGACGAAGATACAACTGAGGCGGAGCAACGCAAAGAGAAGGTAAGGTGTAGTTTGTGAATGAATGAAGGTAAAGGCATATGCATTGTGATATTGATATGTGATTGGTGAGGTGTGCGCGCAGACATTCTTAGAATGGAAAGCAGCAAGGAGACAAGAAGTGAGCGAGTATCAAAAGGAGATAGAAGAGCAATATCTTGGGAATGTTGAGAAAGAGCTGGAGAGGTGGCAAAACGCAAGGAAGGCGAGGAAAGCGAACAACAACGAGGCTATGAATTTGCAGGAAACGATGGATAAGGAATTAGAGACGCACAGGATGGAGAATGGGCCAAAGAAAAGGAAGATACCTGGAGGAGGAGGAGATGAAGAGGAAGAAGAAGAAGAAGTAGAGGATATCAATGGTGGTGAGGATGAAATGATAATGGATGAAATATTGGGCGAGGGAGGAGATGGAAACAGCAAGGAAGTGGCAACTGATGCAGCAGTAGCAGTGGAGGGCGACAGTAAACATGAGGTTGTCGAGTCTTAGTGTGTTTGTTCTTGATGCTTGTATTGTAGTGCACCTTATGAATGTGCTGGAGTTTGCGAGTTCGAAAACTGAGAAAATCTTTTCTGGAGTATGATATTTTGTAGGAAGGATTTGCCTTTGTGCTATAATTTAATTTACATATCAACTAGTGTGGCCTCGCTACCTTTCATGCATAAAATAGATAATAGGCCAGTATATCTATAATCAAATCTTAAGCTGAAGCTTCTCTCGTCGGCGACACTGGATTCAATGGCAAAGGCATGAGCAGTGGTACTGTATTTCAAATTTCGTACAAGTTGAATGAGTGAAATTCGGTTTAAACAAAACCAGGAATCGAAATTTGAATCTTTACAAGAAATTGCGCAGATATATTTGTATTTGAAATTTCAATCAAAACGAGAAGGACTCAAAGGTCATTTACAAGAAATCGTAGGACTCTTGGGTCTTTTACAAGACAATCGTCTACAGTCAAAATCCCCCGATTACGACACGTGTCCATCAAAAGTGGTTACTCTTCATATCTAACGGACCTCCTTCATCCTCTACGATCATCTCATCTCTCCATGGCGATGGTGAAACTTCTTCAACTCTCGGCGTCTCTGCTGGTGTACGACCCGAAAAGGCGAAGTAAGGCTCTGGTGCCGGAGAAAATCGTGAATCTACAATCCACGGTGACTCTGCCGGCGGATCCACCACAGGAGGCAAAGCAACGAAAAGTTCGGGAGACGCAAGGGCCGTGAGTGGAAGGATATCGGCGAGACCGTGGACGGCAATATGTTGGCCATAGAACATACCAGGGAGGAGAACGTGTACACCGTCAAGATATATGGAGTCGTTGGAGGAAGAAGGCTTAGTGAGGAGGAGGCGATGAGAGGGAAGGAGCGTCGGGAGAGAGGAGGCGTTGGGGAGGGATTGGAGAGCGGAGAACGGGAGGCGGAGGAGTACGGAGTGGAGGCGGAGGGTAGATACGTAGAAGGAGAGAGAATGAGTCATGTCGAGATCGAAGAGCGTGGAATCGGTGGGGCTGAAGAGTGTAAGGGACTCGACGGAGAGTAAATCGAAGAGCAGATCGGAGGTGATGATGGCGTTGGCGAAGAGAGCTCGGCCTCTGACGCGGAGGACTGTGATGGCTCTTTCCAATTCTTCCAAAGGAACTCCGGCGGAAGGATGAGTAAGGCAGAGGATGAGAACACCGAGAAAGATGGCTCTGAAACAAGCGTACGAGAACGAGATAGTCGCCATTGTTGTGACTTTTGAGGTTGAAGAGAGAGAGAGAAAAAAGATGGAAGAAGCAAGAAAAAAGCGGTTATGGTTTGTTATATAGAGAAGGGAATCTTGGGAGTCTGTTACAGGCGAAGAATAGTATTTGGGATTTTAGTTTCTCCGCGCCTTCTAAATTGCTAGATTTGATTTTCAGCTTATTTTGAGCTTACAAGCTAATTACACACAGTAAAGAGTAACTGATAACATTTTCCTCTTTTCAAAGCTCTATCCTCCGTAAATTACCATCCGATTTCAGTAATAAACAACACTTAGAATGTTAGAATAGTCGAAAACTATGCAGTATTACTACAAAAAGACTCATTATTAACGGTTGCCACGAGTCAAAACGCAACTTACAGCAATCTGACTGCTACTACCACAATGGTAAAACATGTAAATCTTTAAATGCAAACTGCACAGTTCTGACTCGGCAAGTCCTCTTCTGCAGCGCCTTACATTACCATTAGGCCAAAGCCATTCGCTTCCTCGCTTCACTTGCCTAGAGTTCAACTATGCATTATTCACAGTGAAAGGAAACAAGTCATGAAGATGGACGTAAAGCAAAAGGAAAGGAAAGGGACCTGGCTTTCCCAGTTTGTGCAGCCCGTGAAAAGAGCGAGCAAAAGAGTTTGAAGAACAGCACCGGCTTGTATTCCCATCCAAAGGCCAACACCTTTCAGATTAAACCAGAAGGCTAAAGTTGCTGCAATGGGTATCCCCCAGAGATAGAAAGCTCCCAAATTGATGTAAGCCCCTATATGTTGCCATCCGCATCCCCTTGCAATACCTGCAAACCATTTAACGACTTTGAAGATTATATAACTTTGGGATGGCTTGACAACTTTTGACACATGACTTATGAGGCCACTGCAGGAATGTACGTAAATAACAGTGAGTGGAGAAATAGGACCTGAGAGAACCCCTTGTAAACTGTCCAGTATGAGAGAAATAGCGACCAATGGAGCCATCTCTGCAACATAGTCTACGGTTTCCTTGTCACTGCTGAAAACATGGCCGAAATAATTCCTGCCGACTAACAGAGCCGTACTCATTATCAATGCATCCATTGACGCAAGGAACATTGCCGCGTACACCACGATATTTGCTGCACGAGAGTTTCCAGCACCTAACTCATTTGAGATTCTTGTGCTGCACAAGAATACATCCGCTTATGAGCGTGAAACCATATGGTTTATCTGCTTTATATGCTGCATAGTTGATGAGTCTAGCTCTAACCTTGCTGCAGCCGCGATGGCAAGTGGTGTTGAGTATATTACCGAAATAGTTTGGAGACTGCACACAGTTTGAATAATATATTACGTTTGGAAAATTCAAGACTATGACAAGAAATTGAAAATCTATGTTGCAAAGGTGGAGTACCAGACAGAGAGCACAGAAGTCTCCAGTTGTGGGTTGGGTAAGAGACCAGAGAGTAATATTATGAGTTCGTATGACCACCACTCGAGGCTGCAAACCATAAAAGAGTTTTAACACACACACACACACACACAAAACAGAAGAATGTGGAGGCATTGAGAAGTTGAAGTGAAGTACCAAACCATAGCAGCAGATGGAAGAGCGTATTTGAAGAACTCTCCAACGCCGTTGAAAATCTCCATGGAGAGGGGCGCACGAGTCTCAGAACAGGCGGAGGAGAAGTACATGATAGATCCAAGAAGAATGGCGTAGAGCCAGTTTGACAAACCGAGAGCCAACGCTCCTCCAAGAAAGCCAAGCCCTGACTTGTAAACCAAGAGCCAGCAGAGTGGAACGTGGAGACAGAACACAAAGCAAGAGGTAATGAGGAGAGGTCTGATCAAGCTCTGGTTTTGGAAGTAGCGAGTGAGCGGCTGCAGAAAAGCGTAAGAGAACAGCCCAGGGATGAGGCAGGCAGCATATCTGCCGGCTTCGTGAGCAATAGAGCGGTCTTGACCAAGGAGCAGAAGAAGCTTTTCCATGTTGAACCATATGATAGAGAGAGGGATACACACTAATAAAAGACAGAACATAGCTGTGTAGGTCTGAACAGCTAGTTTCCGGTATAGCTTTGCTCCATAAGCTTGACCGCACAGAGTATCTAAGGCACATGACAATCCTATCTGGCATCACAGGCAAAACCAAGACAAAAAAAGTAACAATCAAGTATTTCCATGGTTCCTGGTTACTAGTAACAGAGATAAATGTAGCAAGTAAGGGGGAAGAAGGAAAGGGAAAACATACGATGAAGCTGAAGCCAGTGACGTTGCAGAAGGAGGATGCGAGAGCGGCGCTAGCTAGAGAGAGGTTTCCAAGGTGACCCACCATCACCATTGAGATGATCTGCAACATGAACTGAGCGATAACTACAGCCGCCATAGGAGCGGCGAAGCAGATAAGCCGCTTGAGTTCTTCGGTGAGCGATCCGTCTCGCAGATCTCTCCATGTCACTCTCTCAACTTTGTTTACCGGCAGCAGTAATCTATCGTCGATGCTGCTCTCTGTGTCTCCCATGGCGAACAGCAACAATCTTGCCGGAGAGAGAGAAAGAGAGATATGAGTTTGGGTAATTTATGGTGAACGAGTCAAACAAAGCGGTGGATGAGATGTTGCCACTATTTTGCATGTCTCCTGTTCAACAAGTTTCCCAAATACAATAAAGAAATAAAAGAAATATTTGGGGCTTAGATCCCAACTACTTTTTCGCATTAATATGCGCATAACATGTTACCACAATTCTGCATCAGTTGCCTGCATGCCTCCGGACAACTAATCTTCCCTAACTCAATAAAGAAAAACATAATCTTGGGCTTTAGATTAGATATCAACGTTTTATCTTTTCAATATGCTCATTACATGATATCATTTCTTATTACAGTTCTGTATTTTCGATTGTTTGTCGTCGTCGTAGGTATTGATACTGAATCAATTGGCAGTTTTTATCAATTTGTGGGTGGCTTAGGATTTTATTTTTCTTCTTGACATTACTGTTTCTGCGTAAAAAAATGTATTTTTCAATCACTGTAGCTCCATTGATTACGAAAAACGCTTCGTAACAATTCCGTGATTTTTGTGATCTTCTTGGTTATAACCCAACAATCTTTCCAATAAATCAGAAAAAGTTGTGTACAACTTTGGAAATAGATACGAATCTGGTAAATTGTTTTGGAATCTTCCCCAAAAGATAACTAATAAAAAGGTTGATTTCTTCAAAGTTGATTATTGTTTTGAGCTCTTTATTGTGGGGAAACTTTATACTAGTAGTAGTAACTACACAAGTGGCTGGGAAGAAGATAGCAAATGATATCTTGATCGTCCACGTGGCACAACATTCAGATATAGGTGTTTAGGAAAACTCCTCGTGCCACCGAACCCATCGGGCCGCCCTTTCCTGCCGCCGGCTAAATTTGACGGTCAAATAGCCCAAACTCTTCCACCATGTCTACTCTTTCTTTCGCGCCCTCTGTCACCCATGCGCAGTTTAGCCACCCCCTCTCTCCCATGTTTATCCTGCGCCAACTCCCCCTTACCCGCCATCTCCGCTTCTCCCGCAACAGCCGCGTCGCCTCCGTCGTCTCCGCCGCAGCAGTTCGCCAGGACGCCACCCTATGGACTCCAGCCCCTCTCTCTCACGTCGAATCGGCCGCCGAATCGCTTTTCCACATCTCAATCGATATTTCCGACTCCCCCGATCTCGTAGCCTCCTACACGCGCCCCGGTCAGTATCTCCAGCTCCGTGTTCCTGATGTGGAGAAGCCCTCTTTTCTGGCAATCGCTTCGCCTCCTTCCTTCGCTGCTGCTCGTGGTGCTTTCGAATTTTTGGTCAAGAGCATCGCTGGATCTACCGCGGAGATTCTCTGCGGGTTGAAGAAAGGGGAGACCGTGGAGCTTAGCCCAGTGATGGGTAATGGTTTCGACATCGATCAGATTCATCCTCCCGAGGAATATCCCACGGTTTTGATTTTCGCCACTGGATCTGGAATTAGGTGAGGGCTTTCTCCACCTTCTGTCCTACCTTGTTGGATTGCTAAAGTCGAGTCTTTTACTTCAAGTTCGATCGCTCCTCTTCTTAGCTGATATTCAATGATCTAAGTATGATCTAGTTTAAAGGTTTCAATGAAAAGTATTAGCCACATCGAACGTTTTCAAACTCAGGATCTTGAATCCGGTTTAGTTAGTGATATGAATCCTCTCTGATGCTTAGTTCAATGGCTTTTGATGTTTGGGATCCCCTGCTGCTGATACGCTGAAACTATTTTTTCATTTGCATTTGTATGAATTCAACCTATTCAGAAGAGCCATGTCTAGTGATGGTGATAGGGACTAAGTAACAGTCTTCACTGAGAATGTAATCTCTCATGTTCTTATCTGTGCAGTCCCATCCGCTCTTTAATTGAGACAGGATTTGGCGCTGATAGAAGATCTGACGTAAGAGTCTATTATGGGGCTAGGAACCTGAAAAGAATGGCTTATCAGGTTTGGTTCTCTCTCTCAGTTGTTTCGCAATTCATGAAATCACTAAAATAGACATTTGAATTGTAACACTCTTCTGATGATAAGCACAGAGCCTAGCTCTCGCTTTTGGTCTTGGTCTGATCTATAGAAGGATTACAACCTTAGAAAATGCTCTCGATCTTGCAGGAAAAATTCAAGGAATGGGAATCAACGGGTGTCAAAGTCGTACCGGTATTATCACAGCCAGATGACGGGTGGAATGGGGAAACCGGATATGTGCAGGTGAGATTGAGAAACGTGTCACTTGAACAAATCTGTTGTAACTCAAGTTGGGATCAAAACTAAAGTATATATATCATGTGTTGTGTAGGCTGCATTCGCAAGGGCTAAAAAAGTTTCAGATCCTTCGGCCACGGGAGTGGTGCTGTGCGGACAGAGACAAATGGCTGAGGTATGCACTCTTTTGTTGCTGTGAACCCGAAGTGCTAAATTCAGAAGATGTGTGTATATCTTTATCGTTGTTCGACTTTGTGTTTATTGCAGGAGATAACCGCAATGCTTGTAGCTGATGGCGTCTCAAATGACAAGATGCTCAAAAACTTTTGATAGATATCTTTTTGTATTATCGTGACTTGTACTGTGTGTCATCATCATCATTCTTTTGCTACCAAAGTCTATTTAAGGCCCCTCTAATTCTTAAACACAGATTTTTGTAATCACTCGAAGATAATAATACTGTGTTGATTCTCACCACAACATTCATCTTTACCATTCGTACTTATTCCAATGGATTATGTTTAGAAATCAGAAAAACGAGTAGCATACTTATACAGGAATGTATCCCAAAAAAATCACAAACTAAATAGTTATTTCCAATTTTTTCAACAATTTCTGGAGTGGTTTATGTTAGTTCTTAATGGTGGTGAATCTGTGTATATTTACTAGAAAAAAAAAAATTGTTTGTATAAGTTTTCTAAAATATCTAAATTTTCTGATTTGTACAGAATTTTCTTCTTATATCTCTGCTCATTTAACTAAGTCACTCCTATTAAAGTCAGAACTGCTCGCCGTTTCCATACAATAGCGCAGGACTTAGTGCCGTCTCCTTCACGAGATCGATCCTTAGTCAATAAGGATCAAAGAAAAAAAAACCAAAAATCGAAGAAACGAGAAAAATCGGAAGAGCGATCAAAGGGATTTTTTTGATCCGCCATGGCTTCTTCGGCGCTCTCTAATGTGATGCTCGCCATTCACGAGAAAAAGACGAACTCCGTCGATCTCTACCGTCCTCTCCGCAACTACGTTACTTTCACCTACTCTGAGCGCGAGGCTCAGCTTCTAGAAGACGATCTGGAAACCCTGAAGCAATTCCGCTCCGATGTCGAACGCGTCCCCGATCCGTCTCCGTCCGCCCGGCGAGACCTTCTCATCTCATATTACAAAGCCCTTTGCCTTGTGGAGACACGATTTCCAATCTCCCCCGAGAAGCACCACGTCAACGCCGTCTCTTTCCTATGGTACGATGCCTTCAAGCAAAAGCACAAGTCCACTCAGCAGAACATTCATCTAGAGAAAGCCGCCGTACTCTTTAACCTCGGTGCTACCTACAGCCAGATTGGACTCGGTCATGATCGCACCACCGTGGATGGGCGTCGTCAAGCTTCACATGCGTTCATCGCTGCGGCAGGGGCGTTCGCGTACTTGAGGGACAACGAGTCCACTAAGGCAACGATCGGGCAGAGCAGCACCACCGTGGACGTGTCGGTGGAGTGCGTCGGGATGCTGGAAAGGTTGATGTTGGCGCAGGCTCAGGAATGTGTCTTTGAAAATACCATCGCCAAAGGAAGCACTCCTGGTGTTTCTGCCAAAATTTCTAGGCAGGTTAGTGTGCAGATTCCATCTCTTTTGGTATAAACCCTAGCAATTTTGTGCACATTGTGATTTAATAGATTGATTATGAGCATATATGCAACAATCTTACATTAGTTTTTAGTGGAGCTTCCGTTTTATTGAACTTTGAGTATGTGTCAAGGTCACTGAATGATCACTTCTGGTTTGCTTGCAATTAGGTTGGCATATACTACGAGGAAGCTTTGGCTGCGTTAACCGCTCCACCGTTGAAAGATCATTTCGAGAAAGGCTGGATTTCTCATGTGCAGCTGAAAGCAGCACTGTTCTATAGCGAAGCTTGTTATCGGTATGGAATAGAGTTGCACGAGAAAGAGGAAATTGCGGAAGAAATCGCACGGCTGAGGAGCGGAAGCAGCCGTTTGGCAGAAGCAAAGAAGTCTTCAAGGGGAGCTCCTGCTCAGCTTCTAGAAGCGATGAACAAACTGGAAGCGAGCATTAATTGCAATCTGGATAGAGCCGTCAAGGAAAACGACAGAGTGTACCTCATGAGAGTTCCTTCTCCTGCTTCGTTGTCGCCACTTCCCACCTTCTCAATGGTTAAGCCAATGAACATGACTGATATATTGGATGCAAGCAAGGAGAAGATGTTTTCAATCCTTGTTCCAGACAGCAGTGCAAAGGCTCTCTCTAGATATACCGAGATGGTTGATGATGTAATTAGGACTCAGGCGGAGAGACTACAGCAAGCAAGCGAACTAACTCGAGTTAGGCTCAAAGAGATGGATCTTCCAGATTCTATTCTTGCGGTGGATGGAAATTCAAGTCTACCTGTCGATCTTAAAGAGGATGTAGAAGCTGTTCAGATCAGTGGCGGTCCAGCTGGCTTGGAAGCTGAACTCCAGCAACTTAGGGATTTGAAGAGGGTTAATCAGGAACTGTTGTTGCATACCGAAGAGCTTTTGCAGAAAGAAGCAAGTGAAGACGCTCAATTCAGAAGCCAATTTGGGAATCGGTGGACTAGGCCTCAATCTAGCACACTGACAAAGAACTTGCAGGACAGGTTACATCGGTTTGCAGCCAATTTGAAACAAGCTGGAGAAAGTGATGTGAAGATTGAACGATCCGTGAGAGATAATTCTGCCCTCATGTCAATTCTTGATCGACAGCCGGTATGTACTTCCCTATTGTGTTGTATATGCTAGTATATTTCTCTTGTTAAGACTCAAAATGCTGCCGTAAGTTGTCTCTTAGGGGTCTTGATTTCGGCCGGAGTTAAATCTATGGGAACACGTTATTCAAATTACACACTTTCGGTCGGCTTTAGCACCCTCAATTCTAGTATACTAATACTACTTTGTGGTTTCCTGTTTTAATCAACAGATAGAATCTGCTGTCCCAACTCTAGCTAGGCCAATAATGTCACTGGACGCAACAGAGGATGCTATCGTGGGAACTCTGAAGCAGAGTCTGGTATGCCCTATTTCTTTTGGAAGCTGCGAGTATATAGTTTTGGGAGGGTTTTCGATAGTGCTTTCGTGAAGCATTATTCTCACAAATTTCTTTCCTTTTGCACAGAGGCAATTGGAAAATCTTGGTGCTCAGCGGGCAGGTCTTGAAGACATGCTCAAAGACATGAAAAGAAAAGTGAAACTTTTTATTGATTGATCATCATTGTCTTTCTTTATTATTGTATATGATGTTGGAGTCAAAGACTCATTAGGCTTTTACTTGATTCTTGGTTTTAGGATGACATACTGCCAAAGCTGATGACATGCACAGGCTCCTATGAAGATATGTTCAGAAAAGAGATATCAAAGTATGATCACATCTGTGAAGATATTTCCCAAAACATTGAAGTTCAAGAACAATTGTTGATGCAAATTCAGGTCTACCTCTTTTGTCCGTTATATAGTAGCACGTTACTTTTCATTATGGTTTTTGTCCATTCACTGCTAGTAGAAACTGACTACTCTTAATGGGTTTCTTTCCTTGGTTATATAGGCTCAAAATGAAGAGTTCTCAACTATTTTCAATCTTGAAGATTATAAAGGTGAGCAAGCAGCTTCTGTTGCATCAACTCTCTAAATGTTCTAAGAAATCTGATGGATCAAAGTAGTTTGTGTTTAGCATTCAGTATGTTGGTTGATGCGTAATCCATGATATAACTGTCCCTTATTCGTTTTCTGTGTTTCCCTGTTCTCCAGCATCCAGAGAGAAGTGCTACAAGCAGATTCAAGCGGCTATATCCAAGTATCGAGAGATCAAGGAGAACGTCAATGAGGGCTTGAAGTTCTATGTCACTCTCCAAGTTAGTTTCTTTTCTGTATATAGTCGCAAGATATTCACTATCTGAGTTTTTCTACATCATGCCACTTGTCCGGTGTGGCACTTCAATTTTATTAGATACGAAAAAAACTTGCATGCAATCTGATGAGACACTGTCTATGTTGCTTTCAATAGGATGCAATCACGAATGTGAAGCAGCAGTGTAGTGATTTTGTGATGACAAGGAGTATCCAGTGCCGAGAAATGATTGAAGATGTGCAACGACAGATGTCTGGTCTGAGTTTTCAGGATCATAGAAGCTCCGGTCCGTACCCATCTGTGCATCAGCCAACGGCTTCAAGTTCGCCACCTCCGCCTGAAAATCAGAATCCATCTCATCCCCACCCACAAGCACCATACTATAGACCGCCTGAGCAACTGTCAAGGCCTGGCTACTCTGTCCCACCCTACGGTCCGCCTCCTCCATACCACACACCTCACGGCCAGGCGCCACAGCCATATCCTCCCCAGGCTCCCCAACAGTCTTATCCATCGTGGCAACAAGGCTCGTACTATGATCCCCATGGGCAGCAGCCTCGACCTCCTTATACTCCCCAGAACCCGTACCCGCCTCCTAACCAAGGCGGCGGTTACTACAGGCAGTGAGTTGTCCGTTGGAAGCAATAAACTGTGGAGTTATTATTCTTGTTGTTGTGTTTTCCTGTGAGTACTTGATGGATATCAATCTCTTTTACTACATGTTTCTTGTATGAAATCGAAAAATCTTGTTTTAATAGTGACTCAAATTCTGACTCAAATTATTCAAAGTAGAGACGATATGATGGATGAGAGTTGTGTAAAGCACATTATTTATATAAATAAGGGAATCGCTTATTGATTGAAACTGGAGAACATATAATATCAAATGTAACGACGGCGAGTGAGAAGGGTAAAGATCATGATCGATTTGTGTGTTTGAGGATGGAGGATGAAAGAGGAATGTGCAAGTTTGAGGGAGTAGCGATCAAAGAGGTCATCGAGGATTTGGTGGCCAAAGTGTGTGCGGATGAGACCTTCCAGCACCGCTCTGAGGTACAGAACCCTCGACTCGAGGTCAGGCATGGTGCCTTGTGCGTTCATACCCTCGAGTGTCTCCATCATCTCGAGTTTCAACTCTTTGTTGCTTCTGATGATTTCTTCCAGTTCCTTTGGAGTTGTGTAATATATGGGCAGGTTGAAACTGTCTACCTCCTCCTCCTTTATTCTTCCCTGCAGTCAAGTGTCTTTTAGTTAAGTCATTTCAATCTTTGTCATAAGCTCTTCTTTCATAAGGAAACCCACCAAGTACCTCTCTGGCCATGTCCATGAGGCATGAGCCTAACAAATCAAACTCGGATCCTGTTGAAGCCTGAGGTTCCAGAAACCCATCTGGTACACCGGGCACGATCAGTGCCATCAACCCGTCTTCCGCTAGCTCCCGTGACCTTGCAAGCAGAAACGACTTGATATCCTTCTTGTACTGACTGGAGTAGGCTTGCGCAACCTCTGCTGATGCCCCCGTGTAGTGAATCCTGCCTCTGTTATAAGCAGGAGAGGTTGTGTCAATTATCTCGGGGGGCAAGTCGGAGAGCCAGCAGAGGGCGCAAGAGGAGTATGCCAAATTGAGATATGCCTTGGGAAACAAGTTTCCATAGAAAGAGCCGGGGACACCTGCAAGCGCAATGAACCTAATATCAAGTGGAGGAGACACTAATGCCGATTTAAACTAAGTAAAAGTAGTGGACCTGCAACGAAATAGGGAGGTTGAGGAGGGAGCAAAGCAAAGAGTGCATTGAAATCAGTTTGAGAGAGGTCGTTGAAGAAGACTTGAAACTCAGGGGTTTGAGCATTAGGCATAGAAGAGCTGAACTTTTGGTGGAGGGCTTGAATGATGATGTCTACAGCAAGAAGGGTGTTGGGGCCAGAGGAGCATCCAAAGTCAGCGATGGTAAATGAAGACAAGGAATGGTTGGTGAGGTCAAGCCGGTTCTGGATCTCCTTCCTAAGGAGTGCTTCAGCGGCGTCAATGGCTCCCCTCTACGCACACACACACACACACAATCAACGTGTTGGTAGGTAAGCTTAGAGAAAAGGAAGTGGAAGAGTGATGTATATAGAAACCTGATAGGAAGAGTTGCGAGCATAACTTGATGGACCGTCTCCACCGTTCATGGCTGTGTGTTGATATGGTACTAGACTGTTTCCAACCCCTTAATATAAAGGATGACATGGGAGATTAATCATGGTGTTTTTTTCAAAACTTCATTATCTACGCTGTACTTGTAGGGTGTAACTATGTCTATAAGTAAGAGAGAAATGTGATGACATGAAAAGATTAGATGCAGTCTATAAAGCAGCCCCCATGTGCCCATACATCCACATTCCTCCAAACTGTCCTTTACAAGCGCCAAGCGGCTGCTGCTGCGTAATTTTCAGTCGCATTTAACATGTGATTTCATTTAACCAAACTTTTTTGTCTCCCTTGTTTCACCTCAAAAAACGAAGAGATGTGGTGACATGGAAAGATTAGATGCAGTGTATAATGCAGCCGCCACATGGGCCATACATCCCACACACCTCCAAACTGTGCTTTGCAAGCGGCTGCTGCTGCGTAATTTTCAGCCGCATTTTGACATGTGATTGAACCAAACACTTTTGTCTCTTTTCTTTCACCTAAAAAAACGAATAGCAAAAACAAAAAAAAGCTGTAGCAGCCATCACTGAATTTTCAAAGTTTTGCCTGCTCTCTGGTGGTCTTTAATTAATACTAATGGTCATCGTACTGGCCGGCTATTACAAGGGGCCTCAAATCTATCCTTAAATGCTCTTTTTTTTTGTAACAATGTTTTTTGAAACTCAGCCTAATGATGTTGTGCATCTGCATCGTCTCCAAGAATATATAAGTAGACCAACAAAAGGCGCATTCTTGTTATTAGGCATGCAAGTACTTAAGTAGCACAATAACAACGTCTGTAGCAAAAAAAAAATGATAATAACCGCAAATTGCGATAGAAACAAAACCGAGAAGCAGAGCCATTTGGCATTCAGGTTTGCAGTTAAACAAAAGTTCAAGATCCACTGCGTTTTATACATCCCTTCAAACCACATGAAGCAAACTCAAGACAAAGTCTCCGGCTTCACCCCTTTTCATTTTAGTTTCGTAAAAAGCTTTGGTGCAACCTGAATATCCAAAATCCACTTTCAACCTCAGTATCATAATCTAACGTACAAGAAGAAGAAGAAGATGTGAATAGCAAAGCACAATTCAGCTACTTACACATTTGTCAATGCAATGCCAGTAGTCGAAATACTGCCCAGTGCAATGCTTGTGGCCAGAGTCATCACCTTGGATTCTCTTGACACACGCCTAAGAACCACGACAAGAATTGTATCAGTCCACGAACATGGCACTATGTCAAACTTACTACATAATTCATATATCTTAACGACATCATTTGAGTGTCAGTTCACCTGGTATTCGAGTAGTGGCTTCACGCATTTTGGTTTGCAAGATTCCTCAAGGTACTTCTTTGGATCAACAACTTCATCTTCTGCCCTGGAATAATCAAAATAGAAAGAAAAAAGAGCCATCAGATTCATATCATCGTCATCCATCACATAAACATCAAAGGTTAGCATACAAGAATCTGACTTTATGACCAAAACAGGGGAAAAAACAAAAAGATGTTGTTCTGACAAAAGTTCATTCTTACGAGATATATGTCTAATTATTCGATGCAAAACCACAAGCCAGTAGAAAATGGACAGAATCGATTATCTTTTGAAGAGCGGCTACCGAGTAGTGGCCAAAAAAAAACAATCAAGGATTATATTATGCGAAATCATAACCAGCAATCTAACCTTAACATGTGGAAGAAGAAGTGGACATACTAGTAATTTATATGCAGGTAAACTGAATCGAGACCCCTCATAGAACGATCATTAAACACTATAGAGCACAATCTAAAAGGGGAGGTGATGATTCCAATCTAGATATTCAGAGACCTATGAATAGGAAGGACTACAACATGAGATCCATCAACTCAACATGATGTGGAGATTGGTAATAAAAAGAAAAGCTTACATGGCGGAAAGTCAATCGGAAGCTGTAAACTGCAAGACAGAGACGAGAATAATGTCAGAAAATGGAACCGATTGGTTTGTGGGACGATAACATATCAAAACTAATAAGGATGATCTAAGAAATGGTGAAATCGAAAGTGGTAGAGAGAGATCCATTGAATTATAAAAGCAAAAAGGACTGAGGATACCTGATTGAGAGAGGAGGAGATCGAGACCTGAACGAGGAAGGAACCCTACCGATTTGTTTGAGTCAGTCTTCAAAGAGTTCTCTCTAGATTCATTTCATTGCTGTTTTCCACAAGGTCTCTGATAGAATTTGGGCCCAAACAACTTAGGAACATTGAAAGCCCATAGCCCATTAAAGGCTCGGGAAGCTGAAAGATTCCCTCTATATAAATGACATTCTTTTTTAATATTCTTAAGACTTCTGACGACATTTTTTGGCTTTTAAGGAAGTTGAAATAGAATACGATGTTGGAAGAGTGATGAAAGATGGTCAATATTGTCGTCTAGATGCCCAATTACCATTTTGCAAACCTAAGAAAGATAAAAACACATGTGATATGTTGGGCAGCAGGTCACACAATCTAATATTATTATCCACAAAATATCATTTGATTCTTTCTTTTTCATTTTCTTCAACGAAAAAAAACAAAAGAACTAATACATGTTGATTAATGATGATAATACAAAATAATACATGAACCTCAGACAGCCTGCCACACTGTTTGCATCTAAATATACAAAGAGCGTCCATGGATCGATTATGTTTACGTATATGATAAAGCAGAAGACAAGAGCTTTGAATGGTCGCATATTGATGCCATTAACGAGTATTAATTGTAAAAGGTGTGAATAGTAATTGGTAACTGAATCAACATTAACAATATGAATGTCATTAACATGTTTACGATCATTCAAACCAACATGTTTGTCAGATTGAGGTGAGCAGAACAAATATGAAAGCAATTTTGGACGCACGAAAGAATTGATGGAAGCTCTGTAATGTAAATATCACACAACTAGTCCTAAAGAAAATTGCATTTACATTGTTCTTCTCCCCTATTTACAAATAACCAAAACCTACAATGGCATTTGACTGTCTCACCTCTCTCTCTCTCGCGTCTGCTGCGACAATGACGATGGAAGCTTAGCGTCTCTTTCTCTCAAGGATCTTCTGGATCTTCCATGTCCAACCCAGCAAGAAGGCCACAAGCCCAAGTCCCACACTTCCCCAAAGTGTCACTACCCACATTGGCATTTCTGTTGGGTACAATCCTGTTTTGTCACCCCATAAGCAAGTTTTTACACTCTCAACATATGCAAACTGTTAACCATATATAAGTAAAGCAAAAACTTACCACTACCAAACTTGATGCAGATGAGAAGCTCTACTATGCATATTCCTAGTGAAAGCCAACAAAAAGATCCCACCTTTTTCACAGGTTTCCTGTGAACAACCAAATCGCCAGTGATATATAGATAAACCTTATCTCAACTAAACACAAACCAACATCACAATGGCTAATAGCTAATACCGGTCTTGGAGATATGAATTGTATTCCCGTGTTGTTGGTATCGCTATGAGCCACCACAAGATCAGCCTATAGAGGATCACTGGGTTTCGAGGAGGTATCCACAGGCTAAACTTGAGAAAGAACGTGTTGAGCTCCACTGTCAAGAATACGATGCAAAGAGTGAGTACTTGAATAAAACGCCAAGGTCCCTGAAGCGGATGCCACTCGTCTTTGTCCCAATGAGCTGGTGTGAACTGCCCCAGTGTCCTTTTCACCTGACAAAAAAAAAAGAAAATTCAAAACTCTCAGCAAGCGTACGACACGGCTATGGACCAAGTGTATGCACTTTAGAGGTTGAACAAACCCTACTTTGCCAATAATGTTAGGCTGGCGGCTAATGCCGACCCACTCGTATGTTTTTCCATCAAAGTAGCGTACCGTATACATTCCTGCCCAGATCCCTACCAACATTTAAACAATATAAAATGTTAATCCACGACATCTTAGAAACACGACATATAGAACAGCAACAAGGGTGTCTTAAGAATCATACCAAACCAGTTGCATATCAAGATATCAAGAACAATACTGTCCCACCAGCACTCGTTGAAATTTGGTAACATGTGCCGAAAAGTTAGCTGGAGAACATAAATATACATTATCTTGGTGACACGGGGGAAGCTATATCCTTATATTTATCAAATTAAGACCTGAAAAAAAACACAAGGAAACGAAGAAGACAAAGACCAACCTCCAATAACTCAAAACCAATTGAAAGCACCCACAGAAGGGGCTGATTCCGGATCAAAATTGCTTTTCCCCACCATCCAAAGATGTGAGCCAAGAAAAACTCGTCAAATACTGTGTCCTGTGGAAATTGTTAACCAAAGCATAAGCCTTTTAGATGATACGAGCCACAAAATTATGAGAAGCGGATGCTAAGACAATTATGTGGAAAATTAAAGAAAAGTTTTTGAGAAGATACCATACATAAAGATTTTTAAACCTGTTCGTTGGGTGATCAGGCACATAAATACGGCAATCAGCACCGTATGATCTCTCAGGAAGTTCTGCAACATGAGCAAACTCAATAAGAACGGTCAACTCATAAATGTGGTAGCTCTTTCGTGAATAAACAGCATATGATTCCACTCTGAAAAAAAATATTACCGATTCCAAGGTCAGGGTGAAGAAACTTCATGAACTGCCTAGCATCATCACGTCTCTGAGGGAAAAGAATAGTTGTGTGACTATTAGAGTTTGCTCATAAAAAACAATAGCTCGTAGGCATAGCCTCAAAGGGTACTTTAAGAGAGGAGTAAATAGAAGAGAAAAAAAGTGAACCTGGAAGAGCAAAAAAGTAAGTGAAACTAAGTAAATGACGGCCATTCCATGAACTAATCGCCAGATTGCAGGATGTGGCCTGATTAAAACCCTGCATAAACCAAAAACAACTTGATTAAAAGACACAGCAGCCACAAGTATCGTCACCATTTGAAAATCTACAACAAACACAAGAGAAAAATTATAAAAAGCAAGCAAGATTACGTTGAAGGGGCCTGAAGCAAAGAGTAAGCAAGAAAGACTGCAATCATAGCCCACACTCCCCTAGAAAAAGAAACATAGTAGACTAGTGTCAAAATTTATTGATTCAAATTATATATGAAACAAAAAAAAAAAGGATAAGCAAGAAGAAGAAGAAAAAAGGAACCTTTTGACAGATGTGACAAGATCATCAGATGTAGTGCTTTCAGGATCAAGAGCTCCACTTGCCCAACTAAGTCAAATTCAAAAACCAGTAGGAGGATTACAAAACAACAGAGTGATGGGGGAAGAAAGCAGAAGGAGAGATGATGACTCACATGAGGAAACATGCGCCGATGAGGAGAAGAGAGATAGTGCGAGGCTTGTAAGCCCATGCAGTCCATGGATCAAGATCAGTCTCAACATCACCATTCATTCTCCCAAAATGTTCTTTCCTTCTTTCTTTCCTGTACCCATTGGGTTCCATGGCTAACCAACCAACCAGCTTCTGAAAACGGAAGAAGAAAAAGAGAAATTTTGAGATGAGAGATTAAGAAGGGCTTTTAGAAGCAACCTCGAAAGAAGCAAAGGAGAAATTTATGAATAGAAGAAAGGTGAAAAAATTAAAAAAAAAAAGAGAGAAGAGAAAAGGCAGACAATGGAGTGTATACGGAGAGGAGGGTACAAGGTACAAGCAGAGACAGAGAAAAGGGTCTCTGTCTTTGCAGAGGTAAAAGCAGGCGCAAAATCAGAAGGAGGGGAGATTAAAGTAAAAATAAGCGCAAAAAAAGAAAAAAACTAAGACCGAAATGGTTTTAAGAAGAGTAGATTTGGGGTTGATACCTGAAGAGGAGGAAGAAGAACCCTAAGCGAGGTAGAGAGATTGATTGATTGGAATGGGAGAAGAAGTGAGAATCGAGAGTAGGAAGCTCGAAGATGATGATGATGAGGAGGAGGAATAATAAGAAAGAGGTTCGGTCAAAGTAGAGTAGAGAGAGAGAGAGAGAGGAATAGATACGCTTCTCTGCTTCTGCTTCTGTTCACGATCTGAAAACGACTCTGCTTTCCTTCCCCCACGATTTCCCCTTTTTTATTTTCCCAGAATTACCCCTTCCTCCTCTTCCTCTTCCTCTTCCTCGATTTTTTTTTGGTATGTGTTAATAATATTTGTCTAATTTTAATCACAGTCAAACCATTTATTTCATGTGGAATTCGGTCCTTTTCACAATTAATTATTCCCCATTTCACCACTTTCGTATTTTAAAATTATAGACCAGAAGCTTATATTTTTTGATGATTTTTTATGTAGTGTTATTAGTCATTGCGTCACCACCAAATTTAAGTCCACCTGATTATTGTTAACAAAATAATGTCTATTTATGATAGATAACCCCAAATGTAAAGCAAAAATTACAAGGCGATGACAAAATTATAACTAGATTATCTGTTTTTCGCGTGATATTAACAAGAAATTGAGCGGTATTATACAGTATGTACAATTATTGCGTTATTGAAGAGGAAACTGAGCCATAAATTAACAACATAATTAAAATTTCGTCATCAGTAACATTTGCTATATCTTAAAAGGGAAATTTACCCAGCATTTACGGGTTTCAGAATGATGTACAAATGCAATAACTAAATAGTATATGTTTTTAATTGCAACCAAATAAAAAGCACATCAGCTGCGAAATACATTAATATTCTTATTTAAGTAATTGATTTGACAGATATTCCCAAGAGTACAAAAGAGAAGCAGGGAATAATAACCCTAATTAGTATATACATTCATTTCTTTTTTTATTTTATTGAATTGACAAAAATAAAAAATAGAAAAGAGGGAAAGTCAGTCATAGTATGAAAATTAAAGAGAAGCCAAGTGATGATGATATAGACATGTCTCCGTGCTTGAAACTGATCAGAAAATAAGTCTAACGTACTTATATGAACGTACAAAAAATGTAGAGACTGGAAACAAAAACACTAACGATTACTAATTCATCTAGCTCTTGATTAAGAAGATCGCATTAGCTGCGAATACAAATAAAAACAATAGGGGAAAACTGGAAAAGATGAATTTGAATAGAAACAAAGATAAACAGCTCATTCCTATTACAAGACCAGGCAGATGGAGACGCCACTTGTGGTCACTTGTCACAACATTACACTCCTCTGAGTCCTCCTCTCTCTCTATCTTTTTTTTTTTAACCTTTTCATCAGTAATAATAACTTAATAATACTAAACAACAAAAAGTTGTTTAGTATGATGGAATTTTTGGAACTACAGTGAGGAAAAAAATCAAGAGTAAACAAATAGTAGAAGAGGAGAAAGCGTGAGAGAGATAATAATGATTAGGGGTCAAAGTAAATGATGAGAAAGAGGGATTAAGAATATCGATTTGATGATGATCGAAATCATTGAGGTAGTAATGATTGGCAGAATAAAAAGCATTACAGCTCTGACTATATATTATCACTGCGCATTTATCGATTGACACCAATAATAGTGTGATAATGCTCTTTCGTAATGAAGTGCATACACACCCTGTAAGATGTATAATTATGACGAAAATGGTAAGTAATCACAAGCCTCAACACATAGTAGTAAATTGTTTTTCACCACACAAAGTTAATTATAGTAAAAATTAGAAGAATTAATCTCATATGTAAAATAGTAAAACGAGGGAGAGAGAGGGGAAGTGTGGTCTACATCAAGAAATGAGGTGAGGAGGACAACCTCAAAATAGTCAGTCTCAAGTATAAGTGTTAGCATATGAAGACAAGCATCAAGAGTGGTCCATTCTTGTTTCTGATCCGTCCGGACGACTTTAATTATGATTTCTTTTCTATGCATATGACTGATCCACCACATGTTCCTAATTGCTAATACAACCAACCCCCTAGTCTTTGGCACATTTTTTTTTTTATAACTAATGTTCTTTAAGACAAACTATAAAGATACTTATGTGGTCAAATCAGACAAATTAAAAGCTCACAAAATACGAGAATTGAAATAAAATGATTTGCTCTCTAAAATAAAGAGTTAAAAGTATTGTATATATATCTTGATTTGTAAATCCAATGAACATAGGAGAGATGACGATCCCAATTAATTGTCCTGCAATGCCACCAAACAACAACACATCTTCTAACTTGCTGCTCTCTGGTCAGAACAATCACCAATTGCTTCTTGTTAGATCCACGCAGAACGTCCAACCGTCATGTGATCCCTTTTCTTTTTTCAATCAGTTTGGTCAAATTGCATTTTTGGAAGCTAACCTTTTATTTTCTCTGAATGATTTATACTGATTTACCCACACTTCAATTTTATTTATCCCAGAGTTAGTAGACTGTGGACGCATGTTAATGCATACAGTATTTACATGATAGATAAACAAGCTTTTGCACGTCCATTCTAAGTTAATCATGTGTATAAAATCAATCGAATCAAGCAAGAACGCAACAAATTTTGCATATTTCCCTATGTCACTTCTGTGATTTTTAGAATGACCAAATAGTTCATCAATAGTAAAAACAAAAGAATTAGTAATTGTTTCACTAGAGTTGTTGGATTAAAAGAAAAAGCAAACTTTGGAAAGTGTTATAAAAGAATGAAAAAAAAAAAAAAATCCTTTGATTAGTTGTTCCAAACAAAGCAGTAGTGATCATTAATTTGGGCCCTATGTAGTACACTTAAATTATCAAGCCCATTCTATAGGTATATAAGCCCATTCTGTAGGTATATAAGGCCTAATCAGAATCCCACAGAGAGATTTGTCTGATTGCTTCAAGGCTTCGAGTTCAACAATCTACAGCTGCGACTGCGACTTGCCTTTTTGCTACATCACTATTCAAACTTGTGTGGTATCCCTTTGGCCACATCATGCTTGAAATGAATGGCCTCTACATAACCTGCCTCTTCTCCAAAGATGAAAAACGAAAGATGCCCTTTGTAACACTTTATTATTAAAATGTTTTGACACCACACAATGCTCATCTAATTGGAGTTGGTAATTACCAATTAATTAAACACTTGCTAATTATGATATACAGGACAATACATCCTTTTCGTCAATTACTTTTAAGACTTCCCTTTGTGGAGTTTCTCTTTACTTTAACCACATATCATTACGTTATCTTCTCTTATATCAAAAAGGTATATGGTTTTGTTCGTTGCCTAATCAACTTTCTTAATCCCAACTTGTGCCCTTTTTTTATCAGTCGGTGGATTCTCAGATCTTTTGGACGGCGAAATCCGAGACTTCTTTTCTCCCACTTTCGTTTCTTTATTGTAAAACTTACAATTATATATATTATTATACCGCAAAATGAATTCTTCTTTATTGTTAAAACAAAATGAATACTTCAACAGCGCCGTTTCCCATTTTTCTAGTACATGACCAAATGTTACTTGTCTTTCACTCTTTTTTTTTTTTTTCAAATCAATGCAAGAGAAAGAAAAGTTTTACAGGGCTGTGGTTAAAAGCTCAATGTTAGAAGCCCAATATTACAAGTTAGGGATTATAGTTGAGAAAGAACTAATAACTAAACCACATAGTTGAAATCAAACCGAGAAGTTGGTTGGGGAGTTGATTGCTCTCTTAACCGTTTTGATGAGTGGTAGGTGAGTAAAGTGTGACGACTGATAGAAATTAGGTATTCGGGGCTCCTGCGAACCACAGTTGAAGAAGCACAGAGGAGAGAAGCGGGTTGGTGGATCGAAGGCTCGATGCCCTGTTGCGAATTAGTTGATAGATCTATCGGATCAAGGCATGCACGGGCTTGAAAGTGGATCGGTGGATCCGATGATTCCTTTCAGTCCAGATGAAGTAGATCGTCGCTTACCAGGTAATAAGAATAAGCTGTCGTTGGATCTTCGGGCCAGTTAACGTGCAGAGGTCCTCCAGCGAGTCAGACCATGCACGATACGGGCGTGAGAGCAATGATGACTGATCGAGTTCCAGATCTCCCAGCTGTACGGGCAGTCGAAGAAGAGATGATCACGGGATTCAGCTACAGAGTTGCAAAGAACGCAGACTAGGTCAATAGGTAGTCCCCACTCCCTCATGCGATCTCTTGTTGGGCTACGATTAAGAACAAAAAGCCAAGTGAGGAAGCTGTGCTTGGGGATTCTTCGCGAGAACCAGACGATTTTGTGCCAAGGTACTGAGGGGTGTTGGTCAGTGATTGCCGAGTAGATACTTCCTGTATTATGCCTATTTTTTATAGTATCATCAATCTACCAGTCGTACCTGTCATATGTCTCAGGCGAGATTGTCAAGAGTGAGAGCTGCAATTGGAAGGTGACTTGACGCTCAGATCTTGCCGGGGGAAGGTGCCACGAGCCGCTTCTCCAGAGTGAAGCCAGCGTCGCATCTCTTGGAATCCCGACTTGCCGAGGGCTTTCTCCTTCCAGGTAAGTTGACATATTTCCCAAAGAACACCAGTTATCTATCCAAAATCGTGTAGTAGCACCATTGCCAATTTTTACTCAGATCCAATGGTAGACGTCGACTCTAGATTTGAGCAGTTTGTTAACCAACCAAGAGAATTTCTGGCTTGGTTTTTGAGTCCAATAATTACCGAGGTTGTTAGTCAACACTTCTTTTCTGATCCAGGCTACCCATATGGAGTCGGCTCGAAAGAAGATCATCCAGATCAGCTTGAGGAGGCAAGCTTTGTTCCAGGTAACTAAATCTTTGACTCCTAATCCACCTTCGGCTTTGCGTTTGATGACTGTTGGCCACGCAACCTTTGCTGAATGATGCCCCTCTGTTGATCCTTTCCATAGGAAGGCACTGGAAAGAGAGTTAATGAACTTGATACAGCGCTTGGGGAGAACAAAAGACGAGCACCAAAAGTTGGTGATGCCCGAGATGACAGAGTTAAGAAGTTGAATTCTCCCAGCAAACGACAGGGCCTTGGTTGTCCAGGAGTTGAATCGCGACTTCACTTGTTGCAAGAGAGGAGCACAATCTGAGATGGTGAGCTTTTTGGTAGTTAGTGGAAGTCCCAAGTAGCGAACGGGGAGAGCACCATAACTGATGCCCGTTGCTTGCTTGATTTGGTATATTTCAGGTTGTGTAAGTCCAGAGGAATAGAAGCTCGTCTTAGGCAGACTTATAGCAAGTCGACAAGGTTTCGAAGTCTTTGAGGATCGAAAGGATATGCTGGACTGAAGCCAAAGACCCGTCCGTGAAGATGAGCAGGTCATCCGCAAAGCAGAGGTGAGTGGTCTTCGTGCTTTGACATTTGTGATGATATTGAAACCGGCCTTCAGACGCTGCTCTGTCTAACCTTTGTGAGAGACAATTCATTGCAAGGACAAACAGATATGGCGAGAGAGGGTCACCCTAGTGCAGACCCCTTTTTCCTTTAAAGTAGCCATGAACATTTCCATTGTAGCCAACCGAGAAGGAGGGAGTGCATACACAAGCCCACAGCCAGCGGATGAATGGTTCAGGGACCTCAATGGCTCTAAGGCAACTGAATATGAACTCCCATCTAACAATGTCAAATGCTTTTACTATATCTACCTTGATGGTAATTCTTTTTGGTCCCTTGGAATTATGATAGCCTTGTACCAGTTTCCCAGCGAGTAAGGTGTTTTCCACTAATAATCTTCCTTTGACAAATGCAGTCTGGTTGCGGACAACAACATCTGGGAGCATCGGCTTCAGTCTGGCAACAAGTAGTTTGGAGATGACCTTGTAGAGAGTGTTACAGCAGGAGATGGGGCGATAATCAGACACCAGCGATGCACCAGGATGTTTCGGGATGAGGCACAGGATTGTGGCATTGGTAGCTGATGGCAAGAAAGCTGTGGTGAAGAACTGTAGAATACTGTCCACTACATCATGCCCAATGATCGACCAGGCAGCTTTGTAGAAGGCTGAGGTAAGACCATCTGGCCCGGGGGATTTGTTGGGGTTTAGTTTGAATAGAACCTTGGTTATTTCCTCCGGGGATGGAACATTTACCATTTGCTGTTTCAAACTTTCACTGCAGCGGTAGGTGATATAGATCTGAATAAGGGAGGGCGGGCATGATATTTGAAAGAGGACTCCCAGAGCAAGTATGGCTTGAAAGTGTGTGACCGCGAGAGTTGCCATTTCGAGGGGATCTGATGTGTGAAGTCCAGACTGGGAGGTGAATGAACGAATGTCATTGAAGCTGTTTCGCAGCTGGACTATTCTGAAAAAGTAAGTGGAGTTCTGATCACCTTCTTTTAGCCAGTTGATTCGGGACTTTTATTTGTAGTAGGCCTCCTCAATACATCGTAGCTGTTCCAGTGTTGAGAGTAGATTGCGTTCTTGTTGAAAAAGTAGGGGGGAAGGATTGGTAAGAGCTAGCACCTGCATAGATTTAAGCAACTCGTTGGTCTCCCTCACACGTTTTTGAATATCTGAAAAAGTCTCTTTACTTAGTTTTAACAGCTCTCGTTTTAGAATCTTTTGTTTCGCACTTAAGACTGACAACCCCGTCTCCTGATGCAGTGACGTTCCGGCTTGAATCCAAGAAGCTTCGACTAAAGGGAGAAAGGATGGGTGTGTGGTGAGATTGTTAAAGAATTTGAAAGGTTTAGTTCCTGCGAGGGGAAGAGGGGAATCTAAGTTTAAGTGGCAAGGGGTATGGTCTGAGAAGTCGGGGGCTAAGAAGGTAGCAGCACTGTTACGGTAATGAGCAAGCCAGTGGTTATTAACCAGGAGCCTGTCAAGTTTCTTGGAACGGGGATCAGCTGGTTGTCGGTTTGACCAAGTGAAGGAGGAGCCTTGATAACGGAGATCGAATAACTCCAGCTGTCTCATACAGTCCCTCATTACTAACATATCGGAAGTGAAGTGGGTGATCATAGGATCTGAGTGCTCCGAGGGGTGCATGATTTGATTGAAGTCCCCGCATACAACCCATGGACACGTATCGAGGGAGAAGGAGTGTTGCATTCGGATGAGTTCACACCATAGGTCAGTCCTTTCGGCATTTGAATTTGAGGCATATACTGCTGTGAGATAGAAGTCGTGGCCTCCAGGAATGGTGATATGACACGTGAGGATTTGTTTTGATTGGCAGGTGATAGTAACAGTAGCAGGATGCTTCCAAATTAAAATAATCCGACCATCCTCATCTGACTGGTGGTTTGAGAAGAAGTTCCAACCCGGACAGGTACGATTCATGATGTGGTTCAAATTAGGTTCTTTGACATGTGTTTCTAAAATACCGCCAAAAAGTGGCTTTTGAACAGAGAGCCAAGAAGAAAAAAACCGATGCTTGTCTGGTATATTAATTCCCCAGACATTCCAAAAAAAGGATTTGATATCCATTAAAAAAGTTTTGAATTTATCTCCTTGGCAGGAGATGATTCCAACGGAAGAGAGGATGTAAAGGGGGTGGAAGTCGAATCAATCACCATGTCATTTGATCGTGGTGAGGAGATGGTGGTGTTTGGGGCAGTGTTGTCAAGAACAGCAAAAGTGTTAGAGGTGGGTGTTTTTAACAGCTCGAAGAGGGGATTTGATTGAAGCGAACAGGGTTTGGTGTTTATGGCAGTGGGAGAAGCCTCAGTGGGGGCTTTGGGGGTGGCAAGAGAAGCTGGAGGGGGAACCACAGAAGAAGCTTTAGGTGATCTGTCCGGGCCAGAGGAGCTGACGTCAGCAGGTTGATCGCTAACCGGCGGCTTAGCTGGTGGGTGAGATACTTTGCCTTTCTTTTTGTCTTTCCCTAGAGTCTCCATTCCTGATTTTTTAACAGCGTTTGTAGCAAGAGGGAGCGCCGGGCAGTATCTGGCGACATGACCTAGCATTTGACAGTTGGAGCAAGTAGGTGGAACCCAAGGGTAAACTACCTTAATTTCGGTGATGGAGCCGTCATCCCTGGAGACTTCCACTGAAGTAGGAAGGGGTTTGGTGAGGTTTACTTCCACTTTGACATGAGCTTCAGTTAGGCTCACGAGATTCATAGTATATTCGTCTCGCTCTATTGGTTCTCCTATTAGTCCTGCAACAAGACTAATGCCTTTCCGGTGCATTAGGTTGAAAGGCATGCCCTGGAGGTGAGCCCAGATGGTGATGGCATCTAGATCCTGCACAGAGCCACCAGTGGAGTTCCATTGAGTCACAGTGAACATACATTCACCAATGTACCAGAGCTTTTTTTGAAGAACTTTAGTGCGAATGTATTCATTCGGGATTCTGACAAGCATAGACTGGTTGACAGCATTAAGGTGGATTTCTAATCTCTGTCCCTTGTCCCATAGGTGACTTAAGACATTGTGTATGTGAGTGTATGAAGGTGGCCTGCCTTTGAATCTGCAGAAAATAAAGTCTTTGTGGAGATCGGCGCCTTCCTGAAACACGAGTCCGGGATGGCAATTCTGGGTTTACCTTCAGGAGAGTAAGTGATTGGGGCCAATCTTTCCAAGGACCTGTCTGTGTCACGCTTAATTCTCTCTGCACAAATCTTTGGTTTTTGCGCTGCCAGTGGTGGAATGTGGGCAGCGGTGGTAGTATTTGTCGAAGGGCGAGTTGTTGTTGTGAGACCAGAAGCGTCCCCAGAACAGTTAGGAGATGCATTTACAGTAGATGAGGCAGGAAAGGTTAGAGTAGGGAGGATCCCGGCAGTACTAAGAGCGGGGGAAGTAGAAGGTGGGATAAAATGGGAATAACTAGGGTTGATCCGGAGATAAGGTTTAGGAGCGCCGCCTCTGGGTTAGAAGATACAGGGGAAGAAGAGGGAAGTTTTACAACTACAGGCCTAGATATATGGTGGAAAGGCAAGGCAAGAACTATATTCTCCGGCTCAACATAAGCAGTTGGAGAGGAGTCTTGGAATGGGGAAGTGGGAGGGGAGGGGGAGAGGGAAAGAGAGAGGGGTGGGAAATTGGTGGAGCTTAGAGTGTGGGAGGGGTCTGGTGGGTCGGGGGGACGGGGAGGAGCAAGGATGGAGGTACATTCAGCCGGAACTGAAGGAGGATTCAAGCCGGAACGAAGAGCAGCAGCGAGCCAGGGGTTCGCCATTTTTAGAACCACAAATTTCAAAGAATCTTGTTTGTCTTTGTCTTTCACTTTTTTGTTTACGTTTCCATCATTATGATCATGTTTTTGCTTTGGTTTTCATTAATATGTACGTTAAGAAATGTTCGATACAAACTACGAGCACTTTTCACTTATTTAAATCCACTTTTAAAAGTTCTTAGAACCTTTTATCTATGAAAAAAATTCAACCAGTTTACAAGTTTTATTATCGTATTTGAAAAATGTCCGTTAATCCGTTATTGAGTTTGTTTTTCGTTTTAAAACTTGGGATATATTTTTTTAAGGCAGAAACCGTAGAATTGATATGTCCGAAAACGTATAAAATACGGAAGGTGGTGAGACAACAAGTTAGCGAGGATCGTGCAAAATCTTCATCAGTTCAACAGATTGTTCCAAAAAAATATTGTTATTTAGAAATAAGAAGTTGGTCCCCCGGTACTAGATTAAACATTCACACCGCCCACTACTATTCTATAATGTCACCGTTTTTTTTTTTCTAATTGCAAACCGCATTTCGTCTCACATAAAGAAAACAAAATTAAAAGTTATAACGGTATTATAATGTCACTTTACAGTACATTTCTAATATTCAAAAACTATATTTTATTCACAAAACACAGTTCTTACGAAAGACACGGTGGAAACATGAACTTTTTACCTTTCTTTTTTCTTTTGATGAAAACAGACATGTTTCATCACTATTCAAAGAACTGAAATCTATCCATAACACAGAAAACTAAATAAAATAAAATTTGTTAAAAATCAAAAGTTTCTAAAATCAAAAATTTGTTTTCCCAATAACTTTGAAACTTTGACGTTTACATAATTAACTTAATATATATTTAAATAATGATTAAATATCGTTTTTATATATAATTATATAAACTTTTTCCCACACCCCAAAAATCGAAGGATTGAATTGAAATATGAAAAGAGAAAGAAGTGATGCTGGTTTGTATTGATGTACTTGTGAATACAGATCACATGTAATAAAAGATTTGGTATTTATGACTAACTTTATTTGATTTAGTTAGATAATCATCAGAGTACTAAGAAAGTGATAAAATGTAGGAGTTCACACTAAAATGAAAAATAGTTGTAGTTAATTCTATAGGTTAAAAAAAAATATAATGAAAAAAAATTATTTGATTCGACAAATGATTTTCTACAATGGCTTAGTAAATTTTTACTGTATTTATAAACAATAGAAAATTATTGTAAAGGGCATTAAATTTGGTGTATTTGTTAGCAATTAAAAGTCTTGGAAACAAAAAATGTTAGTGATGAATTAAAAAAAGGGAAAAATAAAGGAAGAGTGTGATATGCTTAAGCAAAGACAGCTATATATTGAAAAGAGAGAGAGACGAAGAAGAAGAAGGAGAAGATGGGGCTACAAGGTCAGCTCAGTGACGTCTCTTCGGATTCGATTCCTCTGATGCTCCTCTCTCTCATCGCCGTATTTCTCAACCGTATCCGTTCTTTCCTCCACCGTCCCTGCGCTTCCGATTCTAACCTCCCCGTCGACGATGGCTCAATCATAGCGTCGGGACTGGCCAACATAATCGTCCTGGCGGATCAGCTGAGCCTGAATCGGCTCTTCTCGTACCGGTGCGCAGACGAAGGCGGCTCCGATTGCGTGGTGTGTCTGTCGAGGCTACAGGAAGGAGAAGAGGTGAGGAAGCTGGAATGTCGACACGTGTTCCACAAGCAGTGCTTAGAGGGATGGCTCCACCATCTGAATTTCACATGTCCCCTCTGTAGATCTGCTTTGGTCGCCGATGGTTGCGTCTCCCGAACGCAGCGGCGCGTTGGGAGGGATTTGATCTCGTGCTTCTCTCTCCACTGATGACCGGATCGGAAGATTCTGATCCAACGGCGGTGGATCACCCATCTCCAACTGTTCCCTCTTTTTTTTTTTCCTTCTATATGTATATAAAAAAAAAAAAAGAGGTAGAGAGAATTACGGTGGCTGGCTGGTCGATTTGACCATGCGCGCCCTTATTTTCTCTCAAATTTTGTATGATTGTTTTTTTGAGGTGTCTCACCTTTTGTGTTTTCAACTTCATATGTAAATTATGAATATACAATTTGTCACAGTTCCGATTTTGGTTTCCCTAATCTCATATTCCACTTACTCTATGACTTGTTTCCGATTGATTTAGGAGGAGGGCATTGATAACAGTACTTCTCATCACGTAATTGTATGTGTAATATAAAGGATGAACATATTAGGCAGTTGTTTCATCTCCCCAAATTCCGTCTGTGTTAAAAGTATGGAACTTGAAAGGGTCTGTTTACTGTTTTACTAACTTAGCAAATGCTTGATCCAGTGGCACTTTCTTAGTTGGGTTGAGCTTTACTAATTTGTATCGGTGTCAGAACAATACATGTGGGCTTAAAAGTTTACATCTCCGAATACAGTAGAGAGAAAGGCCCGTTTGACATTTTAGACGAGGCTTTTTTGGGGCTTCGATTGATGAGCCTCTTAACAGTAAAGAATTGTATCAATCATCTTATGAACAATTCTATAACACAGAGTTAATTTTCTTACCAACCCAAAACGTCGTTTACTTGTTGTTTCTATTGGGTTAAACAGAAAAAGAAGACACGATTAAAGTAAAGCAGTTTCGTTCATCTGGATTCAACTCATAATCCATTTGATACGAATGCTGCTACACTCTGATTTTCTTTTTTTAAAACGTAACGTTTGTTATATAGTTGATACCATCAGTACATGGACATACACGCTTCGTTTCATAACATAACATATAAATAAGGGTAAGGAAAATAGTGCTAGATTAATCAAACACTCGCACGTACACGCACACACAAACACTAAGAGTAAGAGATATAAGAATGATTTTTTTCGGGTTTAAGGAAAAAAAATCGGACCAGCAACCTTCGATTCCCCAGCAGCAAGCAATGCAATAATCTCGCTCTCCCCAGACTTACTTTTCTATGAAAGAGCGTAAACTATTGCAAAGCCCATCTTTCTCCATACCATCCACACACGATATCATCGTCGTTTCTTATCTAAAACACCTTCCATCATCTTTCTCCGACCGTCTTCTTCTTCCGTAGACACCATATCTGACTTTTGGAAGCAAGGACTTTGCTATATATGTAAGCAGCAAATTAAAGAAGAAGTAGAAGAAGATTTGATATAATTATAGGCAATGTGCAAAAGGATGGAATGATGAGTGGGTCTTATATAAAGGGTCAAGGAGGTTACGTCCCTCCTCCGTTTTTTTTTATATAAAGTAATATGATTGTTTGTAGTATTAGCTATGATATTCAAGTGATTGACGCAACTTTTGGGGTGAGGTTTGGAGTTTAGAATGGCGTCGAGGGGCAAAAGTGAAATTTACGAGAAATGAAACTTGAGGGATGTGAAAAGATTTGTAAATTACTTTGATCTCCGAGCCTCTTGGGTATGTATGTTTTCCCTATAAAAACCCTTTTTACAATTTTAAGAGGAAGCATGGTTGTTAAGTTGGAATTAATATCTATACTAAATAAAAGGAACTATTTGGGGTTCTTTAAGCTATCCACCTCAGCTTTTCAAACTACTCTAAAAATATGACACATCAGCAAAAAATAATAATACAAATTTCTACTTTAGATTTTTTTGAAATACACATAAAGTAAATAAATAGAACCAAAATTAATATAATTAAATACAAGAGTAAATAAAAATAAAATATTATTTTTTGAATCAATAAAATAAATGTTATTTAAATCTATAGCATCAATATATACTCTTTTGTTTGTAATATAACAAATTAACAATAATGAAAATTTTCACTTTAAATTTTTTAAAATACACATAAAATAAATAAATAGAACCATTAAATTAATATAGTTATTAGCAAAAACTAAATAAAACTATATATCATTTTAATCAGTAAAATAAATATCATTTAAATCTGTAGCATTAATATATACTCATTTTTGTCACTAAAATTAATATAGTTACCAACAAAAGTAAATAAAATTAAAATATTATTTTTTGAATCAGTAAAATAAACATCATTTAAATTTATAGCATCAATATATACTTCTTTTGTTTGTAATATAACAATAATAAAAAAATTCACTTTATATTTTTTGAAATACACATAAAATAAATAAATAGAACCACTAAGTTAATATAGTTATTAGGAATAAGTAAATAAAACTAAATATCATTTTCTAAATCAGTAAAATAAATATCATTTAAATCTGTAGCATTAATATATACTCCTTTTTGTAATATAGTGAATATATTGGATAATAAATTGCTCTAAAAAACTTAAATAATAGTTAATAGAAAAGAGATTACAAAATAATAACTTTTAAAGTAAAATTTAAAACATTTACAAATTATAAAAATCTAAAACATTCACCTTTTAGAAACATACAGATTAAACATCATAGTACGTTAGATTTATGGCAACCAACAAGACAACAGAAATTATAGGAAGATTTTCAAAGCATCTATCTATATGAAGATTTCGATCATCGTTACTATTTACATTGCAGAAAATGATAGAAAAAAG